GCCTGTATTCAAGCCACTGCAAGGAAATCCGGCCTCCTTTCAAGTTAGGGCTTCTCGCTGTATATTCCACTTGAGGCAGCAAACTCGGGGTCCCTCCAACATACCAATTGCTGAGAGAAGCCTCCTCTTGAGGTGCTTCTGGAAAGTTGGCATACGTCTTGAGCCTAAGCCAGGGATTCAGCTTTCATCTCGAGACGATTTGTGGTACACGGAGCATTACTCGAGTTGCTGTGCTGAAGTTGGTGTTCCTCTAGTCTTGGGACAGTGTTCTCGGGGCATTTCTGGAGTTCCCTGAAGGAAGTCAAGCCACTGGTGGTGTTTAATGGGTTACGGGGGATGGCTCTGGAGTCAATGCATGGGAATCGGGCCTCATCTCGAGTGGATGTGGGGTACTTGCAGCTGCTTTGCATTGCTGGGGTGACCTCAGGGTCTGTCTAGACTTGTGACAGTGTTCCTGGGGACTTTCTCGTATTGATTTAAGCAAATCGAAGCTCCTGACTTGCTTGATGGGGATCACGGGAATGCTCTGCATGGACTGCAGGGAATCAGGCCTCATCTCGCATCTAGGGGAAGTCTCATGGTTTTACTCGAGTTGCGGCGGGAACTGGGGTATGTTCTCGAGTTATGGCGGGGATGGCCCTTCAAAACACGTGTTTATTCAGTGACGTCAGGACTCCTGTCTAGTAACGAGAGACATCTCAGGAATCTCTTCGAGGCTTGGCAGGGCAAAAGGGATGCTTCTCGAGGTGAGGCAGGGCACCCAAGAACCCTGTCCTGTAGCCACAGTGATTTTGGGATTCCTATCAATGTTCAGGAGGAGTCAGGCATCGTCACATTTTGAAGCAGTGAACTCCGTGTGCCTCTCGAGGTGTCAACGGTATGTGAGGCATTCCGTCAATATGAGGCAGGGACCTAGGGCTTTCTCTAAGGTCTCCACAGGGGATTCAGACATTCCTTCCGGTTGTGAGATGAAAGACGAGCCTGTATTCAAGACACAGCAAGGAAATCCGGCCTCCTTTGAAGTTAGGGCTTCTCGCTGTATATTCCACTTGAGGCAGCAAACTCGGGGTCCCTCCAACATTCCTATTGCTGAGAGAAGGCTCCCCTTGAGGTGCTTCTGGAAAGTTGGCATACGTCTTGAGCCTAAGCCAGGGAATCAGCTCTCATCTCGAGACGATTTGGGGTACACGGAGCATTCCTCGAGTTGCTGTGCTGAAGATGGTGTTCCTCTAGACTTGGGACAGTGTTCTCAGGGCATCTCTGGAGTTGCTTGAAGGAAGTCAAGCCACTGGTCGTGTTTAATGTGGAACGGGGGATGGCTCTGGAGTCAATGCAGGGGAATCGGGCATTATCTCGAGTTGATTTGGGGCACATGGTGCTGCTTTGAGTTGATGGGGTGACCTCAGGATCCGTCTAGACATGTGACAGTGTTCCCTGGTGACTGTCTCGAGATCCATTAAGCAAGTCGAAGCTTCTGACTTGTTTGATGGGGATCACGGAATTGCTCTGCATGCACTGCAGGAGAATCGGGCCTCATCTGGCCTCTAGGGGAAAGTCTCATGGTTTTTCTCGACTTGCGGCGGGGACCTGGGGTATGTACTCGGGTTACGGCGCGGATGGCCCTTCAAAACTCGTGTTCATTCAGTGACGTCAGGACTCATGTCCAGTAACGAGGGACAGCTCAGGAATCTCTTCGAGGCTTGGCAGGGCAAAAGGGATGCTTCTCGAGGTGAGGCAGGTCACCCAAGAACCCTGTCCTGTAGCTACAGTGATTTTGGGATTCCTATCAATGTTCAGGAGGAGTCAGGCATCGTCAGCTTTTGAAGCAGTGAACTCCGCGTGACTCTCGAGGTGTCAACGGGATGTGAGGCATTCCGTCAAAATGAGGCAGGGACCTATAGCTTTCTCTAAGGTCTCCACAGGAGATTCAGTCATCCCTTCATTTTGTGAGATGAAAGACGAGCCTGTATTCAAGCCATTGCAAGGAAATCCGGCCTCCTTTCAAGTTAGGGCTTCTCGCTCTATATTCCACTTGAGGCAGCAAACTCGGGGTCCCTCCAACATACCTATTGCTGAGAGAAGCCTCCTCTTGAGGTGCTTCTGGAAAGTTGGCATACGTCTTGAGCCTAAGCCACGGATTCAGCTCTCATCTCGAGACGATTTGTGGTACACGGAGCATTCCTCGAGTTGCTGTGCTGAAGTTGGTGTTCCTCTAGTCTTGGGAGAGTGTTTGCGTGGCATCTCTGGAGTTGCCTGAAGGAAGTCTAGCCAGTTGTCTTGTTTAATGGGGAACTGGGGATGGCTCTGGAGTCAATGCAGGGGAATCGGGCCACATCTCGGGTTGATTTGGGGCATATGGAGCTGCTTTGCATTGCTGTGGTGACCTCAGGGTCCGTCTAGACTTGTGACAGAGTTCTTGGGGACTGTCTCGAGATCCATTAAGCAAGTCGAAGCTCCTGACTTGTTTGATGGGGATCACGGGAATACTCTGCATGCACTGCAGGGAATCAGGACTCATCTCGCATCTAGGGGGAAGTCTCACGGTTTCTCTCAAGTTGCGCGGGGGACCTGGGGTATCTTCTCGAGTTACGGCGGGGATGGCCCCTCAAAACCCGTGTTTATTCAGTGCCGTCATGACTCCTGTCTAGTAATGAGGGACAGCTCAGGAATCTCTTCGAGCCTTGGCAGGGCAAAAGGGATGCTTCTCGAGGTGAGGCAGGGCACACAAGAATCCTTTCCTGTAGCCACAGTGATTTTGGGATTCCTATCAATGACCAGGAGGGGTCAGGCATCGTCACATTTGAAGCAGTGAACTCCGCGTGCCTCTCGAGGTGTCAACGGGATGTGAGGCATTCCGTCAAATTGAGGCAGGGACCTAGGGCTTTCTCTAAGGTCTCCACAGGGGATTCAGACATCCCTTCATGCTGTGAGAATAAAGACGAGCCTGTATCCAAGCCACTGCAAGGAAATCCGGCCTCCTTTCAAGTTAGGGCTTCTCGCTGTATATTCCACTTGAGGCAGCACACTCGGGGTCCCTCCCAAATACCTATTGCTGAGAGAAGCCTCCTCTTGAGGTGCTTCTGGAAAGTTGGCATACGTCTTATCCTAAGCCATGGAATCAGCTCTCACCTCGAAACGATTTGGGGTACACGGAGCATTCCACGAGTTGCTGTGCTGAAGTTCGTATTCCTCTAGACTTGGGACAGTGTTCTCGGGGCATCTCTCGAGTTGCCTGAAGGAATTCAAGCCACTGGTGCTTAATGGGGTACGGGGGATGGCTCTGGAGTCAATGCATGGGAATCGGGCCTCAACGCGAGTTGATGTGGGGTACTTGGAGCTGCTTTGCGTTGCTGGGGTGATGTCAGGGTCTGTCTAGACTTGTGACAGTGTTCCTGGGGACTCTCTCGAGATCCATTAAGCAATTCGAAGCTGCTGACTTGCTTGATTGGGATCACGGGAATGCTCTGCATGGACTTCAGGGAATCAGGCCTCATCTCGCATCTAGGGGAAGTCTCATGGTTTTTCTCGAGTTGCGGCGGGAACTGGAGTATGTTCTCGAGTTATGGCGGGGATGGCCCTTCAAAACACGTGTTTATTCAGTGACGTCAGGACTCCTGTCTAGTAACGAGAGACACCTCAGGAATCTCTTCGAGCCTTGGCAGGGCAAAAGGGATGCTTCTCGAGGTGAGGCAGGGCACCCAAGAACCCTGTCCTGTAGCCACAGTGATTTTGGGATTCCTATCAATGTTCAGGAGGAGTCAGGCATCGTCACATTTTGAAGCAGTGAACTCCGTGTGCCTCTCGAAGTGTCAACGGTATGTGAGGCATTCCGTCAAAATGAGGCAGGGACCTAGGGCTTTCTCTAAGGTCTCCACAGGGGATTCAGACATTCCTTCCGGTTGTGAGATGAAAGACGAGCCTGTATTCAAGACACAGCAAGGAAATCCGGCCTCCTTTCAAGTTAGGGCTTCTCGCTGTATATTCCACTTGAGGCAGCAAACTGGGGGTCCCTCCAACATTCCTATTGCTGAGAGAAGGCTCCCCTTGAGGTGCTTCTGGAAAGTTGGCATACGTCTTGAGCATAAGCCAGGGAATCAGCTCTCATCTTGAGACGATTTCGGGTACACGGAGCATTCCTCGAGTTGCTGTGCTGAAGATGGTGTTCCTCTAGACTTGGGACAGTGTTCTCAGGGCATCTCTGGAGTTGCCTGAAGGAAGTCAAGCCACTGGTCGTGTTTAATGTGGAATGGGGGATGGCTCTGGAGTCGATGCAGGGGAATCGGGCATTATCTCGAGTTGATTTGGGGCACATGGTGCTACTTTGCGTTGATGGGGTGACCTCAGGATCCGTCTAGACATGTAACAGTGTTCTTGGGGACTGTCTCGAGATCCATTAAGCAAGTCGAAGCTCCTGACTTGCTTGATGGGGATCACGGGAATGCTCTGCATGGACTGCAGGGAATCAGGCCTCATCTCGCATCTAGGGGAAGTCTCATGGTTTTACTCGAGTTGCGGCGGGAACTGGGGTATGTTCTCGAGTTATGGCGGGGATGGCCCTTCAAAACACGTGTTTATTCAGTGACGTCAGGACTCCTGTCTAGTAACGAGAGACACCTCAGGAATAACTTCAAGGCTTGGCAGGGCAAAAGGGATGCTTCTCGAGGTGAGGCAGGGCACCCAAGAACCCTGTCCTGTAGCTACAGTGATTTTGGGAATCCTATCAATGTTCAGGAGGAGTCAGGCATCGTCATATTTTGAAGCAGTGAACTCCGTGTGCCTCTCGAGTTGTCAACGGGATGTGAGGCATTCCGTCAAAATGAGGCAGGGACCTAGGGCTTTCTCTAAGGTCTCCACAGGGGATTCAGACATTCCTTCCGGTTTTGAGATGAAAGATGAGCCTGTATTCAAGACACAGCAAGGAAATCCGGCCTCCTTTCAAGTTAGGGCTTCTCGCTGCATATTCCACTTGAGGCAGCAAACTGGGGGTCCCTCCAACATACCTATTGCTGAGAGAAGGCTCCCCTTGAGGTGCTTCTGGAAAGTTGGCATACGTCTTGAGCCTAAGCCAGGGAATCAGCTCACATCTCGAGATGATTTGGGGTACACGGAGCATTCCTCGAGTTGCTGTGATGAAGATGGTGTTCCTCTAGACTTGGGACAGTGTTCTCAGGGCATCTCTGGAGTTGCCTGAAGGAAGTCAAGCCACTGCTCTTGTTTAATGGGGAACGGGGGATGGCTCTGGAGTCAATGCAGGGGAATCGGGCATTATCTCGAGTTGATGTGGGGCACATGGTGCTGCTTTGCGTTGATGGGGTGACCTCAGGATCCGTCTAGACATGTGACAGTATTCTTGGGGACTGTCTCGAGATCCATTAAGCAAGTCGAAGGTCCTGACTTGTTTGATGGGGATCACGGAATTGCTCTGCATGCACTGCAGGTGAATCGGGCCTCATCTCGCCTTTAGGGGAAAGTCTCATGGTTTTTCTCGACTTGCGGCGGGGATCTGGGGTATGTACTCGGTTTACGGCGGGGATGGCCCTTAAAAACTCGTGTTTATTCAGTGACGTCAGGACTCCTGTCCAGTAACGAGGGACAGCTCAGGAATCTCTTCGAGGCTTGGCAGGCACAAGGGACGCTTCTCGAGGTGAGGCAGGGCACCCAAGGAAGCTTTCAAATAGCCACAGGTATTTTGTGATTCCTATCAATATTCAAGAGGAGTCAGGCATCGTCAGCTTTTGAAGCAGTGAACTCCACGTGACTCTCGAGGTGTCAACGGGATGTGAGGCATTCCGTCAAAATGAGGCAGGGACCTAGGGCTTTCTCTAAGGTCTCCACAGGGGATTCAGACATCTCTTCCTGCTGTGAGATGAAAGACGAGCCTGTATCCAAGACACTGCTAGGAAACCGTCCTCCTTTCTAGTTAGTGCTTCTCGCTGTTTATTCCATTTGAGGCAGCAAACTCGGGTTCCCTCCCACATACCTATTGCTGAGAGAAGCCTCCTCTTGAGGTGCTTCTGGAAAGTTGGCATAGGTCTTGAGCCTAAGCCAGGGAATCAGCTCTCATCTCGAGAAGATTTGGCATACAGGAAGCATTCCTCGAGTTGCTGTGCTAAAGTAGGTGTTCCTCTAGACTTGGGACAGTGTTCTCGGGGCATCTCTGGAGTTGTCTGAAGGAGGTCAAGCCACTGGTGGTGTTTAATGCGGAACGGCAGATGGCTCTGGAGTCAATGCAGGGGAATCGGACCTCATCTCAAGTTGATTTGGGGCACATGGAGCTGCTTTGCGTTGCTGGGGATACCTCAGGGTCCGTCTAGACATGTGACAGTGTTCTTGGGGAATGTCTCGAGATCCATTAAGCAAGTCGAAGCCCCTGACTTGTTTGATGGGGATCACGGAATTGCTCTGCATGCACTGCAGGAGAATCGGGCCTCATCTCGCCTCTAAGCGGAAGTCTCATGGTTTTGCTCGAGTTGCGGCGGGGAACTGGGGTATGTTCTCGAGTTATGGCGGGGATGGCCGTTCAAAACACGTGTTTATTCAGTGACGTCAGGACTCCTGTCTAGTAACGAGAGACACCTCAGGAATCTCTTCGAGGCTTGGCAGGGCACAAGGGACGCTTGTCGAGGTGAGGCAGGGCACCCAAGGAACCTTTCCAATAGCCACAGGGATTTTGGGATTCCTATCAATATTTTAGAGGAGTCAGGCATCGTCACTTTTTGAAGCCGTGAACTCCGCGTGCCTCTCGAGGTGACAACGGGATGTGAGGCATTCCGTCAAAATGAGGCAGGGACCTATAGCTTTCTCTAAGGTCTCCACAGGGGATTCAGACATCCCTTCATTCTGTGAGATGAAAGACGAGCCTGTATTCAAGCCACTGCAAGGAAATCCAGCCTCCTTTCAAGTTAGGGCTTCTCGCTGTATATTAGACTTGAGGCAGCAAACTCGGGGTCCCTCCAACATACCTATTGCTGAGAGAAGCCTCCTCTTGAGGTGCTTCTGGAAAGTTGGCATACGTCTTGAGCCTAAGCCAGGGATTCAGCTCTCATCTCGAGACGATTTGTGGTACACGGAGCATTACTCGAGTTGCTGTGCTGAAGTTGGTGTTCCTCTAGTCTTGGGACAGTGTTCTCGGGGCATTTCTGGAGTTGCCTGAAGGAAGTCAAGCCACTGGTGATGTTTAATGCGTTACGGGGGATGGCTCTGGAGTCAATGCATGGGAATCGGGCCTCATCTCGAGTTGATGTGGGGTACTTGCAGCTGCTTTGCATTGCTGGGGTGACCTCAGGGTCTGTCTAGACTTGTGACAGTGTTCCTGGGGACTTTCTCGAGTTGAATTAAGCAAGTCGAAGCTCCTGACTTACTTGATGGGGATCACGGGAATGCTCTGCATGGACTGCAGGGAATCAGGCCTCATCTCGCATCTAGGGGAAGTCTCATGGTTTTACTCGAGTTGTGGCGGGAACTGGGGTATGTTCTCGAGTTATGGCGGGGATGGCCCTTCAAAACACGTGTTTATTCAGTGACGTCAGGACTCCTGTCTAGTAACGAGAGACACCTCAGGAATCTCTTCGAGGCTTGGCAGGGCAAAAGGGTTGCTTCTCGAGGTGAGGCAGGGCACCCAAGGACCCTGTCCTATAGCTACAGTAATTTTGGGATTCCTATCAATGTTCAGGAGGAGTCAGGCATCGTCACATTTTGAAGCAGTGAACTCCGCGTGCCTCTCGATGTGCCAACGGGATGTGAGGCATTCCGTCAAAATGAGGCAGGGACCTAGGGCTATCGCTAAGGTCTCCACAGGGGATTCAGACTTTCCTTCCGGTTGTGAGATGAAAGTCGAGCCTGTATTCAAGACCCTGCAGGGAAACCCGGGCTCCTTTCAAGTTAGGGCTTCTCGCTGCATATTCCACTTGAGGCAGCAAACTGGGGGTCCCTCCAACATACCTATTGCTGAGAGAAGCCTCCCCTTGAGGTGCTTCTGGAAAGTTGGCATACGTCTTGAGCCTAAGCCAGGGATCAGCTCTCATCTCGAGACGATTTGGGGTACAGGGAGCATTCCTCGCGTTGCTGTGCTGAAGATGGTGTTTCTCTAGACTTGGGACAGTGTTCTCAGGGTATCTCTGGAGTTGTCTGAAGGAAGTCAAGCCACTGGTGGTTTTTAATGTGGAACGGGGGATGGCTCTGGATTCAATGCAGGGGAATCGGGCATTATCTCGAGTTGATGTGGGGCACATGGTGCTGCTTTGCGTTGATGGGGTGACCTCAGGATCCGTCTGGATATGTGACAGTATTCTTGGGGACTGTCTCGAGATCCATTAAGCAAGTCGAAGGTCCTGACTTGTTTGATGGGGATCACGGAATTGCTCTGCATGCACTGCAGGAGAATCGGGCCTCATCTCGCCACGAGGGGAAAGTCTCATGGTTTTTCTCGACTTGCGGCGGGGACCTGGGGTATGTACTCGGGTTACGGCGGGGATGGCCCTTAAAAACTCGTGTTTATTCAGTGACGTCAGGACTCCTGTCCAGTAACGAGGGACAGCTCAGGAATCTCTTCGAGTCTTGGCAGGCACAAGCGACGCTTCTCGAGGTGAGGCAGGGCACCCAAGGAACCTTTCAAATAGCCACAGGTATTTTGTGATTCCTATCAATATTCAAGAGGAGTCAGGCATCGTCAGCTTTTGAAGCAGTGAACTCCGCGTGACTCTCGAGGTGTCAACGGGATGTGAGGCATTCCGTCAAAATGAGGGAGGGACCTAGGGCTTTCTCTAAGGTCTCCACAGGGGATTCAGACATTCCTTCTGGTTGTGAGATGAAAGACGAGCCTGTATTCAAGACACTGCTAGGAAACCGGCCTCCTTTCTAGTTAGTGCTTCTCGCTGTATATTCCCTTTGAGGCAGCAAACTCGGGTTCCCTCCCACATACCTATTGCTGAGAGAAGCCTCCTCTTGAGGTGCTTCTGGAAAGTTGGCATACGTCTTGAGCCTAAACCAGGGAATCAGCTCTCATCTCGAGAGGATTTGGCATACAGGAAGCATTCCTCGAGTTGCTGTGCTAAAGTAGGTGTTCCTCTAGTCTTGGGACAGTGTTCTCGGGGCATCTCTGGAGTTGTCTGAAGGAGGTCAAGCCACTGGTGGTGTTTAATGCGGAACGGCAGATGGCTCTGGAGTCAATGCAGGGGAATCGGACCTCATCTCAAGTTGATTTGGGGCACATGGAGCTGCTTTGCGTTGCTGGGGATACCTCAGGGTCCGTCTAGACATGTGACAGTGTTCCTGGGGAATGTCTCAAGATCCATTAAGCAAGTCGAAGCCCCTGACTTGTTTGATGGGGATCACGGAATTTCTCTGCATGCACTGCAGGAGAATCGGGCCTCATCTCGCCTCTAGGCGGAAGTCTCATGGTTTTTCTCGAGTTGCGGCGGGGAACTGGGGTATGTACTCGAGTAACGGCGGGGATGGCCCTTCAAAACACGTGTTTATTCAGTGACGTCAGGACACCTCTCCAGTAACGAGAGACACCTCAGGAATCTCTTCGAGGCTTGGCAGGGCAAAAGGGATGCTTCTCGAGGTCAGGCAGAGCACCCAAGGACCCTGTCCTGTAGCTACAGTGATTTTGGGATTCCTATCAATGTTCAGGATGAGTCAGGCATCGTCACATTTTGAAGCAGTGAACTCCGTGTGCCTCTCGAGGTGTCAACGGGATGTGAGGCATTCCGTCAAAATGAGGCAGAGACCTAGGGCTTTCTCTAAGGTCTCCACAGGGGATTCAGACATTCCTTCCGGTTGTGAGATGAAAGACGAGCCTGTATTCAAGACACAGCAAGGAAATCCGGCCTCCTTTCAAGTTAAGGCTTCTCGCTGCATATTCCACTTGAGGCAGCAAACTGGGGGTCCCTCCAACATACCTCTTGCTGAGAGAAGGCTCCCCTTGAGGTGCTTCTGGAAAGTTGGCATACGTCTTGAGCCTAAGCCAGGGAATCAGCTCACATCTCGTGACGATTTGGGGTACACGGAGCATTCCTCGAGTTGCTGTGCTGAAGATGGTGTTCCTCTAGACTTGGGACAGTGTTCTCAGGGCATCTCTGGAGTTGCCTGAAGGAAGTCAAGCCACTGGTCGTGTTTAATGTGGAACGGGGGATGGCTCTGGAGTCAATGCAGGGGAATCGGGCATTATCTCGAGTTGATTTGGGGCACATGGTGCTGCTTTGCGTTGATGGGGTGACCTCAGGATCCGTCTAGACATGTGACAGTGTTCTTGGGGACTGTCTCGAGATCCATTAAGCAAGTCGAAGCTTCTGACTTGTTTGATGGGGATCACGGAATTGCTCTGCATGCACTGCAGGAGAATCGGGCCTCATCTCGCCTCTAGGGGAAAGTCTCATGGTTTTTCTCGACTTGCGGCGGGGACCTGGTGTATGTACTCGGCTTACGGCGGGGATGGCCCTTCAAAACTCGTGTTTATTCAGTGACGTCAGGACTCCTGTCCAGTAACGAGGGACAGCTCAGGAATCTCTTCGAGGCTTGGCAGGGCACAAGGGACGCTTCTCGAGGTGAGGCAGGGCACCCAAGGAACCTTTCCAATAGCCACAGGGATTTTGGGATTCCTATCAATATTTTAGAGGAGTCAGGCATCGTCACCTTTTGAAGCAGTGAACTCCGCGTGCCTCTCGAGGTGACAACGGGATGTGAGGCATTCCGTCAAAATGAGGCAGGGACCTAGAGCTTTCTCTAAGGTCTCCACAGGGGATTCAGACATCCCTTCATTCTGTGAGATGAAAGACGAGCCTGTATTCAAGCCACTGCAAGGAAATCCAGCCTCCTTTCAAGTTAGGGCTTCTCGCTGTATATTCCACTTGAGGCAGCAAACTCGGGGTCCCTCCAACATACCTATTGCTGAGAGAAGCCTCCTCTTGAGGTGCTTCTGGAAAGTTGGCATACGTCTTGAGCCTAAGCCAGGGATTCAGCTCTCATCTCGAGACGATTTGTGGTACACGGAGCATTACTCGAGTTGCTGTGCTGAAGTTGGTGTTCCTCTAGTCTTGGGACAGTGTTCTCGGGGCATTTCTGGAGTTCCCTGAAGGAAGTCAAGCCACTGGTGGTGTTTAATGGGTTACGGGGGATGGCTCAGGAGTCAATGCATGGGAATCGGGCCTCATCTCGAGTTGATGTGGGGTACTTGCAGCTGCTTTGCATTGCTGGGGTGACCTCAGGGTCTGTCTAGACTTGTGACAGTGTTCCTGGGGACTTTCTCGAGTTGAATTAAGCAAGTCGAAGCTCCTGACTTGCTTGATGGGGATCACGGGAATGCTCTGCATGGACTGCAGGGAATCAGGCCTCATCTCGCATCTAGGGGAAGTCTCATGGTTTTACTCGAGTTGCGGCGGGAACTGGGGTATGTTCTCGAGTTATGGCGGGGATGGCCCTTCAAAACACGTGTTTATTCAGTGACGTCAGGACTCCTGTCTAGTAACGAGAGACATCTCAGGAATCTCTTCGAGGCTTGGCAGGGCAAAAGGGATGCTTCTCGAGGTGAGGCAGGGCACCCAAGAACCCTGTCCTGTAGCCACAGTGATTTTGGGATTCCTATCAATGTTCAGGAGGAGTCAGGCATCGTCACATTTTGAAGCAGTGAACTCCGTGTGCCTCTCGAAGTGTCAACGGTATGTGAGGCATTCCGTCAATATGAGGCAGGGACCTAGGGCTTTCTCTAAGGTCTCCACAGGGGACTCAGACATTCCTTCCGGTTGTGAGATGAAAGACGAGCCTGTATTCAAGACACAGCAAGGAAATCCGGCCTCCTTTGAAGTTAGGGCTTCTCGCTGTATATTCCACTTGAGGCAGCAAACTGGGGGTCCTTCCAACATTCCTATTGCTGAGAGAAGGCTCCCCTTGAGGTGCTTCTGGAAAGTTGGCATACGTCTTGAGCCTAAGCCAGGGAATCAGCTCTCATCTCGAGACGATTTGGGGTACACGGAGCATTCCTCGAGTTGCTGTGCTGAAGATGGTGTTCCTCTAGACTTGGGACAGTGTTCTCAGAGCATCTCTGGAGTTGCCTGAAGGAAGTCAAGCCACTGGTCGTGTTTAATGTGGAACGGGGGATGGCTCTGGAGTCAATGCAGGGGAATCGGGCATTATCTCGAGTTGATTTGGGGCACATGGTGCTGCTTTGCGTTGATGGGGTGACCTCAGTATCCGTCTAGACATGTGACAGTGTTCCCTGGTGACTGTCTCGAGATCCATTAAGCAAGTCGAAGCTTCTGACTTGTTTGATGGGGATCACGGAATTGCTCTGCATGCACTGCAGGAGAATCGGGCCTCATCTGGCCTCTAGGGGAAAGTCTCATGGTATTTCTCGACTTGCGGCGGGGACCTGGGGTATGTACTCGGGTTACGGCGCGGATGGCCCTTCAAAACTCGTGTTTATTCAGTGACGTCAGGACTCCTGTCCAGTAACGAGGGACAGCTCAGGAATCTCTTCGAGGCTTGGCAGGGCACAAGGGACGCTTCTCGAGGTGAGGCAGGGCACCCAAGGAACCTTTCCAATAGCCACAGGGATTTTGGGATTCCTATCAATATTTTAGAGGAGTCAGGCATCGTCACCTTTTGAAGCAGTGAACTCCGCGTGCCTCTCTAGGTGACAACGGGATGTGAGGCATTCCGTCAAAATGAGGCAGGGACCTATAGCCTTCTCTAAGGTCTCCACAGGAGATTCAGTAATCCCTTCATTCTGTGAGATGAAAGACGAGCCTGTATTCAAGCCATTGCAAGGAAATCTGGCCTCCTTTCAAGTTAGGGCTTCTCGCTCTATATTCCACTTGAGGCAGCAAACTCGGGGTCCCTCCAACATACCTATTGCTGAGAGAAGCCTCCTCTTGAGGTGCTACTGGAAAGTTGGCATACGTCTTGAGCCTAAGCCAGGGATTCAGCTCTCATCTCGAGACGATTTGTGGTACACGGAGCATTCCTCGAGTTGCTGTGCTGAAGTTGGTGTTCCTCTAGTCTTGGGAGAGTGTTTGCGGGGCATCTCTGGAGTTGCCTGAAGGAAGTCTAGCCAGTTGTCTTGTTTAATGGGGAACTGGGGATGGCTCTGGAGTCAATGCAGGGGAATCGGGCCACATCTCGGGTTGATTTGGGGCACATGGAGCTGCTTTGCATTGCTGGGGTGACCTCAGGGTCCGTCTAGACTTGTGACAGAGTTCTTGGGGACTGTCTCGAGATCCATTAAGCAAGTCGAAGCTCCTGACTTGTTTGATGGGGATCACGGGAATACTCTGCATGCACTGCAGGGAATCAGGACTCATCTCGCATCTAGGGGGAAGTCTCACGGTTTCTCTCAAGTTGCGCGGGGGACCTGGGGTATCTTCTCGAGTTACGGCGGGGATGGCCCCTCAAAACCCGTGTTTATTCAATGCCGTCATGACTCCTGTCTAGTAATGAGGGACACCTCAGGAATCTCTTCGAGCCTTGGCAGGGCAAAGGGATGCTTCTCGAGGTGAGGCAGGGCACACAAGAATCCTTTCCTGTAGCCACAGTGATTTTGGGATTCCTATCAATGATCAGGAGGGGTCAGGCATCGTCACATTTGAAGCAGTGAACTCCGCGTGCCTCTCGAGGTGTCAACGGGATGTGAGGCATTCCGTCAAATTGAGGCAGGGACCTAGGGCTTTCTCTAAGGTCTTCACAGGGGATTCAGACATCCCTTCCTGTTGTGAGATGAAAGACGAGCCTATATACAAGACACTGCAAGGAAATCCGGCCTCCATTCAAGTTAGGGCTTCTCGCTGTATATTCCACTTGAGGCAGCAAACTCGGGGTCCCTCCAACATACCTATTGCTGATAGAAAGCTCCCCTTGAGGTGCTTTTGGAAAGTTGGCATCCGTCTTGAGCCTAAGCCAGGGAATCAGCTCTCATCTCGAGACGATTTGGGGTACACGGAGCATTCCTCGAGTTGCTGTGCTGAAGATGGTGTTCCTCTAGACTTGGGACAGTGTTCTCAGGGCATCTCTGGAGTTGCCTGTAGGAAGTCTAGCCAGTTGTCTTGTTTAATGGGGAACTGGGGATGGCTCTGGAGTCAATGCAGGGGAATCGGGCCACATCTCGGTTTGATTTGGGGCACATGGAGCTGCTTTGCGTTGCTGGGGTTACCTCAGGGTCCGTCTAGACTTGTGACAGTGTTCTTGGGGACTGTCTCGAGATCCATTAAGCAAGTCGAAGCTCCTGACTTGTTTGATGGGGATCACGGGAATACTCTGCATGCACTGCAGGGAATCAGGACTCATCTCGCTTCTAGGGGGAAGCCTCACGGTTTCTCTCAAGTTGTGCGGGGGACTTGGGGTATCTTCTCGAGTTACGGCGGGGATGGCCCCTCAAAACCCGTGTTTATTCAGTGCCGTCAGGACTCCTGTCTAGTAACGAGGGACACCTCAGGAATCTCTTCGAGGCTTGGCAGGTCAAAAGGTATGCTTCTCGAGGTGAGGCAGGGCAACCAATGTCCCTTTCCAGTAGCCACAGTGATTTTGGGATTCCTATCAATATTCAAGACGAGTCAGGCATCATCACCTTTTGAAGCAGTGAACTCCGCGTGCCTCTCGAAGTGTCAACTGGATGTGAGGCATTCCGTCAAAATGATGCAGGGACCTAGAGCTTTCTCTAAGGTCTCCACAGGGGATTCAGACATCCCTTCATGCTGTGAGATGAAAGACGAGCCTGTATCCAAGCCACTGCAAGGAAATCCGGCCTCCTTTCAAGTTAGGGCTTCTGGCTGTATATTCCACTTGAGGCAGCAAACTCGGGGTCCCTCCCAAATACCTATTGCTGAGAGAAGCCTCATCTTGAGGTGCTTCTGGAAAGTTGGCATACGTCTTGAACCTAAGCCATGGAATCAGCTCTCACCTCGAAACGATTTGGGCTACACGGAGCATTCCTCGAGTTGCTGTGCTGAAGTTCGTATTCCTCTAGACTTGGGACAGTGTTCTCGGGGCATCTCTCGAGTTGCCTGAAGGAAGTCAAGCCACTGGTGGTGCTTAATGAGGTACGGGGGATGGCTCTGGAGTCAATGCATGGGAATCGGGCCTCAACGCGAGTTGATGTGGGGTACTTGGAGCTGCTTTGCGTTGCTGGGGTGATGTCAGGGTCTGTCTAGACTTGTGACAGTGTTCCTGGGGACTCTCTCGAGATCCATTAAGCAATTCGAAGCTGCTGACTTGCTTGATTGGGATCACGGGAATGCTCTGCATGGACTGCAGGGAATCAGGCCTCATCTCGCATCTAGGGGAAGTCTCATGGTTTTTCTCGAGTTGCGGCGGGAACTGGGGTATGTTCTCGAGTTATGGCGGGGATGGCCCTTCAAAACACGTGTTTATTCAGTGACGTCAGGACTCCTGTCTAGTAACGAGAGACACCTCAGGAATCTCTTCGAGGCTTGGCAGGGCAAAAGGGATGCTTGTCGAGGTGAGGCAGGGCACCCAAGAACCCTGTCCTGTAGCCACAGTGATTTTGGGATTCCTATCAATGTTCAGGAGGAGTCAGGCATCGTCACATTTTGAAGCAGTGAACTCCGTGTGCCTCTCGAAGTGTCAACGGTATGTGAGGCATTCCGTCAAAATGAGGCAGGGACCTAGGGCTTTCTCTAAGGTCTCCACAGGGGATTCAGACATTCCTTCCGGTTGTGAGATGAAAGACGAGCCTGTATTCAAGACACAGCAAGGAAATCCGGCCTCCTTTGAAGTTAGGGCTTCTCGCTGTATATTCCACTTGAGGCAGCAAACTGGGGGTCCCTCCAACATTCCTATTGCTGAGAGAAGGCTCCCCTTGAGGTGCTTCTGGAAAGTTGGCATACGTCTTGAGCCTAAGCCAGGGAATCAGCTCACATCTCGAGATGATTTGGGGTACACGGAGCATTCCTCGAGTTGCTGTGCTGAAGATGCTGTTCCTCTAGACTTGGGACAGTGTTCTCAGGGCATCTCTGGAGTTGTCTGAAGGAAGTCAAGCCACTGGTGGTTTTTAATGTGGAACGGGGGATGGCTCTGGATTCAATGCAGGGGAATCGGGCATTATCTCGAGTTGATTTGGGGCACATGGTGCTGCCTTGCGTTGATGGGGTGACCTCAGGATCCGTCTGGATATGTGACAGTATTCTTGGGGACTGTCTCGAGATCCATTAAGCAAGTCGAAGGTCCTGACTTGTTTGATGGGGATCACGGAATTGCTGTGCATGCACTGCAGGAGAATCGGGCCTCATCTCGCCACTAGGGGAAAGTCTCATGGTTTTTCTCGACTTGCGGCGGGGACCTGGGGTATGTACTCGGGTTACGGCGGGGATGGCCCTTAAAAACTCGTGTTTATTCAGTGACGTCAGGACTCCTGTCCAGTAACGAGGGACAGCTCAGGAATCTCTTCGAGTCTTGGCAAGCACAAGGGACGCTTCTCGAGGTGAGGCAGGGCACCCAAGGAACCTTTCAAATAGCCACAGGTATTTTGTGATTCCTATCAATATTCAAGAGGAGTCAGGCATCGTCAGCTTTTGAAGCAGTGAACTCCGCGTGACTCTCGAGGTGTCAACGGGATGTGAGGCATTCCGTCAAAATGAGGGAGGGACCTAGGGCTTTCTCTAAGGTCTCCACAGGGGATTCAGACATTCCTTCTGGTTGTGAGATGAAAGACGAGCCTGTATTCAAGACACTGCTAGGAAATCCGGCCTCCTTTCTAGTTAGTGCTTCTCGCTGTATATTCCCTTTGAGGCAGCAAACTCGGGTTCCCTCCCACATACCTATTGCTGAGAGAAGCCTCCTCTTGAGGTGCTTCTGGAAAGTTGGCATACGTCTTGAGCCTAAGCCAGGGAATCAGCTCACATCTCGTGACGATTTGGGGTACACGGAGCATTCCTCGAGTTGCTGTGCTGAAGATGGTGTTCCTCTAGACTTGGGACAGTGTTCTCAGGTCATCTCTGGAGTTGCCTGAAGGAAGTCAAGCCACTGGTCGTGTTTAATGTGGAACGGGGGATGGCTCTGGAGTCAATGCAGGGGAATCGGGCATTATCTCGAGTTGATTTGGGGCACATGGTGCTGCTTTGCGTTGATGGGGTGACCTCAGGATCCGTCTAGACATGTGACAGTGTTCCCTGGTGACTGTCTCGAGATCCATTAAGCAAGTCGAAGCTTCTGACTTGTTTGATGGGGATCACGGAATTGCTCTGCATGCACTGCAGGAGAATCGAGCCTCATCTCGCCTCTAGGGGAAAGTCTCATGGTTATTCTCGACTTGCGGCGGGGACCTGGGGTATGTACTCGGCTTACGGCGGGGATGGCCCTTCAAAACTCGTGTTTATTCAGTGACGTCAGGACTCCTGTCCAGTAACGAGGGACAGCTCAGGAATCTCTTCGAGGCTTGGCAGGGCGCAAGGGACGCTTCTCGAGGTGAGGCAGGGCACCCAAGGAACCTTTCCAATAGCCACAGGGATTTTGGGATTCCTATCAATATTTTAGAGGAGTCAGGCATCGTCACCTTTTGAAGCAGTGAACTCCGCGTGCCTCTCGAGGTGACAACGGGATGTGAGGCATTCCGTCAAAATGAGGCAGGGACCTAGAGCTTTCTCTAAGGTCTCCACAGGGGATTCAGACATCCCTTCATTCTGTGAGATGAAAGACGAGCCTGTATTCAAGCCACTGCAAGGATATCCGGCCTCCTTTCAAGTTAGGGCTTCTCGCTGTATATTCCACTTGAGGCAGCAAACTCGGGGTCCCTCCAACATACCTATTGCTGAGAGAAGCCTCCTCTTGAGGTGCTTCTGGAAAGTTGGCATACGTCTTGAGCCTAAGCCAGGGATTCAGCTCTCATCTCGAGACGATTTGTGGTACACGGAGCATTACTCGAGTTGCTGTGCTGAAGTTGGTGTTCCTCTAGTCTTGGGACAGTGTTCTCGGGGCATTTCTTTAGTTCCCTGAAGGAAGTCAAGCCACTGGTGGTGTTTAATGGGTTACGGGGGATGGCTCAGGAGTCAATGCATGGGAATCGGGCCTCATCTCGAGTTGATGTGGGGTACTTGCAGCTGCTTTGCATTGCTGGGGTGACCTCAGGGTCTGTCTAGACTTGTGACAGTGTTCCTGGGGACTTTCTCGAGTTGAATTAAGCAAGTCGAAGCTCCTGACTTGCTTGATGGGGATCACGGGAATGCTCTGCATGGACTGCAGGGAATCAGGCCTCATCTCGCATCTAGGGGAAGTCTCATGGTTTTACTCGAGTTGCGGCGGGAACTGGGGTATGTTCTCGAGTTATGGCGGGGATGGCCCTTCAAAACACGTGTTTATTCAGTGACGTCAGGACTCCTGTCTAGTAACGAGAGACATCTCAGGAATCTCTTCGAGGCTTGGCAGGGCAAAAGGGATGCTTCTCGAGGTGAGGCAGGGCACCCAAGAACCCTGTCCTGTAGCCACAGTGATTTTGGGATTCCTATCAATGTTCAGGAGGAGTCAGGCATCGTCACATTTTGAAGCAGTGAACTCCGTGTGCCTCTCGAGGTGTCAACGGTATGTGAGGCATTCCGTCAATATGAGGCAGGGACCTAGGGCTTTCTCTAAGGTATCCACAGGGGATTCAGACATTCCTTCCGGTTGTGAGATGAAAGACGAGCCTGTATTCAAGACACAGCAAGGAAATCCGGCCTCCTTTGAAGTTAGGGCTTCTCGCTGTATATTCCACTTGAGGCAGCAAACTCGGGGTCCCTCCAACATTCCTATTGCTGAGAGAAGGCTCCCCTTGAGGTGCTTCTGGAAAGTTGGCATACGTCTTGAGCCTAAGCCAGGGAATCAGCTCTCATCTCGAGACGATTTGGGGTACACGGAGCATTCCTCGAGTTGCTGTGCTGAAGATGGTGTTCCTCTAGACTTGGGACAGTGTTCTCAGGGCATCTCTGGAGTTGCCTGAAGGAAGTCAAGCCACTGGTCGTGTTTAATGTGGAACGGGGGATGGCTCTGGAGTCAATGCAGGGGAATCGGGCATTATCTCGAGTTGATTTGGGGCACATGGTGCTGCTTTGAGTTGATGGGGTGACCTCAGGATCCGTCTAGACATGTGACAGTGTTCCCTGGTGACTGTCTCGAGATCCATTAAGCAAGTCGAAGCTTCTGACTTGTTTGATGGGGATCACGGAATTGCTCTGCATGCACTGCAGGAGAATCGGGCCTCATCTGGCCTCTAGGGGAAAGTCTCATGGTTTTTCTCGACTTGCGGCGGGGACCTGGGGTATGTACTCGGGTTACGGCGCGGATGGCCCTTCAAAACTCGTGTTCATTCAGTGACGTCAGGACTCCTGTCCAGTAACGAGGGACAGCTCAGGAATCTCTTCGAGGCTTGGCAGGGCAAAAGGGATGCTTCTCGAGGTGAGGCAGGTCACCCAAGAACCCTGTCCTGTAGCTACAGTGATTTTGGGATTCCTATCAATGTTCAGGAGGAGTCAGGCATCGTCAGCTTTTGAAGCAGTGAACTCCGCGTGACTCTCGAGGTGTCAACGGGATGTGAGGCATTCCGTCAAAATGAGGCAGGGACCTATAGCTTTCTCTAAGGTCTCCACAGGAGATTCAGTCATCCCTTCATTCTGTGAGATGAAAGACGAGCCTGTATTCAAGCCATTGCAAGGAAATCCGGCCTCCTTTCAAGTTAGGGCTTCTCGCTGTATATTCCACTTGAGGCAGCAAACTCGGGGTCCCTCCAACATACCTATTGCTGAGAGAAGCCTCCTCTTGAGGTGCTTCTGGAAAGTTGGCATACGTCTTGAGCCTAAGCCACGGATTCAGCTCTCATCTCGAGACGATTTGTGGTACACGGAGCATTCCTCGAGTTGCTGTGCTGAAGTTGGTGTTCCTCTAGTCTTGGGAGAGTGTTTGCGGGGCATCTCTGGAGTTGCCTGAAGGAAGTCTAGCCAGTTGTCTTGTTTAATGGGGAACTGGGGATGGCTCTGGAGTCAATGCAGGGGAATCGGGCCACATCTCGGGTTGATTTGGGGCATATGGAGCTGCTTTGCGTTGCTGTGGTGACCTCAGGGTCCGTCTAGACTTGTGACAGAGTTCTTGGGGACTGTCTCGAGATCCATTAAGCAAGTCGAAGCTCCTGACTTGTTTGATGGGGATCACGGGAATACTCTGCATGCACTGCAGGGAATCAGGACTCATCTCGCATCTAGGGGGAAGTCTCACGGTTTCTCTCAAGTTGCGCGGGGGACCTGGGGTATCTTCTCGAGTTACGGCGGGGATGGCCCCTCAAAACCCGTGTTTATTCAGTGCCGTCATGACTCCTGTCTAGTAATGAGGGACAGCTCAGGAATCTCTTCGAGCCTTGGCAGGGCAAAAGGGATGCTTCTCGAGGTGAGGCAGGGCACACAAGAATCCTTTCCTGTAGCCACAGTGATTTTGGGATTCCTATCAATGATCAGGAGGGGTCAGGCATCGTCACATTTGAAGCAGTGAACTCCGCGTGCCTCTCGAGGTGTCAACGGGATGTGAGGCATTCCGTCAAATTGAGGCAGGGACCTAGGGCTTTCTCTAAGGTCTCCACAGGGGATTCAGACATCCCTTCATGCTGTGAGAATAAAGACGAGCCTGTATCCAAGCCACTGCAAGGAAATCCGGCCTCCTTTCAAGTTAGGGCTTCTCGCTCTATATTCCACTTGAGGCAGCACACTCGGGGTCCCTCCCAAATACCTATTGCTGAGAGAAGCCTCCTCTTGAGGTGCTTCTGGAAAGTTGGCATACGTCTTGAGCCTAAGCCATGGAATCAGCTCTCACCTCGAAACGATTTGGGGTACACGGAGCATTCCACGAGTTGCTGTGCTGAAGTTCGTATTCCTCTAGACTTGGGACAGTGTTCTCGGGGCATCTCTCGAGTTGCCTGAAGGAATTCAAGCCACTGGTGGTGCTTAATGGGGTACGGGGGATGGCTCTGGAGTCAATGCATGGGAATCGGGCCTCAACGCGAGTTGATGTGGGGTACTTGGAGCTGCTTTGCGTTGCTGGGGTGATGTCAGGGTCTGTCTAGACTTGTGACAGTGTTCCTGGGGACTCTCTCGAGATCCATTAAGCAATTCGAAGCTGCTGACTTGCTTGATTGGGATCACGGGAATGCTCTGCATGGACTGCAGGGAATCAGGCCTCATCTCGCATCTAGGGGAAGTCTCATGGTTTTTCTCGAGTTGCGGCGGGAACTGGAGTATGTTCTCGAGTTATGGCGGGGATGGCCCTTCAAAACACGTGTTTATTCAGTGACGTCAGGACTCCTGTCTAGTAACGAGAGACACCTCAGGAATCTCTTCGAGCCTTGGCAGGGCAAAAGGGATGCTTCTCGAGGTGAGGCAGGGCACCCAAGAACCCTGTCCTGTAGCCACAGTGATTTTGGGATTCCTATCAATGTTCAGGAGGAGTCAGGCATCGTCACATTTTGAAGCAGTGAACTCCGTGTGCCTCTCGAAGTGTCAACGGTATGTGAGGCATTCCGTCAAAATGAGGCAGGGACCTAGGGCTTTCTCTAAGGTCTCCACAGGGGATTCAGACATTCCTTCCGGTTGTGAGATGAAAGACGAGCCTGTATTCAAGACACAGCAAGGAAATCCGGCCTCCTTTCAAGTTAGGGCTTCTCGCTGTATATTCCACTTGAGGCAGCAAACTGGGGGTCCCTCCAACATTCCTATTGCTGAGAGAAGGCTCCCCTTGAGGTGCTTCTGGAAAGTTGGCATACGTCTTGAGCATAAGCCAGGGAATCAGCTCTCATCTTGAGACGATTTCGGGTACACGGAGCATTCCTCGAGTTGCTGTGCTGAAGATGGTGTTCCTCTAGACTTGGGACAGTGTTCTCAGGGCATCTCTGGAGTTGCCTGAAGGAAGTCAAGCCACTGGTCGTGTTTAATGTGGAATGGGGGATGGCTCTGGAGTCAATGCAGGGGAATCGGGCATTATCTCGAGTTGATTTGGGGCACATGGTGCTACTTTGCGTTGATGGGGTGACCTCAGGATCCGTCTAGACATGTAACAGTGTTCTTGGGGACTGTCTCGAGATCCATTAAGCAAGTCGAAGCTCCTGACTTGCTTGATGGGGATCACGGGAATGCTCTGCATGGACTGCAGGGAATCAGGCCTCATCTCGCATCTAGGGGAAGTCTCATGGTTTTACTCGAGTTGCGGCGGGAACTGGGGTATGTTCTCGAGTTATGGCGGGGATGGCCCTTCAAAACACGTGTTTATTCAGTGACGTCAGGACTCCTGTCTAGTAACGAGAGACACCTCAGGAATCACTTCAAGGCTTGGCAGGGCAAAAGGGATGCTTCTCGAGGTGAGGCAGGGCACCCAAGAACCCTGTCCTGTAGCTACAGTGATTTTGGGAATCCTATCAATGTTCAGGAGGAGTCAGGCATCGTCATATTTTGAAGCAGTGAACTCCGTGTGCCTCTCGAGTTGTCAACGGGATGTGAGGCATTCCGTCAAAATGAGGCAGGGACCTAGGGCTTTCTCTAAGGTCTCCACAGGGGATTCAGACATTCCTTCCGGTTTTGAGATGAAAGATGAGCCTGTATTCAAGACACAGCAAGGAAATCCGGCCTCCTTTCAAGTTAGGGCTTCTCGCTGCATATTCCACTTGAGGCAGCAAACTGGGGGTCCCTCCAACATACCTATTGCTGAGAGAAGGCTCCCCTTGAGGTGCTTCTGGAAAGTTGGCATACGTCTTGAGCCTAAGCCAGGGAATCAGCTCACATCTCGAGATGATTTGGGGTACACGGAGCATTCCTCGAGTTGCTGTGCTGAAGATGGTGTTCCTCTAGACTTGGGACAGTGTTCTCAGGGCATCTCTGGAGTTGCCTGAAGGAAGTCAAGCCACTGGTCGTGTTTAATGTGGAACGGGGGATTGCTCTGGAGTCAATGCAGGGGAATCGGGCATTATCTCGAGTTGATTTGGGGCACATGGTGCTGCTTTGCGTTGATGGGGTGACCTCAGGATCCGTCTAGACATGTGACAGTGTTCTTGGGGACTGTCTCGAGATCCATTAAGCAAGTCGAAGCTTCTGACTTGTTTGATGGGGATCACGGAATTGCTCTGCATGCACTGCAGGAGAATCGGGCCTCATCTCGCCTCTAGGGGAAAGTCTCATGGTTTTTCTCGACTGCGGCGGGGACCTGGCGTATGTACTCGGCTTACGGAGGGGATGGCCCTTCAAAACTCGTGTTTATTCAGTGACGTCAGGACTCCTGTCCAGTAACGAGGGACAGCTCAGGAATCTCTTCGAGGCTTGGCAGGGCACAAGGGATGCTTCTCGAGGTGAGGCAGGGCACCCAAGGAACCTTTCCAATAGCCACAGGGATTTTGGGATTCCTATCAATATTTTAGAGGAGTCAGGCATCGTCACCTTTTGAAGCAGTGAACTCCGCGTGCCTCTCGAGGTGACAACGGGATGTGAGGCATTCCGTCAAAATGAGGCAGGGACCTAGGGCTTTCTCTAAGGTCTCCACAGGGGATTCAGACATCCCTTCCTGCTGTGAGATGAAAGACGAGCCTTTATTCAAGCCACTGCAAGGAAATCCGGCCTCCTTTCAAGTTAGGGCTTCTCGCTGTATATTCCACTTGAGGCAGCAAACTCGGGGTCCATCCAACATACCTATTGCTGAGAGAAGCCTCCTCTTGAGGTGCTTCTGGAAAGTTGGCATACGTCTTGAGCCTAAGCCAGGGATTCAGCTCTCATCTCGAGACGATTTGTGGTACACGGAGCATTACTCGAGTTGCTGTGCTGAAGTTGGTGTTCCTCTAGTCTTGGCACAGTGTTCTCGGGGCATCTCTGGAGTTGCCTGAAGGAAGGCAAGCCACTGGTCTTGTTTAAAGGGGAACTGGGGATGGCTCTGGAGACAATGCATGGGAATCGGGCCTCATCTCGAGTTGATGTGGGGTACTTGCAGCTGCTTTGCATTGCTGGGGTGACCTCAGGGTCTGTCTAGACTTGTGGCAATGTTCCTGGGGACTCTCTCGAGATCCATTAAGAAATTCGAAGCTGCTGACTTGCTTGATTGGGATCACGGGAATGCTCTGCATGGACTGCAGGGAATCAGGCCTCATCTCGCATCTAGGGGAAGTCTCATGGTTTTTCTCGAGTTGCGGCAGGACCTGGGGTATGTTCTCGAGTTATGGCGGGCATGGCCCTTGAAAACACGTGTTTAGTCAGTGACGTCATGACTCCTGTCTAGTAATTAGGGACACCTCAGGAATCTCTTCGAGCCTTGGCAGGGCAAAAGGGATGCTTCTCGAAGTGAGGCAGGGCACACAAGAACCCTTTCCTGTAGCCACAGTGATTTTGGGATTCCTATCAATGATCAGGAGGGGTCAGGCATCGTCACATTTGAAGCAGTGAAATCCGTGTGCCTCCCGAGGTGTCAACGGGATGTGAGGCAATCCGTCAAAATGAGGCAGGGACCTAGGGCTTTCGCTAAGGTCTCCACAGGGGATTCAGACAATCCTTCCGGTTGTGAGATGAAAGACAAGCCTGTATTCAAGACACTGCAAGGAAACCCGGCCTCCTTTCAAGTTAGGGCTTCTCGTTGCATATTCCACTTGAGGCAGCAAAATGGGGGTCCCTCCAACATATCTATTGCTGAGAGAAGCCTCCCCTTGAGGTGCTTCTGGAAAGTTGGCATACGTCTTGAGCATAAGCCAGGGAATCAGCTCTCATCTGGAGACGATTTGGGGTACACGGAGCATTCCTTGAGTTGCTGTGCTGAAGATGGTGTTCCTCTAGACTTGGGACAGTGTTCTCAGGGCATCTCTGGAGTTGTCTGAAGGAAGTCAAGCCACTGGTGGTTTTTAATGTGGAACGGGGGATGGCTCTGGAGTCAATGCAGGGGAATCGGGCATTATCTCGAGTTGATGTGGGGCACATGGTGCTGCTTTGCGTTGATGGGGTGACCTCAGGATCCATCTAGACATGTGATAGTATTCTTGGGGACTGTCTCTAGATCCATTAAGCAAGTCGAAGGTCCTGACTTGTTTGATGGGGATCATGGAATTGCTCTGCATGCACTGCAGGAGAATCGGGCCTCATCTCGCCACTAGGGGAAAGTCTCATGGTTTTTCTCGACTTGCGGCGGGGCCCTGGGGTATGTACTCGGGTTACGGCGGGGATGGCCCTTAAAAACTCGTGTTTATTCAGTGACGTCAGGACTCCTGTCCAGTAAGGAGGGACAGCTCAGGAATCTCTTCGAGGCTTGGCAGGGCAAAAGGGATGCTTCTCGAGGTGAGGCAGGGCACCCAAGAACCCTGTCCTGTAGGTACAGTGATTTTGGGATTCCTATCAATGTTCAGGAGGAGTCAGGCATCGTCAGCTTTTGAAGCAGTGAACTCCGCGTGACTCTCGAGGTGTCAACGGGATGTGAGGCATTCCGTCACAATGAGGCAGGGACCTAGGGCTTTCTCTAAGGTCTCCACAGGGGATTCAGACATCTCTTCCTGCTGTGAGATGAAAGACGAGCCTGTATTCAAGACACTGCTAGGAAACCGGCCTCCATTCTAGTTAGTGCTTCTCGCTGTATATTCCATTTGAGGCAGCAAACTCGGGTTCCCTCCCACATACCTATTGCTGAGAGAAGCCTCCTCTTGAGGTGCTTCTGGAAAGTTGGCATACGTCTTGAGCCTAAGCCAGGGAATCAGCTCTCAACTCGAGAAGATTTGGCATACAGGAAGCATTCCTCGAGTTGCTGTGCTAAAGGAGGTTTTCCTCTAGACTTGGGACAGTGTTCTCGGGGCATCTCTGGAGTTGTCTGAAGGAGGTCAAGCCACTGGTGGTGTTTAATGCGGAACGGCAGATGTCTCTGGAGTCAATGCAGGGGAATCGGACCTCATCTCAAGTTGATTTGTGGCACATGGAGCTGCTTTGCGTTGCTGGGGATACCTCAGGGTCCGTCTAGACATGTGACAGTGTTCTTGGGGAATGTCTCGAGATCCATTAAGCAAGTCGAAGCTCCTGACTTGTTTGATGGGGATCACGGAATTGCTCTGCATGCACTGCAGGAGAATCGGGCCTCATCTCGCTTCTAGGCGGAAGTCTCATGGTTTTTCTCGAGTTGCGGCGGGGACCTGGGGTATTACTCTAGTTACGGCGGCGATGGCCCTTCAAAACACGTGTTTATTCAGTGACGTCAGGACTCCTGTCCAGTAACGAGGGACAGCTCAGGAATCTCTTCGAGGCTTGCCGGGGCACAAGGGACGCTTCTCGAGGTGAGGCAGGGCACCCAAGGAACCTTTCCAATAGCCACAGGGATTTTGGGATTCCTATCAATATTCAAGAGGAGTCAGGCATCGTCACCTTTTGAAGCAGTGAACTCCGCGTGCCTCTCGTGGTGTCAACGGGATGTGAGGCATTCCGTCACAATGAGGCAGGGACCTAGGGCTTTCTCTAAGGTCTTCACAGGGGATTCAGACATCCTTTCCTGTTGTGAGATGAAAGACGAGCCTGTATACAAGACACTGCAAGGAAATCCGGCCTCCTTTCAAGTTAGGGCTTCTCGCTGTATATTCCACTTGAGGCAGCAAACTCGGGGTCCATCCCACATACCTATTGCTGAGAGAAGCCTCCTCCTGAGGTGCTTCTGGAAAGTTGGCATACGTCTTGAGCCTAAGCCAGGGAATCAGCTCTCATCTCGAGACGATTTGTGGTACACGGAGCATTACTCGAGTTGCTGTGCTGAAGTTGGTGTTCCTCTAGTCTTGGCACAGTGTTCTCGGGGCATCTCTGGAGTTGCCTGAAGGAAGGCAAGCCACTGGTCTTGTTTAAAGGGGAACTGGGGATGGCTCTGGAGTCAATGCATGGGAATCGGGCCTCATCTCGAGTTGATGTGGGGTACTTGCAGCTGCTTTGCATTGCTGGGGTGACCTCAGGGTCTGTCTAGACTTGTGGCAGTGTTCCTGGGGACTCTCTCGAGATCCATTAAGCAATTCGAAGCTGCTGACTTGCTTGATTGGGATCACGGGAATGCTCTGCATGGACTGCAGGGAATCAGGCCTCATCTCGCATCTAGGGGAAGTCTCATGGTTTTTCTCGAGTTGCGGCAGGACCTGGGGTATGTTCTCGAGTTATGGCGGGCATGGCCCTTGAAAACACGTGTTTAGTCAGTGACGTCATGACTCCTGTCTAGTAATTAGGGACACCTCAGGAATCTCTTCGAGCCTTGGCAGGGCAAAAGGGATGCTTCTCGAAGTGAGGCAGGGCACACAAGAACCCTTTCCTGTAGCCACAGTGATTTTGGGATTCCTATCAATGATAAGGAGGGGTCAGGCATCGTCACATTTGAAGCAGTGAAATCCGTGTGCCTCCCGAGGTGTCAACGGGATGTGAGGCAATCCGTCAAAATGAGGCAGGGACCTAGGGCTTTCGCTAAGGTCTCCACAGGGGATTCAGACAATCCTTCCGGTTGTGAGATGAAAGACAAGCCTGTATTCAAGACACTGCAAGGAAACCCGGCCTCCTTTCAAGTTAGGGCTTCTCGTTGCATATTCCACTTGAGGCAGCAAAATGGGGGTCCCTCCAACATATCTATTGCTGAGAGAAGCCTCCCCTTGAGGTGCTTCTGGAAAGTTGGCATACGTCTTGAGCATAAGCCAGGGAATCAGCTCTCATCTGGAGACGATTTGGGGTACACGGAGCATTCCTTGAGTTGCTGTGCTGAAGATGGTGTTCCTCTAGACTTGGGACAGTGTTCTCAGGGCATCTCTGGAGTTGTCTGAAGGAAGTCAAGCCACTGGTGGTGTTTAATCTGGAACGGGGGATGGCTCTGGAGTCAATGCAGGGGAATCGGGCATTATCTCGAGTTGATGTGGGGCACATGGTGCTGCTTTGCGTTGATGGGGTGACCTCAGGATCCATCTAGACATGTGATAGTATTCTTGGGGACTGTCTCTAGATCCATTAAGCAAGTCGAAGGTCCTGACTTGTTTGATGGGGATCATGGAATTGCTCTGCATGCACTGCAGGAGAATCGGGCCTCATCTCGCCACTAGGGGAAAGTCTCATGGTTTTTCTCGACTTGCGGCGGGGCCCTGGGGTATGTACTCGGGTTACGGCGGGGATGGCCCTTAAAAACTCGTGTTTATTCAGTGACGTCAGGACTCCTGTCCAGTAAGGAGGGACAGCTCAGGAATCTCTTCGAGGCTTGGCAGGGCAAAAGGGATGCTTCTCGAGGTGAGGCAGGGCACCCAAGAACCCTGTCCTGTAGGTACAGTGATTTTGGGATTCCTATCAATGTTCAGGAGGAGTCAGGCATCGTCAGCTTTTGAAGCAGTGAACTCCGCGTGACTCTCGAGGTGTCAACGGGATGTGAGGCATTCCGTCACAATGAGGCAGGGACCTAGGGCTTTCTCTAAGGTCTCCACAGGGGATTCAGACATCTCTTCCTGCTGTGAGATGAAAGACGAGCCTGTATTCAAGACACTGCTAGGAAACCGGCCTCCATTCTAGTTAGTGCTTCTCGCTGTATATTCCATTTGAGGCAGCAAACTCGGGTTCCCTCCCACATACCTATTGCTGAGAGAAGCCTCCTCTTGAGGTGCTTCTGGAAAGTTGGCATACGTCTTGAGCCTAAGCCAGGGAATCAGCTCTCAACTCGAGAAGATTTGGCATACAGGAAGCATTCCTCGAGTTGCCGTGCTAAAGGAGGTTTTCCTCTAGACTTGGGACAGTGTTCTCGGGGCATCTCTGGAGTTGTCTGAAGGAGGTCAAGCCACTGGTGGTGTTTAATGCGGAACGGCAGATGTCTCTGGAGTCAATGCAGGGGAATCGGACCTCATCTCAAGTTGATTTGTGGCACATGGAGCTGCTTTGCGTTGCTGGGGATACCTCAGGGTCCGTCTAGACATGTGACAGTGTTCTTGGGGAATGTCTCGAGATCCATTAAGCAAGTCGAAGCTCCTGACTTGTTTGATGGGGATCACGGAATTGCTCTGCATGCACTGCAGGAGAATCGGGCCTCATCTCGCTTCTAGGCGGAAGTCTCATGGTTTTTCTCGAGTTGCGGCGGGGACCTGGGGTATTACTCTAGTTACGGCGGCAATGGCCCTTCAAAACACGTGTTTATTCAGTGACGTCAGGACTCCTGTCCAGTAACGAGGGACAGCTCAGGAATCTCTTCGAGGCTTGCCGGGGCACAAGGGACGCTTCTCGAGGTGAGGCAGGGCACCCAAGGAACCTTTCCAATAGCCACAGGGATTTTGGGATTCCTATCAATATTCAAGAGGAGTCAGGCATCGTCACCTTTTGAAGCAGTGAACTCCGCGTGCCTCTCGTGGTGTCAACGGGATGTGAGGCATTCCGTCACAATGAGGCAGGGACCTAGGGCTTTCTCTAAGGTCTTCACAGGGGATTCAGACATCCTTTCCTGTTGTGAGATGAAAGACGAGCCTGTATACAAGACACTGCAAGGAAATCCGGCCTCCTTTCAAGTTAGGGCTTCTCGCTGTATATTCCACTTGAGGCAGCAAACTCGGGGTCCATCCCACATACCTATTGCTGAGAGAAGCCTCCTCCTGAGGTGCTTCTGGAAAGTTGGCATACGTCTTGAGCCTAAGCCAGGGAATCAGCTCTCATCTCGAGACGATTTGTGGTACACGGAGCATTACTCGAGTTGCTGTGCTGAAGTTGGTGTTCCTCTAGTCTTGGGACAGTGTTCTCATGGCATTTCTGGAGTTGCCTGAAGGAAGGCAAGCCACTGGTGGTGTTTAATGGGTTGCGGGGGATGGCTCTGGAGTCAATGCATGGGAATCGGGCCTCATCTCGAGTTGATGTGGGGTACTTGCAGCTGATTTGCATTGCTGGGGTGACCTCAGGGTCTGTCTAGACTTGTGACAGTGTTCCTGGGGACTTTCTCGAGTTCAATTCAGCAAGTCGAAGCTCCTGACTTGCTTGATGGGGATCACAGGAATGCACTGCATCGACTGCAGGGAATCAGGCCTCATCTCGCATCTAGGGGAAGTCTCATGGTTTTTCTCTAGTTGCGGCGGGACCTGGGGTATGTTCTCGAGTTATGGCGGGCATGGCCCTTGAAAACACGTGTTTATTCAGTGACGTCATGACTCCTGTCTAGTAATTAGGGACACCTCAGGAATCTCTTCGAGCCTTGGCAGGGCAAAAGGGATGCTTCTCGAGGTGCGGCAGGGCACACAAGAACCCTTTCCTCTAGCCACAGTGATTTTGGGGTTCCTATCAATGATCAGGAGGGGTCAGGCATCGTCACATTTGAAGCAGTGAACTCCGTGTGCCTCTCGAGGTGTCAACGGGATGTGAGGCAATCCGTCAAAATGAGGCAGGGACCTAGGGCTTTCGCTAAGTTCTCCACAGGGGATTCAGACATTCCTTCCTGTTGTGAGATGAAAGACGAGCCTGTATTCAAGTCACAGCAAGGAAATCCGGCCTCCTTTCAAGTTAGGACTTCTCGCTGCATATTCCACTTGAGGCAGCAAACTGGGGGTCCCTCAAACATATCAATTGCTGAGAGAAGCCTCCCCTTGAGGTGCTTCTGGAAAGTTGGCATACGTCTTGAGCCTAAGCCAGGGAATCAGCTCTCATCTCGAGACGATTTGGGGTACACGGAGCATTCCTCGAGTTGCTGTGCTGAAGATGGTGTTCCTCTAGACTTGGGACAGTGTTCTCAGGGCATCTCTGGAGTTGTCTGAAGGAAGTCAAGCCACTGCTCTTGTTTAATGTGGAACGGGGGATGGCTCTGGAGTCAATGCAGGGGAATCCGGCATTATCTCGAGTTGATGTGGGGCACATGGTGCTGCTTTGCGTTGATGGGGTGACCTCAGGATCCGTCTAGACATGTGACAGTATTCTTGGGGACTGTCTCGAGATCCATTAAGCAAGTCGAAGGTCCTGACTTGTTTGATGGGGATCACGGAATTGCTCTGCATGCACTGCAGGTGAATCGGGCCTCATCTCGCCTTTAGGGGAAAGTCTCATGGTTTTTCTCGACTTGCGGCGGGGATCTGGGGTATGTACTCGGTTTACGGCGGGGATGGCCCTTAAAAACTCGTGTTTATTCAGTGACGTCAGGACTCCTGTCCAGTAACGAGGGACAGCTCAGGAATCTCTTCGAGGCTTGGCAGGCACAAGGGACGCTTCTCGAGGTGAGGCAGGGCACCCAAGGAACCTTTCAAATAGCCACAGGTATTTTGTGATTCCTATCAATATTCAAGAGGAGTCAGGCATCGTCAGCTTTTGAAGCAGTGAACTCCACGTGACTCTCGAGGTGTCAACGGGATGTGAGGCATTCCGTCAAAATGAGGCAGGGACCTAGGGCTTTCTCTAAGGTCTCCACAGGGGATTCAGACATCTCTTCCTGCTGTGAGATGAAAGACGAGCCTGTATCCAAGACACTGCTAGGAAACCGTCCTCCTTTCTAGTTAGTGCTTCTCGCTGTTTATTCCATTTGAGGCAGCAAACTCGGGTTCCCTCCCACATACCTATTGCTGAGAGAAGCCTCCTCTTGAGGTGCTTCTGGAAAGTTGGCATAGGTCTTGAGCCTAAGCCAGGGAATCAGCTCTCATCTCGAGAAGATTTGGCATACAGGAAGCATTCCTCGAGTTGCTGTGCTAAAGTAGGTGTTCCTCTAGACTTGGGACAGTGTTCTCGGGGCATCTCTGGAGTTGTCTGAAGGAGGTCAAGCCACTGGTGGTGTTTAATGCGGAACGGCAGATGGCTCTGGAGTCAATGCAGGGGAATCGGACCTCATCTCAAGTTGATTTGGGGCACATGGAGCTGCTTTGCGTTGCTGGGGATACCTCAGGGTCCGTCTAGACATGTGACAGTGTTCTTGGGGAATGTCTCGAGATCCATTAAGCAAGTCGAAGCCCCTGACTTGTTTGATGGGGATCACGGAATTGCTCTGCATGCACTGCAGGAGAATCGGGCCTCATCTCGCCTCTAAGCGGAAGTCTCATGGTTTTGCTCGAGTTGCGGCGGGGAACTGGGGTATGTTCTCGAGTTATGGCGGGGATGGCCGTTCAAAACACGTGTTTATTCAGTGACGTCAGGACTCCTGTCTAGTAACGAGAGACACCTCAGGAATCTCTTCGAGGCTTGGCAGGGCACAAGGGACGCTTGTCGAGGTGAGGCAGGGCACCCAAGGAACCTTTCCAATAGCCACAGGGATTTTGGGATTCCTATCAATATTTTAGAGGAGTCAGGCATCGTCACTTTTTGAAGCCGTGAACTCCGCGTGCCTCTCGAGGTGACAACGGGATGTGAGGCATTCCGTCAAAATGAGGCAGGGACCTATAGCTTTCTCTAAGGTCTCCACAGGGGATTCAGACATCCCTTCATTCTGTGAGATGAAAGACGAGCCTGTATTCAAGCCACTGCAAGGAAATCCAGCCTCCTTTCAAGTTAGGGCTTCTCGCTGTATATTAGACTTGAGGCAGCAAACTCGGGGTCCCTCCAACATACCTATTGCTGAGAGAAGCCTCCTCTTGAGGTGCTTCTGGAAAGTTGGCATACGTCTTGAGCCTAAGCCAGGGATTCAGCTCTCATCTCGAGACGATTTGTGGTACACGGAGCATTACTCGAGTTGCTGTGCTGAAGTTGGTGTTCCTCTAGTCTTGGGACAGTGTTCTCGGGGCATTTCTGGAGTTGCCTGAAGGAAGTCAAGCCACTGGTGATGTTTAATGCGTTACGGGGGATGGCTCTGGAGTCAATGCATGGGAATCGGGCCTCATCTCGAGTTGATGTGGGGTACTTGCAGCTGCTTTGCATTGCTGGGGTGACCTCAGGGTCTGTCTAGACTTGTGACAGTGTTCCTGGGGACTTTCTCGAGTTGAATTAAGCAAGTCGAAGCTCCTGACTTACTTGATGGGGATCACGGGAATGCTCTGCATGGACTGCAGGGAATCAGGCCTCATCTCGCATCTAGGGGAAGTCTCATGGTTTTACTCGAGTTGTGGCGGGAACTGGGGTATGTTCTCGAGTTATGGCGGGGATGGCCCTTCAAAACACGTGTTTATTCAGTGACGTCAGGACTCCTGTCTAGTAACGAGAGACACCTCAGGAATCTCTTCGAGGCTTGGCAGGGCAAAAGGGTTGCTTCTCGAGGTGAGGCAGGGCACCCAAGGACCCTGTCCTATAGCTACAGTAATTTTGGGATTCCTATCAATGTTCAGGAGGAGTCAGGCATCGTCACATTTTGAAGCAGTGAACTCCGCGTGCCTCTCGATGTGCCAACGGGATGTGAGGCATTCCGTCAAAATGAGGCAGGGACCTAGGGCTATCGCTAAGGTCTCCACAGGGGATTCAGACTTTCCTTCCGGTTGTGAGATGAAAGTCGAGCCTGTATTCAAGACCCTGCAGGGAAACCCGGCCTCCTTTCAAGTTAGGGCTTCTCGCTGCATATTCCACTTGAGGCAGCAAACTGGGGGTCCCTCCAACATACCTATTGCTGAGAGAAGCCTCCCCTTGAGGTGCTTCTGGAAAGTTGGCATACGTCTTGAGCCTAAGCCAGGGATCAGCTCTCATCTCGAGACGATTTGGGGTACAGGGAGCATTCCTCGCGTTGCTGTGCTGAAGATGGTGTTTCTCTAGACTTGGGACAGTGTTCTCAGGGTATCTCTGGAGTTGTCTGAAGGAAGTCAAGCCACTGGTGGTTTTTAATGTGGAACGGGGGATGGCTCTGGATTCAATGCAGGGGAATCGGGCATTATCTCGAGTTGATGTGGGGCACATGGTGCTGCTTTGCGTTGATGGGGTGACCTCAGGATCCGTCTGGATATGTGACAGTATTCTTGGGGACTGTCTCGAGATCCATTAAGCAAGTCGAAGGTCCTGACTTGTTTGATGGGGATCACGGAATTGCTCTGCATGCACTGCAGGAGAATCGGGCCTCATCTCGCCACGAGGGGAAAGTCTCATGGTTTTTCTCGACTTGCGGCGGGGACCTGGGGTATGTACTCGGGTTACGGCGGGGATGGCCCTTAAAAACTCGTGTTTATTCAGTGACGTCAGGACTCCTGTCCAGTAACGAGGGACAGCTCAGGAATCTCTTCGAGTCTTGGCAGGCACAAGCGACGCTTCTCGAGGTGAGGCAGGGCACCCAAGGAACCTTTCAAATAGCCACAGGTATTTTGTGATTCCTATCAATATTCAAGAGGAGTCAGGCATCGTCAGCTTTTGAAGCAGTGAACTCCGCGTGACTCTCGAGGTGTCAACGGGATGTGAGGCATTCCGTCAAAATGAGGGAGGGACCTAGGGCTTTCTCTAAGGTCTCCACAGGGGATTCAGACATTCCTTCTGGTTGTGAGATGAAAGACGAGCCTGTATTCAAGACACTGCTAGGAAACCGGCCTCCTTTCTAGTTAGTGCTTCTCGCTGTATATTCCCTTTGAGGCAGCAAACTCGGGTTCCCTCCCACATACCTATTGCTGAGAGAAGCCTCCTCTTGAGGTGCTTCTGGAAAGTTGGCATACGTCTTGAGCCTAAACCAGGGAATCAGCTCTCATCTCGAGAGGATTTGGCATACAGGAAGCATTCCTCGAGTTGCTGTGCTAAAGTAGGTGTTCCTCTAGTCTTGGGACAGTGTTCTCGGGGCATCTCTGGAGTTGTCTGAAGGAGGTCAAGCCACTGGTGGTGTTTAATGCGGAACGGCAGATGGCTCTGGAGTCAATGCAGGGGAATCGGACCTCATCTCAAGTTGATTTGGGGCACATGGAGCTGCTTTGCGTTGCTGGGGATACCTCAGGGTCCGTCTAGACATGTGACAGTGTTCCTGGGGAATGTCTCAAGATCCATTAAGCAAGTCGAAGCCCCTGACTTGTTTGATGGGGATCACGGAATTTCTCTGCATGCACTGCAGGAGAATCGGGCCTCATCTCGCCTCTAGGCGGAAGTCTCATGGTTTTTCTCGAGTTGCGGCGGGGAACTGGGGTATGTACTCGAGTAACGGCGGGGATGGCCCTTCAAAACACGTGTTTATTCAGTGACGTCAGGACACCTCTCCAGTAACGAGAGACACCTCAGGAATCTCTTCGAGGCTTGGCAGGGCAAAAGGGATGCTTCTCGAGGTCAGGCAGAGCACCCAAGGACCCTGTCCTGTAGCTACAGTGATTTTGGGATTCCTATCAATGTTCAGGATGAGTCAGGCATCGTCACATTTTGAAGCAGTGAACTCCGTGTGCCTCTCGAGGTGTCAACGGGATGTGAGGCATTCCGTCAAAATGAGGCAGAGACCTAGGGCTTTCTCTAAGGTCTCCACAGGGGATTCAGACATTCCTTCCGGTTGTGAGATGAAAGACGAGCCTGTATTCAAGACACAGCAAGGAAATCCGGCCTCCTTTCAAGTTAAGGCTTCTCGCTGCATATTCCACTTGAGGCAGCAAACTGGGGGTCCCTCCAAAATACCTCTTGCTGAGAGAAGCCTCCCCTTGAGGTGCTTCTGGAAAGTTGGCATACGTCTTGAGCCTAAGCCAGGGAATCAGCTCACATCTCGTGACGATTTGGGGTACACGGAGCATTCCTCGAGTTGCTGTGCTGAAGATGGTGTTCCTCTAGACTTGGGACAGTGTTCTCAGGGCATCTCTGGAGTTGCCTGAAGGAAGTCAAGCCACTGGTCGTGTTTAATGTGGAACGGGGGATGGCTCTGGAGTCAATGCAGGGGAATCGGGCATTATCTCGAGTTGATTTGGGGCACATGGTGCTGCTTTGCGTTGATGGGGTGACCTCAGGATCCGTCTAGACATGTGACAGTGTTCTTGGGGACTGTCTCGAGATCCATTAAGCAAGTCGAAGCTTCTGACTTGTTTGATGGGGATCACGGAATTGCTCTGCATGCACTGCAGGAGAATCGGGCCTCATCTCGCCTCTAGGGGAAAGTCTCATGGTTTTTCTCGACTTGCGGCGGGGACCTGGTGTATGTACTCGGCTTACGGCGGGGATGGCCCTTCAAAACTCGTGTTTATTCAGTGACGTCAGGACTCCTGTCCAGTAACGAGGGACAGCTCAGGAATCTCTTCGAGGCTTGGCAGGGCACAAGGGACGCTTCTCGAGGTGAGGCAGGGCACCCAAGGAACCTTTCCAATAGCCACAGGGATTTTGGGATTCCTATCAATATTTTAGAGGAGTCAGGCATCGTCACCTTTTGAAGCAGTGAACTCCGCGTGCCTCTCGAGGTGACAACGGGATGTGAGGCATTCCGTCAAAATGAGGCAGGGACCTAGAGCTTTCTCTAAGGTCTCCACAGGGGATTCAGACATCCCTTCATTCTGTGAGATGAAAGACGAGCCTGTATTCAAGCCACTGCAAGGAAATCCAGCCTCCTTTCAAGTTAGGGCTTCTCGCTGTATATTCCACTTGAGGCAGCAAACTCGGGGTCCCTCCAACATACCTATTGCTGAGAGAAGCCTCCTCTTGAGGTGCTTCTGGAAAGTTGGCATACGTCTTGAGCCTAAGCCAGGGATTCAGCTCTCATCTCGAGACGATTTGTGGTACACGGAGCATTACTCGAGTTGCTGTGCTGAAGTTGGTGTTCCTCTAGTCTTGGGACAGTGTTCTCGGGGCATTTCTGGAGTTCCCTGAAGGAAGTCAAGCCACTGGTGGTGTTTAATGGGTTACGGGGGATGGCTCAGGAGTCAATGCATGGGAATCGGGCCTCATCTCGAGTTGATGTGGGGTACTTGCAGCTGCTTTGCATTGCTGGGGTGACCTCAGGGTCTGTCTAGACTTGTGACAGTGTTCCTGGGGACTTTCTCGAGTTGAATTAAGCAAGTCGAAGCTCCTGACTTGCTTGATGGGGATCACGGGAATGCTCTGCATGGACTGCAGGGAATCAGGCCTCATCTCGCATCTAGGGGAAGTCTCATGGTTTTACTCGAGTTGTGGCGGGAACTGGGGTATGTTCTCGAGTTATGGCGGGGATGGCCCTTCAAAACACGTGTTTATTCAGTGACGTCAGGACTCCTGTCTAGTAACGAGAGACATCTCAGGAATCTCTTCGAGGCTTGGCAGGGCAAAAGGGATGCTTCTCGAGGTGAGGCAGGGCACCCAAGAACCCTGTCCTGTAGCCACAGTGATTTTGGGATTCCTATCAATGTTCAGGAGGAGTCAGGCATCGTCACATTTTGAAGCAGTGAACTCCGTGTGCCTCTCGAAGTGTCAACGGTATGTGAGGCATTCCGTCAATATGAGGCAGGGACCTAGGGCTTTCTCTAAGGTCTCCACAGGGGACTCAGACATTCCTTCCGGTTGTGAGATGAAAGACGAGCCTGTATTCAAGACACAGCAAGGAAATCCGGCCTCCTTTGAAGTTAGGGCTTCTCGCTGTATATTCCACTTGAGGCAGCAAACTGGGGGTCCTTCCAACATTCCTATTGCTGAGAGAAGGCTCCCCTTGAGGTGCTTCTGGAAAGTTGGCATACGTCTTGAGCCTAAGCCAGGGAATCAGCTCTCATCTCGAGACGATTTGGGGTACACGGAGCATTCCTCGAGTTGCTGTGCTGAAGATGGTGTTCCTCTAGACTTGGGACAGTGTTCTCAGAGCATCTCTGGAGTTGCCTGAAGGAAGTCAAGCCACTGGTCGTGTTTAATGTGGAACGGGGGATGGCTCTGGAGTCAATGCAGGGGAATCGGGCATTATCTCGAGTTGATTTGGGGCACATGGTGCTGCTTTGCGTTGATGGGGTGACCTCAGGATCCGTCTAGACATGTGACAGTGTTCCCTGGTGACTGTCTCGAGATCCATTAAGCAAGTCGAAGCTTCTGACTTGTTTGATGGGGATCACGGAATTGCTCTGCATGCACTGCAGGAGAATCGGGCCTCATCTGGCCTCTAGGGGAAAGTCTCATGGTATTTCTCGACTTGCGGCGGGGACCTGGGGTATGTACTCGGGTTACGGCGCGGATGGCCCTTCAAAACTCGTGTTTATTCAGTGACGTCAGGACTCCTGTCCAGTAACGAGGGACAGCTCAGGAATCTCTTCGAGGCTTGGCAGGGCACAAGGGACGCTTCTCGAGGTGAGGCAGGGCACCCAAGGAACCTTTCCAATAGCCACAGGGATTTTGGGATTCCTATCAATATTTTAGAGGAGTCAGGCATCGTCACCTTTTGAAGCAGTGAACTCCGCGTGCCTCTCTAGGTGACAACGGGATGTGAGGCATTCCGTCAAAATGAGGCAGGGACCTATAACCTTCTCTAAGGTCTCCACAGGAGATTCAGTAATCCCTTCATTCTGTGAGATGAAAGACGAGCCTGTATTCAAGCCATTGCAAGGAAATCTGGCCTCCTTTCAAGTTAGGGCTTCTCGCTCTATATTCCACTTGAGGCAGCAAACTCGGGGTCCCTCCAACATACCTATTGCTGAGAGAAGCCTCCTCTTGAGGTGCTACTGGAAAGTTGGCATACGTCTTGAGCCTAAGCCAGGGATTCAGCTCTCATCTCGAGACGATTTGTGGTACACGGAGCATTCCTCGAGTTGCTGTGCTGAAGTTGGTGTTCCTCTAGTCTTGGGAGAGTGTTTGCGGGGCATCTCTGGAGTTGCCTGAAGGAAGTCTAGCCAGTTGTCTTGTTTAATGGGGAACTGGGGATGGCTCTGGAGTCAATGCAGGGGAATCGGGCCACATCTCGGGTTGATTTGGGGCACATGGAGCTGCTTTGCATTGCTGGGGTGACCTCAGGGTCCGTCTAGACTTGTGACAGAGTTCTTGGGGACTGTCTCGAGATCCATTAAGCAAGTCGAAGCTCCTGACTTGTTTGATGGGGATCACGGGAATACTCTGCATGCACTGCAGGGAATCAGGACTCATCTCGCATCTAGGGGGAAGTCTCACGGTTTCTCTCAAGTTGCGCGGGGGACCTGGGGTATCTTCTCGAGTTACGGCGGGGATGGCCCCTCAAAACCCGTGTTTATTCAATGCCGTCATGACTCCTGTCTAGTAATGAGGGACACCTCAGGAATCTCTTCGAGCCTTGGCAGGGCAAAGGGATGCTTCTCGAGGTGAGGCAGGGCACACAAGAATCCTTTCCTGTAGCCACAGTGATTTTGGGATTCCTATCAATGATCAGGAGGGGTCAGGCATCGTCACATTTGAAGCAGTGAACTCCGCGTGCCTCTCGAGGTGTCAACGGGATGTGAGGCATTCCGTCAAATTGAGGCAGGGACCTAGGGCTTTCTCTAAGGTCTTCACAGGGGATTCAGACATCCCTTCCTGTTGTGAGATGAAAGACGAGCCTATATACAAGACACTGCAAGGAAATCCGGCCTCCATTCAAGTTAGGGCTTCTCGCTGTATATTCCACTTGAGGCAGCAAACTCGGGGTCCCTCCAACATACCTATTGCTGATAGAAAGCTCCCCTTGAGGTGCTTTTGGAAAGTTGGCATCCGTCTTGAGCCTAAGCCAGGGAATCAGCTCTCATCTCGAGACGATTTGGGGTACACGGAGCATTCCTCGAGTTGCTGTGCTGAAGATGGTGTTCCTCTAGACTTGGGACAGTGTTCTCAGGGCATCTCTGGAGTTGCCTGTAGGAAGTCTAGCCAGTTGTCTTGTTTAATGGGGAACTGGGGATGGCTCTGGAGTCAATGCAGGGGAATCGGGCCACATCTCGGTTTGATTTGGGGCACATGGCGCTGCTTTGCGTTGCTGGGGTTACCTCAGGGTCCGTCTAGACTTGTGACAGTGTTCTTGGGGACTCTCTCGAGATCCATTAAGCAAGTCGAAGCTCCTGACTTGTTTGATGGGGATCACGGGAATACTCTGCATGCACTGCAGGGAATCAGGACTCATCTCGCATCTAGGGGGAAGCCTCACGGTTTCTCTCAAGTTGTGCGGGGGACTTGGGGTATCTTCACGAGTTACGGCGGGGATGGCCCCTCAAAACCCGTGTTTATTCAGTGCCGTCAGGACTCCTGTCTAGTAACGAGGGACACCTCAGGAATCTCTTCGAGGCTTGGCAGGTCAAAAGGTATGCTTCTCGAGGTGAGGCAGGGCAACCAATGTCCCTTTCCAGTAGCCACAGTGATTTTGGGATTCCTATCAATATTCAAGACGAGTCAGGCATCATCACCTTTTGAAGCAGTGAACTCCGCGTGCCTCTCGAAGTGTCAACTGGATGTGAGGCATTCCGTCAAAATGATGCAGGGACCTAGAGCTTTCTCTAAGGTCTCCACAGGGGATTCAGACATCCCTTCATGCTGTGAGATGAAAGACGAGCCTGTATCCAAGCCACTGCAAGGAAATCCGGCCTCCTTTCAAGTTAGGGCTTCTGGCTGTATATTCCACTTGAGGCAGCAAACTCGGGGTCCCTCCCAAATACCTATTGCTGAGAGAAGCCTCATCTTGAGGTGCTTCTGGAAAGTTGGCATACGTCTTGAACCTAAGCCATGGAATCAGCTCTCACCTCGAAACGATTTGGGCTACACGGAGCATTCCTCGAGTTGCTGTGCTGAAGTTCGTATTCCTCTAGACTTGGGACAGTGTTCTCGGGGCATCTCTCGAGTTGCCTGAAGGAAGTCAAGCCACTGGTGGTGCTTAATGAGGTACGGGGGATGGCTCTGGAGTCAATGCATGGGAATCGGGCCTCAACGCGAGTTGATGTGGGGTACTTGGAGCTGCTTTGCGTTGCTGGGGTGATGTCAGGGTCTGTCTAGACTTGTGACAGTGTTCCTGGGGACTCTCTCGAGATCCATTAAGCAATTCGAAGCTGCTGACTTGCTTGATTGGGATCACGGGAATGCTCTGCATGGACTGCAGGGAATCAGGCCTCATCTCGCATCTAGGGGAAGTCTCATGGTTTTTCTCGAGTTGCGGCGGGAACTGGGGTATGTTCTCGAGTTATGGCGGGGATGGCCCTTCAAAACACGTGTTTATTCAGTGACGTCAGGACTCCTGTCTAGTAACGAGAGACACCTCAGGAATCTCTTCGAGGCTTGGCAGGGCAAAAGGGATGCTTCTCGAGGTGAGGCAGGGCACCCAAGAACCCTGTCCTGTAGCCACAGTGATTTTGGGATTCCTATCAATGTTCAGGAGGAGTCAGGCATCGTCACATTTTGAAGCAGTGAACTCCGTGTGCCTCTCGAAGTGTCAACGGTATGTGAGGCATTCCGTCAAAATGAGGCAGGGACCTAGGGCTTTCTCTAAGGTCTCCACAGGGGATTCAGACATTCCTTCCGGTTGTGAGATGAAAGACGAGCCTGTATTCAAGACACAGCAAGGAAATCCGGCCTCCTTTGAAGTTAGGGCTTCTCGCTGTATATTCCACTTGAGGCAGCAAACTGGGGGTCCCTCCAACATTCCTATTGCTGAGAGAAGGCTCCCCTTGAGGTGCTTCTGGAAAGTTGGCATACGTCTTGAGCCTAAGCCAGGGAATCAGCTCTCATCTCGAGACGATTTGGGGTACACGGAGCATTCCTCGAGTTGCTGTGCTGAAGATGGTGTTCCTCTAGACTTGGGACAGTGTTCTCAGGGCATCTCTGGAGTTGCCTGAAGGAAGTCAAGCCACTGGTCGTGTTTAATGTGGAACGGGGGATGGCTCTGGAGTCGATGCAGGGGAATTGGGCATTATCTCGAGTTGATTTGGGGCACATGGTGCTGCCTTGCGTTGATGGGGTGACCTCAGGATCCGTCTAGACATGTAACAGTGTTCTTGGGGACTGTCTCGAGATCCATTAAGCAAGTCGAAGCTCCTGACTTGCTTGATGGGGATCACGGGAATGCTCTGCATGGACTGCAGGGAATCAGGCCTCATCTCGCATCTAGGGGAAGTCTCATGGTTTTACTCGAGTTGCGGCGGGAACTGGGGTATGTTCTCGAGTTATGGCGGGGATGGCCCTTCAAAACACGTGTTTATTCAGTGACGTCAGGACTCCTGTCTAGTAACGAGAGACACCTCAGGAATCTCTTCAAGGCTTGGCAGGGCAAAAGGGATGCTTCTCGAGGTGAGGCAGGGCACCCAAGAACCCTGTCCTGTAGCTACAGTGATTTTGGGATTCCTATCAATGTTCAGGAGGAGTCAGGCATCGTCATATTTTGAAGCAGTGAACTCCGTGTGCATCTCGAGTTGTCAATGGGATGTGAGGCATTCCGTCAAAATGAGGCAGGGACCTAGGGCTTTCTCTAAGGTCTCCACAGGGGATTCAGACATTCCTTCCGGTTTTGAGATGAAAGATGAGCCTGTATTCAAGACACAGCAAGGAAATCCGGCCTCCTTTCAAGTTAGGGCTTCTCGCTGCATATTCCACTTGAGGCAGCAAACTGGGGGTCCCTCCAACATACCTATTGCTGAGAGAAGGCTCCCCTTGAGGTGCTTCTGGAAAGTTGGCATACGTCTTGAGCCTAAGCCAGGGAATCAGCTCACATCTCGAGATGATTTGGGGTACACGGAGCATTCCTCGAGTTGCTGTGCTGAAGATGCTGTTCCTCTAGACTTGGGACAGTGTTCTCAGGGCATCTCTGGAGTTGTCTGAAGGAAGTCAAGCCACTGGTGGTTTTTAATGTGGAACGGGGGATGGCTCTGGATTCAATGCAGGGGAATCGGGCATTATCTCGAGTTGATTTGGGGCACATGGTGCTGCCTTGCGTTGATGGGGTGACCTCAGGATCCGTCTGGATATGTGACAGTATTCTTGGGGACTGTCTCGAGATCCATTAAGCAAGTCGAAGGTCCTGACTTGTTTGATGGGGATCACGGAATTGCTGTGCATGCACTGCAGGAGAATCGGGCCTCATCTCGCCACTAGGGGAAAGTCTCATGGTTTTTCTCGACTTGCGGCGGGGACCTGGGGTATGTACTCGGGTTACGGCGGGGATGGCCCTTAAAAACTCGTGTTTATTCAGTGACGTCAGGACTCCTGTCCAGTAACGAGGGACAGCTCAGGAATCTCTTCGAGTCTTGGCAAGCACAAGGGACGCTTCTCGAGGTGAGGCAGGGCACCCAAGGAACCTTTCAAATAGCCACAGGTATTTTGTGATTCCTATCAATATTCAAGAGGAGTCAGGCATCCTCAGCTTTTGAAGCAGTGAACTCCGCGTGACTCTCGAGGTGTCAACGGGATGTGAGGCATTCCGTCAAAATGAGGGAGGGACCTAGGGCTGTCTCTAAGGTCTCCACAGGGGATTCAGACATTCCTTCTGGTTGTGAGATGAAAGACGAGCCTGTATTCAAGACACTGCTAGGAAATCCGGCCTCCTTTCTAGTTAGTGCTTCTCGCTGTATATTCCCTTTGAGGCAGCAAACTCGGGTTCCCTCCCACATACCTATTGCTGAGAGAAGCCTCCTCTTGAGGTGCTTCTGGAAAGTTGGCATACGTCTTGAGCCTAAGCCAGGGAATCAGCTCACATCTCGTGACGATTTGGGGTACACGGAGCATTCCTCGAGTTGCTGTGCTGAAGATGGTGTTCCTCTAGACTTGGGACATTGTTCTCAGGTCATCTCTGGAGTTGCCTGAAGGAAGTCAAGCCACTGGTCGTGTTTAATGTGGAACGGGGGATGGCTCTGGAGTCAATGCAGGGGAATCGGGCATTATCTCGAGTTGATTTGGGGCACATGGTGCTGCTTTGCGTTGATGGGGTGACCTCAGGATCCGTCTAGACATGTGACAGTGTTCCCTGGTGACTGTCTCGAGATCCATTAAGCAAGTCGAAGCTTCTGACTTGTTTGATGGGGATCACGGAATTGCTCTGCATGCACTGCAGGAGAATCGAGCCTCATCTCGCCTCTAGGGGAAAGTCTCATGGTTATTCTCGACTTGCGGCGGGGACCTGGGGTATGTACTCGGCTTACGGCGGGGATGGCCCTTCAAAACTCGTGTTTATTCAGTGACGTCAGGACTCCTGTCCAGTAACGAGGGACAGCTCAGGAATCTCTTCGAGGCTTGGCAGGGCGCAAGGGACGCTTCTCGAGGTGAGGCAGGGCACCCAAGGAACCTTTCCAATAGCCACAGGGATTTTGGGATTCCTATCAATGTTCAGGAGGAGTCAGGCATCGTCATATTTTGAAGCAGTGAACTCCGTGTGCATCTCGAGTTGTCAACGGGATGTGAGGCATTTCGTCAAAATGAGGCAGGGACCTAGGGCTTTCTCTAAGGTCTCCACAGGGGATTCAGACATTCCTTCCGGTTTTGAGATGAAAGATGAGCCTGTATTCAAGACACAGCAAGGAAATCCGGCCTCCTTTCAAGTTAGGGCTTCTCGCTGCATATTCCACTTGAGGCAGCAAACTGGGGGTCCCTCCAACATACCTATTGCTGAGAGAAGGCTCCCCTTGAGGTGCTTCTGGAAAGTTGGCATACGTCTTGAGCCTAAGCCAGGGAATCAGCTCACATCTCGAGATGATTTGGGGTACACGGAGCATTCCTCGAGTTGCTGTGCTGAAGATGGTGTTCCTCTAGACTTGGGACAGTGTTCTCAGGGCATCTCTGGAGTTGTCTGAAGGAAGTCAAGCCACTGGTGGTTTTTAATGTGGAACGGGGGATGGCTCTGGATTCAATGCAGGGGAATCGGGCATTATCTCGAGTTGATGTGGGGCACATGGTGCTGCTTTGCGTTGATGGGGTGACCTCAGGATCCGTCTGGATATGTGACAGTATTCTTGGGGACTGTCTCGAGATCCATTAAGCAAGTCGAAGGTCCTGACTTGTTTGATGGGGATCACGGAATTGCTCTGCATGCACTGCAGGAGAATCGGGCCTCATCTCGCCACGAGGGGAAAGTCTCATGGTTTTTCTCGACTTGCGGCAGGGACCTGGGGTATGTACTCGGGTTACGGCGGGGATGGCCCTTAAAAACTCGTGTTTATTCAGTGACGTCAGGACTCCTGTCCAGTAACGAGGGACAGCTCAGGAATCTCTTCGAGTCTTGGCAGGCACAAGCGACGCTTCTCGAGGTGAGGCAGGGCACCCAAGGAACCTTTCAAATAGCCACAGGTATTTTGTGATTCCTATCAATATTCAAGAGGAGTCAGGCATCGTCAGCTTTTGAAGCAGTGAACTCCGCGTGACTCTCGAGGTGTCAACGGGATGTGAGGCATTCCGTCAAAATGAGGGAGGGACCTAGGGCTTTCTCTAAGGTCTCCACAGGGGATTCAGACATTCCTTCTGGTTGTGAGATGAAAGACGAGCCTGTATTCAAGACACTGCTAGGAAACCGGCCTCCTTTCTAGTTAGTGCTTCTCGCTGTATATTCCCTTTGAGGCAGCAAACTCGGGTTCCCTCCCACATACCTATTGCTGAGAGAAGCCTCCTCTTGAGGTGCTTCTGGAAAGTTGACATACGTCTTGAGCCTAAACCAGGGAATCAGCTCTCATCTCGAGAGGATTTGGCATACAGGAAGCATTCCTCGAGTTGCTGTGCTAAAGTAGTTGTTCCTCTAGACTTGGGCCAGTGTTCTCGGGGCATCTCTGGAGTTGTCTGAAGGAGGTCAAGCCACTGGTGGTGTTTAATGCAGAACGGCAGATGGCTCTGGAGTCAATGCAGGGGAATCGGACCTCATCTCAAGTTGATTTGGGGCACATGGAGCTGCTTTGCGTTGCTGGGGATACCTCAGGGTCCGTCTAGACATGTGACAGTGTTCCTGGGGAATGTCTCGAGATCCATTAAGCAAGTCGAAGCCCCTGACTTGTTTGATGGGGATCACGGAATTTCTCTGCATGCACTGCAGGAGAATCGGGCCTCATCTCGCCTCTAGGCGGAAGTCTCATGGTTTTTCTCGAGTTGCGGCGGGGAACTGGGCTATGTACTCGAGTTACGGCGGGGATGGCCCTTCAAAACACGTGTTTATTCAGTGACGTCAGGACTCCTGTCCAGTAACGAGAGACACCTCAGGAATCTCTTCGAGGCTTGGCAGGGCAAAAGGGATGCTTCTCGAGGTCAGGCAGAGCACCCAAGGACCCTCTCCTGTAGCTACAGTGATTTTGGGATTCCTATCAATGTTCAGGATGAGTCAGGCATCGTCACATTTTGAAGCAGTGAACTCCGTGTGCCTCTCGAGGTGTCAACGGGATGTGAGGCATTCCGTCAAAATGAGGCAGAGACCTAGGGCTTTCTCTAAGGTCTCCACAGGTGATTCAGACATTCCTTCCGGTTGTGAGATGAAAGACGAGCCTGTAATCAAGACACAGCAAGGAAATCCGGCCTCCTTTCAAGTTAGGGCTTCTCGCTGCATATTCCACTTGAGGCAGCAAACTGGGGGTCCCTCCAACATACCTATTGCTGAGAGAAGGCTCCCCTTGAGGTGCTTCTGGAAAGTTGGCATACGTCTTGAGCCTAAGCCAGGGAATCAGCTCACATCTCGTGACGATTTGGGGTACACGGAGCATTCCTCGAGTTGCTGTGCTGAAGATGGTGTTCCTCTAGACTTGGGACAGTGTTCTCAGGTCATCTCTGGAGTTGCCTGAAGGAAGTCAAGCCACTGGTCGTGTTTAATGTGGAACGGGGGATGGCTCTGGAGTCAATGCAGGGGAATCGGGCATTATCTCGAGTTGATTTGGGGCACATGGTGCTGCTTTGCGTTGATGGGGTGACCTCAGGATCCGTCTAGACATGTGACAGTGTTCCCTGGTGACTGTCTCGAGATCCATTAAGCAAGTCGAAGCTTCTGACTTGTTTGATGGGGATCACGGAATTGCTCTGCATGCACTGCAGGAGAATCGGGCCTCATCTCGCCTCTAGGGGAAAGTCTCATGGTTTTTCTCGACTTGCGGCCGGGACCTGGGGTATGTACTCGGGTTACGGCGGGGATGGCCCTTAAAAACTCGTGTTTATTCAGTGACGTCAGGACTCCTGTCCAGTAACGAGGGACAGCTCAGGAATCTCTTCGAGTCTTGGCAGGCAAAAGCGACGCTTCTCGAGGTGAGGCAGGGCACCCAAGGAACCTTTCAAATAGCCACAGGTATTTTGTGATTCCTATCAATATTCAAGAGGAGTCAGGCATCGTCAGCTTTTGAAGCAGTGAACTCCGCGTGACTCTCGAGGTGTCAACGGGATGTGAGGCATTCCGTCAAAATGAGGGAGGGACCTAGGGCTTTCTCTAAGGTCTCCACAGGGGATTCAGACATTCCTTCTGGTTGTGAGATGAAAGACGAGCCTGTATTCAAGACACTGCTAGGAAACCGGCCTCCTTTCTAGTTAGTGCTTCTCGCTGTATATTCCCTTTGAGGCAGCAAACTCGGGTTCCCTCCCACATACCTATTGCTGAGAGAAGCCTTCTCTTGAGGTGCTTCTGGAAAGTTGGCATACGTCTTGAGCCTAAACCAGGGAATCAGCTCTCATCTCGAGAGGATTTGGCATACAGGAAGCATTCCTCGAGTTGCTGTGCTAAAGTAGGTGTTCCTCTAGACTTGGGACAGTGTTCTCGGGGCATCTCTGGAGTTGTCTGAAGGAGGTCAAGCCACTGGTGGTGTTTAATGCGGAACGGCAGATGGCTCTGGAGTCAATGCAGGGGAATCGGACCTCATCTCAAGTTGATTTGGGGCACATGGAGCTGCTTTGCGTTGCTGGGGATACCTCAGGGTCCGTCTAGACATGTGACAGTGTTCCTGGGGAATGTCTCGAGATCCATTAAGCAAGTCGAAGCCCCTGACTTGTTTGATGGGGATCACGGAATTTCTCTGCATGCACTGCAGGAGAATCGGGCCTCATCTCGCCTCTAGGCGGAAGTCTCATGGTTTTTCTCGAGTTGCGGCGGGGAACTGGGGTATGTACTCGAGTTACGGCGGGGATGGCCCTTCAAAACACGTGTTTATTCAGTGACGTCAGGACTCCTGTCCAGTAACGAGAGACACATCAGGAATCTCTTCGAGGCTTGGCAGGGCAAAAGGGATGCTTCTCGAGGTCAGGCAGAGCACCCAAGGACCCTGTCCTGTAGCTACAGTGATTTTGGGATTCCTATCAATGTTCAGGATGAGTCAGGCATCGTCACATTTTGAAGCAGTGAACTCCGTGTGCCTCTCGAGGTGTCAACGGGATGTGAGGCATTCCGTCAAAATGAGGCAGAGACCTAGGGCTTTCTCTAAGGTCTCCACAGGGGATTCAGACATTCCTTCCGGTTGTGAGATGAAAGACGAGCCTGTATTCAAGACACAGCAAGGAAATCCGGCCTCCTTTCAAGTTAGGGCTTCTCGCTGCATATTCCACTTGAGGCAGCAAACTGGGGGTCCCTCCAACATACCTATTGCTGAGAGAAGGCTCCCCTTGAGGTGCTTCTGGAAAGTTGGCATACGTCTTGAGCCTAAGCCAGGGAATCAGCTCACATCTCGTGACGATTTGGGGTACACGGAGCATTCCTCGAGTTGCTGTGCTGAAGATGGTCTTCCTCTAGACTTGGGACAGTGTTCTCAGGTCATCTCTGGAGTTGCCTGAAGGAAGTCAAGCCACTGGTCGTGTTTAATGTGGAACGGGGGATGGCTCTGGAGTCAATGCAGGGGAATCGGGCATTATCTCGAGTTGATTTGGGGCACATGGTGCTGCTTTGCGTTGATGGGGTGACCTCAGGATCCGTCTAGACATGTGACAGTGTTCCCTGGTGACTGTCTCGAGATCCATTAAGCAAGTGGAAGCTTCTGACTTGTTTGATGGGGATCACGGAATTGCTCTGCATGCACTGCAGGAGAATCGGGCCTCATCTCGCCTCTAGGGGAAAGTCTCATGGTTTTTCTCGACTTGCGGCGGGGACCTGGGGTATGTACTCGGCTTACGGCGGGGATGGCCCTTCAAAACTCGTGTTTATTCAGTGACGTCAGGACTCCTGTCCAGTAACGAGGGACAGCTCAGGAATCTCTTCGAGGCTTGGCAGGGCACAAGGGACGCTTCTCGAGGTGAGGCAGGGCACCCAAGGAACATTTCCAATACCCACAGGGATTTTGGGATTCCTATCAATATTTTAGAGGAGTCAGGCATCGTCACCTTTTGAAGCAGTGAACTCCGCGTGCCTCTCGAGGTGACAACGGGATGTGAGGCATTCCGTCAAAATGAGGCAGGGACCTAGAGCTTTCTCTAAGGTCTCCACAGGGGATTCAGACATCCCTTCATTCTGTGAGATGAAAGACGAGCCTGTATTCAAGCCACTGCAAGGAAATCCGGCCTCCTTTCAAGTTAGGGCTTCTCGCTGTATATTCCACTTGAGGCAGCAAACTCGGGGTCCCTCCCACATACCTATTGCTGAGAGAAGCCTCCTCTTGAGGTGCTTCTGGAAAGTTGGCATACGTCTTGAGCCTAAGCCAGGGATTCAGCTCTCATCTCGAGACGATTTTTGGTACACGGAGCATTACTTGAGTTGCTGTGCTGAAGTTGGTGTTCCTCTAGTCTTGGGACAGTGTTCTCGGGGCATTTCTTTAGTTCCCTGAAGGAAGTCAAGCCACTGGTGGTGTTTCATGGGTTACGGGGGATGGCTCAGGAGTCAATGCATGGGAATCGGGCCTCATCTCGAGTTGATGTGGGGTACTTGCAGCTGCTTTGCATTGCTGGGGTGACCTCAGGGTCTGTCTAGACTTGTGACAGTGTTCCTGGGGACTTTCTCGAGTTGAATTAAGCAAGTCGAAGCTCCTGACTTGCTTGATGGGGATCACGGGAATGCTCTGCATGGACTGCAGGGAATCAGGCCTCATCTCGCATCTAGGGGAAGTCTCATGGTTTTACTCGAGTTGCGGCGGGAACTGGGGTATGTTCTCGAGTTATGGCGGGGATGGCCCTTCAAAACACGTGTTTATTCAGTGACGTCAGGACTCCTGTCCAGTAACGAGAGACATCTCAGGAATCTCTTCGAGGCTTGGCAGGGCAAAAGGGATGCTTCTCGAGGTGAGGCAGGGCACCCAAGAACCCTGTCCTGTAGCCACAGTGATTTTGGGATTCCTATCAATGTTCAGGAGGAGTCAGGCATCGTCACATTTTGAAGCAGTGAACTCCGTGTGCCTCTCGAAGTGTCAACGGTATGTGAGGCATTCCGTCAATATGAGGCAGGGACCTAGGGCTTTCTCTAAGGTCTCCACAGGGGACTCAGACATTCCTTCCGGTTGTGAGATGAAAGACGAGCCTGTATTCAAGACACAGCAAGGAAATCCGGCCTCCTTTGAAGTTAGGGCTTCTCGCTGTATATTCCACTTGAGGCAGCAAACTGGGGGTCCCTCCAACATTCCTATTGCTGAGAGAAGGCTCCCCTTGAGGTGCTTCTGGAAAGTTGGCATACGTCTTGAGCCTAAGCCAGGGAATCAGCTCTCATCTCGAGACGATTTGGGGTACACGGAGCATTCCTCGAGTTGCTGTGCTGAAGATGGTGTTCCTCTAGACTTGGGACAGTGTTCTCAGGGCATCTCTGGAGTTGCCTGAAGGAAGTCAAGCCACTGGTCGTGTTTAATGTGGAACGGGGAATGGCTCTGGAGTCAATGCAGGGGAATCGGGCATTATCTCGAGTTGATTTGGGGCACATGGTGCTGCTTTGCGTTGATGGGGTGACCTCAGGATCCGTCTAGACATGTGACAGTGTTCCCTGGTGACTGTCTCGAGATCCATTAAGCAAGTCGAAGCTTCTGACTTGTTTGATGGGGATCACGGAATTGCTCTGCATGCACTGCAGGAGAATCGGGCCTCATCTGGCCTCTAGGGGAAAGTCTCATGGTATTTCTCGACTTGCGGCGGGGACCTGGGGTATGTACTCGGGTTACGGCGGGGATGGCCCTTCAAAACTCGTGTTTATTCAGTGACGTCAGGACTCCTGTCCAGTAACGAGGGACAGCTCAGGAATCTCTTCGAGGCTTGGCAGGGCACAAGGGACACTTCTCGAGGTGAGGCAGGGCACCCAAGGAACCTTTCCAATAGCCACAGGGATTTTGGGATTCCTATCAATATTTTAGAGGAGTCAGGCATCGTCACCTTTTGAAGCAGTGAACTCCGCGTGCCTCTCTAGGTGACAACGGGATGTGAGGCATTCCGTCAAAATGAGGCAGGGACCTATAGCCTTCTCTAAGGTCTCCACAGGAGATTCAGTCATCCCTTCATTCTGTGAGATGAAAGACGAGCCTGTATTCAAGCCATTGCAAGGAAATCTGGCCTCCTTTCAAGTTAGGGCTTCTCGCTCTATATTCCACTTGAGGCAGCAAACTCGGGGTCCCTCCAACATACCTATTGCTGAGAGAAGCCTCCTCTTGAGGTGCTACTGGAAAGTTGGCATACGTCTTGAGCCTAAGCCAGGGATTCAGCTCTCATCTCGAGACGATTTGTGGTACACGGAGCATTCCTCGAGTTGCTGTGCTGAAGTTGGTGTTCCTCTAGTCTTGGGAGAGTGTTTGCGGGGCATCTCTGGAGTTGCCTGAAGGAAGTCTAGCCAGTTGTCTTGTTTAATGGGGAACTGGGGATGGCTCTGGAGTCAATGCAGGGGAATCGGGCCACATCTCGGGTTGATTTGGGGCACATGGAGCTGCTTTGCATTGCTGGGGTGACCTCAGGGTCCGTCTAGACTTGTGACAGAGTTCTTGGGGACTGTCTCGAGATCCATTAAGCAAGTCGAAGCTCCTGACTTGTTTGATGGGGATCACGGGAATACTCTGCATGCACTGCAGGGAATCAGGACTCATCTCGCATCTAGGGGGAAGTCTCACGGTTTCTCTCAAGTTGCGCGGGGGACCTGGGGTATCATCTCGAGTTACGGCGGGGATGGCCCCTCAAAACCCGTGTTTATTCAATGCCGTCATGACTCCTGTCTAGTAATGAGGGACACCTCAGGAATCTCTTCGAGCCTTGGCAGGGCAAAGGGATGCTTCTCGAGGTGAGGCAGGGCACACAAGAATCCTTTCCTGTAGCCACAGTGATTTTGGGATTCCTATCAATGATCAGGAGGGGTCAGGCATCGTCACATTTGAAGCAGTGAACTCCGCGTGCCTCTCGAGGTGTCAACGGGATGTGAGGCATTCCGTCAAATTGAGGCAGGGACCTAGGGCTTTCTCTAAGGTCTTCACAGGGGATTCAGACATCCCTTCCTGTTGTGAGATGAAAGACGAGCCTATATACAAGACACTGCAAGGAAATCCGGCCTCCATTCAAGTTAGGGCTTCTCGCTGTATATTCCACTTGAGGCAGCAAACTCGGGGTCCCTCCAACATACCTATTGCTGATAGAAAGCTCCCCTTGAGGTGCTTTTGGAAAGTTGGCATCCGTCTTGAGCCTAAGCCAGGGAATCAGCTCTCATCTCGAGACGATTTGGGGTACACGGAGCATTCCTCGAGTTGCTGTGCTGAAGATGGTGTTCCTCTAGACTTGGGACAGTGTTCTCAGGGCATCTCTGGAGTTGCCTGTAGGAAGTCTAGCCAGTTGTCTTGTTTAATGGGGAACTGGGGATGGCTCTGGAGTCAATGCAGGGGAATCGGGCCACATCTCGGTTTGATTTGGGGCACATGGCGCTGCTTTGCGTTGCTGGGGTTACCTCAGGGTCCGTCTAGACTTGTGACAGTGTTCTTGGGGACTGTCTCGAGATCCATTAAGCAAGTCGAAGCTCCTGACTTGTTTGCTGGGGATCACGGGAATACTCTGCATGCACTGCAGGGAATCAGGACTCATCTCGCATCTAGGGGGAAGCCTCACGGTTTCTCTCAAGTTGCGCGGGGGACTTGGGGTATCTTCTCGAGTTACGGCGGGGATGGCCCCTCAAAACCCGTGTTTATTCAGTGCCGTCAGGACTCCTGTCTAGTAACGAGGGACACCTCAGGAATCTCTTCGAGGCTTGGCAGGTCAAAAGGTATGCTTCTCGAGGTGAGGCAGGGCAACCAATGTCCCTTTCCAGTAGCCACAGTGATTTTGGGATTCCTATCAATATTCAAGACGAGTCAGGCATCATCACCTTTTGAAGCAGTGAACTCCGCGTGCCTCTCGAAGTGTCAACTGGATGTGAGGCATTCCGTCAAAATGATGCAGGGACCTAGAGCTTTCTCTAAGGTCTCCACAGGGGATTCAGACATCCCTTCATGCTGTGAGATGAAAGACGAGCCTGTATCCAAGCCACTGCAAGGAAATCCGGCCTCCTTTCAAGTTAGGGCTTCTGGCTGTATATTCCACTTGAGGCAGCAAACTCGGGGTCCCTCCCAAATACCTATTGCTGAGAGAAGCCTCATCTTGAGGTGCTTCTGGAAAGTTGGCATACGTCTTGAGCCTAAGCCATGGAATCAGCTCTCACCTTGATACGATTTGGGCTACACGGAGCATTCCTCGAGTTGCTGTTCTGAAGTTCGTATTCCTCTAGACTTGGGACAGTGTTCTCGGGGCATCTCTCGAGTTGCCTGAAGGAAGTCAAGCCACTGGTGGTGCTTAACGGGGTACGGGGGATGGCTCTGGAGTCAATGCATGGGAATCGGGCCTCAACGCGAGTTGATGTGGGGTACTTGGAGCTGCTTTGCGTTGCTGGGGTGATGTCAGGGTCTGTCTAGACTTGTGACAGTGTTCCTGGGGACTCTCTCGAGATCCATTAAGCAATTCGAAGCTGCTGACTTGCTTGATTGGGATCACGGGAATGCTCTGCATGGACTGCAGGGAATCAGGCCTCATCTCGCATCTACGGGAAGTCTCATGGTTTTTCTCGAGTTGCGGCGGGAACTGGGGTATGTTCTCGAGTTATGGCGGGGATGGCCCTTCAAAACACGTGTTTATTCAGTGACGTCAGGACTCCTGTCTAGTAACGAGAGACACCTCAGGAATCTCTTCGAGGCTTGGCAGGGCAAAAGGGATGCTTCTCGAGGTGAGGCAGGGCACCCAAGAACCCTGTCCTGTAGCCACAGTGATTTTGGGATTCCTATCAATGTTCAGGAGGAGTCAGGCATCGTCACATTTTGAAGCAGTGAACTCCGTGTGCCTCTCGAAGTGTCAACGGTATGTGAGGCATTCCGTCAAAATGAGGCAGGGACCTAGGGCTTTCTCTAAGGTCTCCACAGGGGATTCAGACATTCCTTCCGGTTGTGAGATGAAAGACGAGCCTGTATTCAAGACACAGCAAGGAAATCCGGCCTCCTTTGAAGTTAGGGCTTCTCGCTGTATATTCCACTTGAGGCAGCAAACTGGGGGTCCCTCCAACATTCCTATTGCTGAGAGAAGGCTCCCCTTGAGGTGCTTCTGGAAAGTTGGCATACGTCTTGAGCCTAAGCCAGGGAATCAGCTCTCATCTCGAGACGATTTGGGGTACACGGAGCATTCCTCGAGTTGCTGTGCTGAAGATGGTGTTCCTCTAGACTTGAGACAGTGTTCTCAGGGCATCTCTGGAGTTGCCTGAAGGAAGTCAAGCCACTGGTCGTGTTTAATGTGGAACGGGGGATGGCTCTGGAGTCGATGCAGGGGAATCGGGCATTATTTCGAGTTGATTTGGGGCACATGGTGCTACTTTGCGTTGATGGGGTGACCTCAGGATCCGTCTAGACATGTAACAGTGTTCTTGGGGACTGTCTCGAGATCCATTAAGCAAGTCGAAGCTCCTGACTTGCTTGATGGGGATCACGGGAATGCTCTGCATGGACTGCAGGGAATCAGGCCTCATCTCGCATCTAGGGGAAGTCTCATGGTTTTACTCGAGTTGCGGCGGGAACTGGGGTATGTTCTCGAGTTATGGCGGGGATGGCCCTTCAAAACACGTGTTTATTCAGTGACGTCAGGACTCCTGTCTAGTAACGAGAGACACCTCAGGAATCTCTTCAAGGCTTGGCAGGGCAAAATGGATGCTTCTCGAGGTGAGGCAGGGCACCCAAGAACCCTGTCCTGTAGCTACAGTGATTTTGGGATTCCTATCAATGTTCAGGAGGAGTCAGCCATCGTCATATTTTGAAGCAGTGAACTCCGTGTGCATCTCGAGTTGTCAACGGGATGTGAGGCATTCCGTCAAAATGAGGCAGGGACCTAGGGCTTTCTCTAAGGTCTCCAAAGGGGATTCAGACATTCCTTCCGGTTTTGAGATGAACGATGAGCCTGTATTCAAGACACAGCAAGGAAATCCGGCCTCCTTTCAAGTTAGGGCTTCTCGCTGTATATTCCACTTGAGGCAGCAAACTGGGGGTCCCTCCAACATACCTATTGCTGAGAGAAGGCTCCCCTTGAGGTGCTTCTGGAAAGTTGGCATACGTCTTGAGCCTAAGCCAGGGAATCAGCTCACATCTCGAGATGATTTGGGGTACACGGAGCATTCCTCGAGTTGCTGTGCTGAAGATGGTGTTCCTCTAGACTTGGCACAGTGTTCTCAGGGCATCTCTGGAGTTGCCTGAAGGAAGTCAAGCCACTGGTCGTGTTTAATGTGGAACGGGGGATTGCTCTGGAGTCAATGCAGGGGAATCGGGCATTATCTCGAGTTGATTTGGGGCACATGGTGCTGCTTTGCGTTGATGGGGTGACCTCAGGATCCGTCTAGACATGTGACAGTGTTCTTGGGGACTGTCTCGAGATCCATTAAGCAAGTCGAAGCTTCTGACTTGTTTGATGGGGATCACGGAATTGCTCTGCATGCACTGCAGGAGAATCGGGCCTCATCTCGCGTCTAGGGGAAAGTCTCATGGTTTTTCTCGACTTGCGGCGGGGACCTGGCGTATGTACTCGGCTTACGGAGGGGATGGCCCTTCAAAACTCGTGTTTATTCAGTGACGTCAGGACTCATGTCCAGTAATGAGGGACAGCTCAGGAATCTCTTCGAGGCTTGGCAGGGCACAAGGGACGCTTCTCGAGGTGAGGCAGGGCACCCAAGGAACTTTTCCAATAGCCACAGGGATTTTGGGATTCCTATCAATATTTTACAGTAGTCAGGCTTCGTCACCTTTTGAAGCAGTGAACTCCGCGTGCCTCTCGAGGTGACAACGGGATGTGAGGCATTCCGTCAAAATGAGGCAGGGACCTATAGCTTTCTCTAAGGTCTCCATAGGGGATTCAGACATCCCTTCATTCTGTGAGATGAAAGACGAGCCTGTATTCAAGCCACTGCAAGGAAATCCGGCCTCCTTTCAAGTTAGGGCTTCTCGCTGTATATTCCACTTGAGGCAGCAAACTCGGGGTCCCTCCAACATACCTATTGCTGAGAGAAGCCTCCTCTTGAGGTGCTTCTGGAAAGTTGGCATACGTCTTGAGCCTAAGCCAGGGATTCAGCTCTCATGTCGAGACGATTTGTGGTACACGGAGCATTACTCGAGTTGCTGTGCTGAAGTTGGTGTTCCTCTAGTCTTGGCACAGTGTTCTCGGGGCATCTCTGGAGTTGCCTGAAGGAAGGCAAGCCACTGGTCTTGTTTAATGGGGAACTGGGCATGGCTCTGGAGTCAATGCATGGGAATCGGGCCTCATCTCGAGTTGATGTGGGGTACTTGCAGCTGCTTTGCATTGCTGGGGTGACCTCAGGGTCTGTCTAGACTTGTGACAGTGTTCCTGGGGACTTTTTCGAGTTGAATTAAGCAAGTCGAAGCTCCTGACTTGCTTGATGGGGATCACGGGAATGCTCTGCATGGACTGCAGGGAATCAGGCCTCATCTCGCATCTAGGGGAAGTCTCATGGTTTTACTCGAGTTGCGGCGGGAACTGGGGTATGTTCTCGAGTTATGGCGGGGATGGCCCTTCAAAACACGTGTTTATTCAGTGACGTCAGGACTCCTGTCTAGTAACGAGAGACACCTCAGGAATCTCTTCGAGGCTTGGCAGGGCAAAAGGGATGCTTCTCGAGGTGAGGCAGGGCACCCAAGATCCCTGTCCTGTAGCCACAGTGATTTTGGGATTCCTATCAATGTTCAGGAGGAGTCAGGCATCGTCACATTTTGAAGCAGTGAACTCCGTGTGCCTCTCGAGGTGTCAACGGTATGTGAGGCATTCCGTCATAATGAGGCAGAGACCTAGGGCTTTCTCTAAGGTCTCCACAGGGGATTCAGACATTCCTTCCGGTTGTGAGATGAAAGACGAGCCTGTATTCAAGTCACAGCAAGGAAATCCGGCCTCCTTTGAAGTTAGGGCTTCTCGCTGTATATTCCACTTGAGGCAGCAAACTGGGGGTCCCTTCAACATTCCTATTGCTGAGAGAAGGCTCCCCTTGAGGTGCTTCTGGAAAGTTGGCATACGTCTTGAGCCTAAGCCAGGGAATCAGCTCTCATCTCGAGACAATTTGGGGTACACGGAGCATTCCTCGAGTTGCTGTGCTGAAGATGGTGTTCCTCTAGACTTGGGACAGTGTTCTCAGGGCATCTCTGGAGTTGTCTGAAGGAAGTCAAGCCACTGGTCGTGTTTAATGTGGAACGGGGGATGGCTCTGGAGTCAATGCAGGGGAATCGGGCATTATCTCGAGTTGATTTGGGGCACATGGTGCTGCCTTGCGTTGATGGGGTGACCTCAGGATCCGTCTGGATATGTGACAGTATTCTTGGGGACTGTCTCGAGATCCATTAAGCAAGTCGAAGGTCCTGACTTGTTTGATGGGGATCACGGAATTGCTCTGCATGCACTGCAGTAGAATCGGGCCTCATCTCGCCACGAGGGGAAAGTCTCATGGTTTTTCTCGACTTGCGGCGGGGACCTGGGGTATGTACTCGGGTTACGGCGGGGATGGCCCTTAAAAACTCGTGTTTATTCAGTGACGTCAGGACTCCTGTCCAGTAACGAGGGACAGCTCAGGAATCTCTTCGAGTCTTGGCAGGCACAAGGGACGCTTCTCGAGGTGAGGCAGGGCACCCAAGGAACCTTTCAAATAGCCACAGGTATTTTGTGATTCCTATCAATATTCAAGAGGAGTCAGGCATCGTCAGCTTTTGAAGCAGTGAACTCCGCGTGACTCTCGAGGTGTCAACGGGATGTGAGGCATTCCGTCAAAATGAGGGAGGGACCTAGGGCTTTCTCTAAGGTCTCCACAGGGGATTCAGACATTCCTTCTGGTTGTGAGATGAAAGACGAGCCTGTATTCAAGACACTGCTAGGAAACCGGCCTCCTTTCTAGTTAGTGCTTCTCGCTGTATATTCCCTTTGAGGCAGCAAACTCGGGTTCCCTCCCACATACCTATTGCTGAGAGAAGCCTCCTCTTGAGGTGCTTCTGGAAAGTTGGCATAAGTCTTGAGCCTAAACCAGGGAATCAGCTCTCATCTCGAGAGGATTTGGCATACAGGAAGCATTCCTCGAGTTGCTGTGCTAAAGTAGGTGTTCCTCTAGACTTGGGACAGTGTTCTCGGGGCATCTCTGGAGTTGTCTGAAGGAGGTCAAGCCACTGGTGGTGTTTAATGCGGAACGGCAGATGGCTCTGGAGTCAATGCAGGGGAATCGGACCTCATCTCAAGTTGATTTGGGGCACATGGAGCTGCTTTGCGTTGCTGGGGATACCTCAGGGTCCGTCTAGACATGTGACAGTGTTCCTGGGGAATGTCTCGAGATCCATTAAGCAAGTCGAAGCCCCTGACTTGTTTGATGGGGATCACGGAATTTCTCTGCATGCACTGCAGGAGAATCGGGCCTCATCTCGCCTCTAGGCGGAAGTCTCATGGTTTTTCTCGAGTTGCGGCGGGGAACTGGGGTATGTACTCGAGTTACGGCGGGGATGGCCCTTCAAAACACGTGTTTATTCAGTGACGTCAGGACTCCTGTCCAGTAACGAGAGACACCTCAGGAATCTCTTCGAGGCTTGGCAGGGCAAAAGGGATGCTTCTCGAGGTCAGGCAGAGCACCCAAGGACCCTGTCCTGTAGCTACAGTGATTTTGGGATTCCTATCAATGTTCAGGATGAGTCAGGCATCGTCACATTTTGAAGCAGTGAACTCCGTGTGCCTCTCGAGGTGTCAACGGGATGTGAGGCATTCCGTCAAAATGAGGCAGAGACCTAGGGCTTTCTCTAAGGTCTCCACAGGGGATTCAGACATTCCTTCCGGTTGTGAGATGAAAGACGAGCCTGTATTCAAGACACAGCAAGGAAATCCGGCCTCCTTTCAAGTTAGGGCTTCTCGCTGCATATTCCACTTGAGGCAGCAAACTGGGGGTCCCTCCAACATACCTATTGCTGAGAGAAGGGTCCCCTTGAGGTGCTTCTGGAAAGTTGGCATACGTCTTGAGCCTAAGCCAGGGAATCAGCTCACATCTCGTGACGATTTGGGGTACACGGAGCATTCCTCGAGTTGCTGTGCTGAAGATGGTGTTCCTCTAGACTTGGGACAGTGTTCTCAGGTCATCTCTCGAGTTGCCTGAAGGAAGTCAAGCCACTGGTCGTGTTTAATGTGGAACGGGGGATGGCTCTGGAGTCAATGCAGGGGAATCGGGCATTATCTCGAGTTGATTTGGGGCACATGGTGCTGCTTTGCGTTGATGGGGTGACCTCAGGATCCGTCTAGACATGTGACAGTGTTCCCTGGTGACTGTCTCGAGATCCATTAAGCAAGTCGAAGCTTCTGACTTGTTTGATGGGGATCACGGAATTGCTCTGCATGCACTGCAGGAGAATCGGGCCTCATCTCGCCTCTAGGGGAAAGTCTCATGGTTTTTCTCGACTTGCGGCGGGGACCTGGGGTATGTACTCGGCTTACGGCGGGGATGGCCCTTCAAAACTCGTGTTTATTCAGTGACGTCAGGACTCCTGTCCAGTAACGAGGGACAGCTCAGGAATCTCTTCGAGGCTTGGCAGGGCACAAGGGACGCTTCTCGAGGTGAGGCAGGGCACCCAAGGAACCTTTCCAATAGCCACAGGGATTTTGGGATTCCTATCAATATTTTAGAGGAGTCAGGCATCGTCACCTTTTGAAGCAGTGAACTCCGCGTGCCTCTCGAGGTGACAACGGGATGTGAGGCATTCCGTCAAAATGAGGCAGGGACCTAGAGCTTTCTCTAAGGTCTCCACAGGGGATTCAGACATCCCTTCATTCTGTGAGATGAAAGACGAGCCTGTATTCAAGCCACTGCAAGGAAATCCGGCCTCCTTTCAAGTTAGGGCTTCTCGCTGTATATTCCACTTGAGGCAGCAAACTCGGGGTCCCTCCAACATACCTATTGCTGAGAGAAGCCTCCTCTTGAGGTGCTTCTGGAAAGTTGGCATACGTCTTGAGCCTAAGCCAGGGATTCAGCTCTCATCTCGAGACGATTTGTGGTACACGGAGCATTACTCGAGTTGCTGTGCTGAAGTTGGTGTTCCTCTAGTCTTGGGACAGTGTTCTCGGGGCATTTCTTTAGTTCCCTGAAGGAAGTCAAGCCACTGGTGGTGTTTAATGGGTTACGGGGGATGGCTCAGGAGTCAATGCATGGGAATCGGGCCTCATCTCGAGTTGATGTGGGGTACTTGCAGCTGCTTTGCATTGCTGGGGTGACCTCAGGGTCTGTCTAGACTTGTGACAGTGTTCCTGGGGACTTTCTCGAGTTGAATTAAGCAAGTCGAAGCTCCTGACTTGCTTGATGGGGATCACGGGAATGCTCTGCATGGACTGCAGGGAATCAGGCCTCATCTCGCATCTAGGGGAAGTCTCATGGTTTTACTCGAGTTGCGGCGGGAACTGGGGTATGTTCTCGAGTTATGGCGGGGATGGCCCTTCAAAACACGTGTTTATTCAGTGACGTCAGGACTCCTGTCTAGTAACGAGAGACATCTCAGGAATCTCTTCGAGGCTTGGCAGAGCAAAAGGGATGCTTCTCGAGGTGAGGCAGGGCACCCAAGAACCCTGTCCTGTAGCCACAGTGATTTTGGGATTCCTATCAATGTTCAGGAGGAGTCAGGCATCGTCACATTTTGAAGCAGTGAACTCCGTGTGCCTCTCGAAGTGTCAACGGTATGTGAGGCATTCCGTCAATATGAGGCAGGGACCTAGGGCTTTCTCTAAGGTCTCCACAGGGGACTCAGACATTCCTTCCGGTTGTGAGATGAAAGACGAGCCTGTATTCAAGACACAGCAAGGAAATCCGGCCTCCTTTGAAGTTAGGGCTTCTCGCTGTATATTCCACTTGAGGCAGCAAACTGGGGGTCCCTCCAACATTCCTATTGCTGAGAGAAGGCTCCCCTTGAGGTGCTTCTGGAAAGTTGGCATACGTCTTGAGCCTAAGCCAGGGAATCAGCTCTCATCTCGAGACGATTTGGGGTACACGGAGCATTCCTCGAGTTGCTGTGCTGAAGATGGTGTTCCTCTAGACTTGGGACAGTGTTCTCAGGGCATCTCTGGAGTTGCCTGAAGGAAGTCAAGCCACTGGTCGTGTTTAATGTGGAACGGGGGATGGCTCTGGAGTCAATGCAGGGGAATCGGGCATTATCTCGAGTTGATTTGGGGCACATGGTGCTGCTTTGCGTTGATGGGGTGACCTCAGGATCCGTCTAGACATGTGACAGTGTTCCCTGGTGACTGTCTCGAGATCCATTAAGCAAGTCGAAGCTTCTGACTTGTTTGATGGGGATCACGGAATTGCTCTGCATGCACTGCAGGAGAATCGGGCCTCATCTCGCCTCTAGGGGAAAGTCTCATGGTATTTCTCGACTTGCGGCGGGGACCTGGGGTATGTACTCGGCTTACGGCGGGGATGGCCCTTCAAAACTCGTGTTTATTCAGTGACGTCAGGACTCCTGTCCAGTAACGAGGGACAGCTCAGGAATCTCTTCGAGGCTTGGCAGGGCACAAGGGAGGCTTCTCGAGGTGAGGCAGGGCACCCAAGGAACCTTTCCAATAGCCACAGGGATTTTGGGATTCCTATCAATATTTTAGAGGAGTCAGGCATCGTCACCTTTTGAAGCAGTGAACTCCGCGTGCCTCTCTAGGTGACAACGGGATGTGAGGCATTCCGTCAAAATGAGGCAGGGACCTATAGCCTTCTCTAAGGTCTCCACAGGAGATTCAGTCATCCCTTCATTCTGTGAGATGAAAGACGAGCCTGTATTCAAGCCATTGCAAGGAAATCTGGCCTCCTTTCAAGTTAGGGCTTCTCGCTCTATATTCCACTTGAGGCAGCAAACTCGGGGTCCCTCCAACATACCTATTGCTGAGAGAAGCCTCCTCTTGAGGTGCTACTGGAAAGTTGGCATACGTCTTGAGCCTAAGCCAGGGATTCAGCTCTCATCTCGAGACGATTTGTGGTACACGGAGCATTCCTCGAGTTGCTGTGCTGAAGTTGGTGTTCCTCTAGTCTTGGGAGAGTGTTTGCGGGGCATCTCTGGAGTTGCCTGAAGGAAGTCTAGCCAGTTGTCTTGTTTAATGGGGAACTGGGGATGGCTCTGGAGTCAATGCAGGGGAATCGGGCCACATGTCGGGTTGATTTGGGGCACATGGAGCTGCTTTGCATTGCTGGGGTGACCTCAGGGTCCGTCTAGACTTGTGACAGAGTTCTTGGGGACTGTCTCGAGATCCATTAAGCAAGTCGAAGCTCCTGACTTGTTTGATGGGGATCACGGGAATACTCTGCATGCACTGCAGGGAATCAGGACTCATCTCGCATCTAGGGGGAAGTCTCAGGGTTTCTCTCAAGTTGCGCGGGGGACCTGGGGTATCTTCTCGAGTTACGGCGGGGATGGCCCTTCAAAACCCGTGTTTATTCAATGCCGTCATGACTCCTGTCTAGTAATGAGGGACACCTCAGGAATCTCTTCGAGCCTTGGCAGGGCAAAGGGATGCTTCTCGAGGTGAGGCAGGGCACACAAGAATCCTTTCCTGTAGCCACAGTGATTTTGGGATTCCTATCAATGATCAGGAGGGGTCAGGCATCGTCACATTTGAAGCAGTGAACTCCGCGTGCCTCTCGAGGTGTCAACGGGATGTGAGGCATTCCGTCAAATTGAGGCAGGGACCTAGGGCTTTCTCTAAGGTCTTCACAGGGGATTCAGACATCCCTTCCTGTTGTGAGATGAAAGACGAGCCTATATACAAGACACTGCAAGGAAATCCGGCCTCCATTCAAGTTAGGGCTTCTCGCTGTATATTCCACTTGAGGCAGCAAACTGGGGGTCCCTCCAACATTCCTATTGCTGAGAGAAGGCTCCCCTTGAGGTGCTTCTGGAAAGTTGGCATACGTCTTGAGCCTAAGCCAGGGAATCAGCTCTCATCTCGAGACGATTTGGGGTACACGGAGCATTCCTCGAGTTGCTGTGCTGAAGATGGTGTTCCTCTAGACTTGGGACAGTGTTCTCAGGGCATCTCTGGAGTTGCCTGAAGGAAGTCAAGCCACTGGTCGTGTTTAATGTGGAACGGGGGATGGCTCTGGAGTCAATGCAGGGGAATCGGGCATTATCTCGAGTTGATTTGGGGCACATGGTGCTGCTTTGCGTTGATGGGGTGACCTCAGGATCCGTCTAGACATGTGACAGTGTTCCCTGGTGACTGTCTCGAGATCCATTAAGCAAGTCGAAGCTTCTGACTTGTTTGATGGGGATCACGGAATTGCTCTGCATGCACTGCAGGAGAATCGGGCCTCATCTCGACTCTAGGGGAAAGTCTCATGGTATTTCTCGACTTGCGGCGGGGACCTGGGGTATGTACTCGGCTTACGGCGGGGATGGCCCTTCAAAACTCGTGTTTATTCAGTGACGTCAGGACTCCTGTCCAGTAACGAGGGACAGCTCAGGAATCTCTTCGAGGCTTGGCAGGGCACAAGGGAGGCTTCTCGAGGTGAGGCAGGGCACCCAAGGAACCTTTCCAATAGCCACAGGGATTTTGGGATTCCTATCAATATTTTAGAGGAGTCAGGCATCGTCACCTTTTGAAGCAGTGAACTCCGCGTGCCTCTCTAGGTGACAACGGGATGTGAGGCATTCCGTCAAAATGAGGCAGGGACCTATAGCCTTCTCTAAGGTCTCCACAGGAGATTCAGTCATCCCTTCATTCTGTGAGATGAAAGACGAGCCTGTATTCAAGCCATTGCAAGGAAATCTGGCCTCCTTTCAAGTTAGGGCTTCTCGCTCTATATTCCACTTGAGGCAGCAAACTCGGGGTCCCTCCAACATACCTATTGCTGAGAGAAGCCTCCTCTTGAGGTGCTACTGGAAAGTTGGCATACGTCTTGAGCCTAAGCCAGGGATTCAGCTCTCATCTCGAGACGATTTGTGGTACACGGAGCATTCCTCGAGTTGCTGTGCTGAAGTTGGTGTTCCTCTAGTCTTGGGAGAGTGTTTGCGGGGCATCTCTGGAGTTGCCTGAAGGAAGTCTAGCCAGTTGTCTTGTTTAATGGGGAACTGGGGATGGCTCTGGAGTCAATGCAGGGGAATCGGGCCACATGTCGGGTTGATTTGGGGCACATGGAGCTGCTTTGCATTGCTGGGGTGACCTCAGGGTCCGTCTAGACTTGTGACAGAGTTCTTGGGGACTGTCTCGAGATCCATTAAGCAAGTCGAAGCTCCTGACTTGTTTGATGGGGATCACGGGAATACTCTGCATGCACTGCAGGGAATCAGGACTCATCTCGCATCTAGGGGGAAGTCTCAGGGTTTCTCTCAAGTTGCGCGGGGGACCTGGGGTATCTTCTCGAGTTACGGCGGGGATGGCCCCTCAAAACCCGTGTTTATTCAATGCCGTCATGACTCCTGTCTAGTAATGAGGGACACCTCAGGAATCTCTTCGAGCCTTGGCAGGGCAAAGGGATGCTTCTCGAGGTGAGGCAGGGCACACAAGAATCCTTTCCTGTAGCCACAGTGATTTTGGGATTCCTATCAATGATCAGGAGGGGTCAGGCATCGTCACATTTGAAGCAGTGAACTCCGCGTGCCTCTCGAGGTGTCAACGGGATGTGAGGCATTCCGTCAAATTGAGGCAGCGACCTAGGGCTTTCTCTAAGGTCTTCACAGGGGATTCAGACATCCCTTCCTGTTGTGAGATGAAAGACGAGCCTATATACAAGACACTGCAAGGAAATCCGGCCTCCATTCAAGTTAGGGCTTCTCGCTGTATATTCCACTTGAGGCAGCAAACTCGGGGTCCCTCCAACATACCTATTGCTGATAGAAAGCTCCCCTTGAGGTGCTTTTGGAAAGTTGGCATCCGTCTTGAGCCTAAGCCAGGGAATCAGCTCTCATCTCGAGACGATTTGGGGTACACGGAGCATTCCTCGAGTTGCTGTGCTGAAGATGGTGTTCCTCTAGACTTGGGACAGTGTTCTCAGGGCATCTCTGGAGTTGCCTGTAGGAAGTCTAGCCAGTTGTCTTGTTTAATGGGGAACTGGGGATGGCTCTGGAGTCAATGCAGGGGAATCGGGCCACATCTCGGTTTGATTTGGGGCACATGGAGCTGCTTTGCGTTGCTGGGGTTACCTCAGGGTCCGTCTAGACTTGTGACAGTGTTCTTGGGGACTGTCTCGAGATCCATTAAGCAAGTCGAAGCTCCTGACTTGTTTGATGGGGATCACGGGAATACTCTGCATGCACTGCAGGGAATCAGGACTCATCTCGCATCTAGGGGGAAGCCTCACGGTTTCTCTCAAGTTGCGCGGGGGACTTGGGGTATCTTCTCGAGTTACGGCGGGGATGGCCCCTCAAAACCCGTGTTTATTCAGTGCCGTCAGGACTCCTGTCTAGTAACGAGGGACACCTCAGGAATCTCTTCGAGGCTTGGCAGGTCAAAAGGTATGCTTCTCGAGGTGAGGCAGGGCAACCAATGTCCCTTTCCAGTAGCCACAGTGATTTTGGGATTCCTATCAATATTCAAGACGAGTCAGGCATCATCACCTTTTGAAGCAGTGAACTCCGCGTGCCTCTCGAAGTGTCAACTGGATGTGAGGCATTCCGTCAAAATGATGCAGGGACCTAGAGCTTTCTCTAAGGTCTCCACAGGGGATTCAGACATCCCTTCATGCTGTGAGATGAAAGACGAGCCTGTATCCAAGCCACTGCAAGGAAATCCGGCCTCCTTTCAAGTTAGGGCTTCTGGCTGTATATTCCACTTGAGGCAGCAAACTCGGGGTCCCTCCCAAATACCTATTGCTGAGAGAAGCCTCATCTTGAGGTGCTTCTGGAAAGTTGGCATACGTCTTGAGCCTAAGCCATGGAATCAGCTCTCACCTCGAAACGATTTGGGCTACACGGAGCATTCCTCGAGTTGCTGTGCTGAAGTTCGTATTCCTCTAGACTTGGGACAGTGTTCTCGGGGCATCTCTCGAGTTGCCTGAAGGAAGTCAAGCCACTGGTGGTGCTTAATGGGGTACGGGGGATGGCTCTGGAGTCAATGCATGGGAATCGGGCCTCAACGCGAGTTGATGTGGGGTACTTGGAGCTGCTTTGCGTTGCTGGGGTGATGTCAGGGTCTGTCTAGACTTGTGACAGTGTTCCTGGGGACTCTCTCGAGATCCATTAAGCAATTCGAAGCTGCTGACTTGCTTGATTGGGATCACGGGAATGCTCTGCATGGACTGCAGGGAATCAGGCCTCATCTCGCATCTAGGGGAAGTCTCATGGTTTTTCTCGAGTTGCGGCGGGAACTGGGGTATGTTCTCGAGTTATGGCGGGGATGGCCCTTCAAAACACGTGTTTATTCAGTGACGTCAGGACTCCTGTCTAGTAACGAGAGACACCTCAGGAATCTCTTCGAGGCTTGGCAGGGCAAAAGGGATGCTTCTCGAGGTGAGGCAGGGCACCCAAGAACCCTGTCCTGTAGCCACAGTGATTTTGGGATTCCTATCAATGTTCAGGAGGAGTCAGGCATCGTCACATTTTGAAGCAGTGAACTCCGTGTGCCTCTCGAAGTGTCAACGGTATGTGAGGCATTCCGTCAAAATGAGGCAGGGACCTAGGGCTTTCTCTAAGGTCTCCACAGGGGATTCAGACATTCCTTCCGGTTGTGAGATGAAAGACGAGCCTGTATTCAAGACACAGCAAGGAAATCCGGCCTCCTTTGAAGTTAGGGCTTCTCGCTGTATATTCCACTTGAGGCAGCAAACTGGGGGTCCCTCCAACATTCCTATTGCTGAGAGAAGGCTCCCCTTGAGGTGCTTCTGGAAAGTTGGCATACGTCTTGAGCCTAAGCCAGGGAATCAGCTCTCATCTCGAGACGATTTGGGGTACACGGAGCATTCCTCGAGTTGCTATGCTGAAGATGGTGTTCCTCTAGACTTGGGACAGTGTTCTCAGGGCATCTCTGGAGTTGCCTGAAGGAAGTCAAGCCACTGGTCGTGTTTAATGTGGAACGGGGGATGGCTCTGGAGTCGATGCAGGGGAATCGGGCATTATCTCGAGTTGATTTGGGGCACATGGTGCTACTTTGCGTTGATGGGGTGACCTCAGGATCCGTCTAGACATGTAACAGTGTTCTTGGGGACTGTCTCGAGATCCATTAAGCAAGTCGAAGCTCCTGACTTGCTTGATGGGGATCACGGGAATGCTCTGCATGGACTGCAGGGAATCAGGCCTCATCTCGCATCTAGGGGAAGTCTCATGGTTTTACTCGAGTTGCGGCGGGAACTTTGGTATGTTCTCGAGTTATGGCGGGGATGGCCCTTCAAAACACGTGTTTATTCAGTGACGTCAGGACTCCTGTCTAGTAACGAGAGACACCTCAGGAATCTCTTCAAGGCTTGGCAGGGCAAAAGGGATGCTTCTCGAGGTGAGGCAGGGCACCCAAGAACCCTGTCCTGTAGCTACAGTGATTTTGGGATTCCTATCAATGTTCAGGAGGAGTCAGGCATCGTCATATTTTGAAGCAGTGAACTCCGTGTGCATCTCGAGTTGTCAACGGGATGTGAGGCATTCCGTCAAAATGAGGCAGGGACCTAGGGCTTTGTCTAAGGTCTCCAAAGGGGATTCAGACATTCCTTCCGGTTTTGAGATGAAAGATGAGCCTGTATTCAAGACACAGCAAGGAAATCCGGCCTCCTTTCAAGTTAGGGCTTCTCGCTGTATATTCCACTTGAGGCAGCAAACTGGGGGTCCCTCCAACATACCTATTGCTGAGAGAAGGGTCCCCTTGAGGTGCTTCTGGAAAGTTGGCATACGTCTTGAGCCTAAGCCAGGGAATCAGCTCACATCTCGAGATGATTTGGGGTACACGGAGCATTCCTCGAGTTGCTGTGCTGAAGATGGTGTTCCTCTAGACTTGGCACAGTGTTCTTAGGGCATCTCTGGAGTTGCCTGAAGGAAGTCAAGCCACTGGTCGTGTTTAATGTGGAACGGGGGATTGCTCTGGAGTCAATGCATTGGAATCGGGCATTATCTCGAGTTGATTTGGGGCACATGGTGCTGCTTTGCGTTGATGGGGTGACCTCAGGATCCGTCTAGACATGTGACAGTGTTCTTGGGGACTGTCTCGAGATCCATTAAGCAAGTCGAAGCTTCTGACTTGTTTGATGGGGATCACGGAATTGCTCTGCATGCACTGCAGGAGAATCGGGCCTCATCTCGCCTCTAGGGGAAAGTCTCATGTTTTTTCTCGACTTGCGGCGGGGACCTGGCGTATGTACTCGGCTTACGGAGGGGATGGCCCTTCAAAACTCGTGTTTATTCAGTGACGTCAGGACTCATGTCCAGTAATGAGGGACAGCTCAGGAATCTCTTCGAGGCTTGGCAGGGCACAAGGGACGCTTCTCGAGGTGAGGCAGGGCACCCAAGGAACTTTTCCAATAGCCACAGGGATTTTGGGATTCCTATCAATATTTTAGAGGAGTCAGGCTTCGTCACCTTTTGAAGCAGTGAACTCCGCGTGCCTCTCGAGGTGACAACGGGATGTGAGGCATTCCGTCAAAATGAGGCAGGGACCTATAGCTTTCTCTAAGGTCTCCATAGGGGATTCAGACATCCCTTCATTCTGTGAGATGAAAGACGAGCCTGTATTCAAGCCACTGCAAGGAAATCCGGCCTCCTTTCAAGTTAGGGCTTCTCGCTGTATATTCCACTTGAGGCAGCAAACTCGGGGTCCCTCCAACATACCTATTGCTGAGAGAAGCCTCCTCTTGAGGTGCTTCTGGAAAGTTGGCATACGTCTTGAGCCTAAGCCAGGGATTCAGCTCTCATCTCGAGACGATTTGTGGTACACGGAGCATTACTCGAGTTGCTGTGCTGAAGTTGGTGTTCCTCTAGTCTTGGGACAGTGTTCTCGGGGCATTTCTTTAGTTCCCTGAAGGAAGTCAAGCCACTGGTGGTGTTTAATGGGTTACGGGGGATGCCTCAGGCGTCAATGCATGGGAATCGGGCCTCATCTCGAGTTGATGTGGGGTACTTGCAGCTGCTTTGCATTGCTGGGGTGACCTCAGGGTCTGTCTAGACTTGTGACAGTGTTCCTGGGGACTTTCTCGAGTTAAATTAAACAAGTCGAAGCTCCTGACTTGCTTGATGGGGATCACGGGAATGCTCTGCATGTACTGCAGGGAATCAGGCCTCATCTCGCATCTAGGGGAAGTCTCATGGTTTTACTCGAGTTGCGGCGGGAACTGGGGTATGTTCTCGAGTTATGGCGGGGATGGCCCTTCAAAACACGTGTTTATTCAGTGACGTCAGGACTCCTGTCTAGTAACGAGAGACATCTCAGGAATCTCTTCGAGGCTTGGCAGGGCAAAAGGGATGCTTCTCGAGGTGAGGCAGGGCACCCAAGAACCCTGTCCTGTAGCCACAGTGATTTTGGGATTCCTATCAATGTTCAGGAGGAGTCAGGCATCGTCACATTTTGAAGCAGTGAACTCCGTGTGCCTCTCGAAGTGTCAACGGTATGTGAGGCATTCCGTCAATATGAGGCAGGGACCTAGGGCTTTCTCTAAGGTCTCCACAGGGGACTCAGACATTCCTTCCGGTTGTGAGATGAAAGACGAGCCTGTATTCAAGACACAGCAAGGAAATCCGGCCTCCTTTGAAGTTAGGGCTTCTCGCTGTATATTCCACTTGAGGCAGCAAACTGGGGGTCCCTCCAACATTCCTATTGCTGAGAGAAGTCTCCCATTGAGGTGCTTCTGGAAAGTTGGCATACGTCTTGAGCCTAAGCCAGGGAATCAGCTCTCATCTCGAGACGATTTGGGGTACACGGAGCATTCCTCGAGTTGCTGTGCTGAAGATGGTGTTCCTCTAGACTTGGGACAGTGTTCTCAGGGCATCTCTGGAGTTGCCTGAAGGAAGTCAAGCCACTGGTCGTGTTTAATGTGGAACGGGGGATGGCTCTGGAGTCAATGCAGGGGAATCGGGCATTATCTCGAGTTGATTTGGGGCACATGGTGCTGCTTTGCGTTGATGGGGTGACCTCAGGATCCGTCTAGACATGTGACAGTGTTCCCTGGTGACTGTCTCGAGATCCATTAAGCAAGTCGAAGCTTCTGACTTGTTTGATGGGGATCACAGAATTGCTCTGCATGCACTGTAGGAGAATCGGGCCTCATCTGGCCTCTAGGGGAAAGTCTCATGGTATTTCTCGACTTGCGGCGGGGACCTGGGGTATGTACTCGGGTTACGGCGCGGATGGCCCTTCAAAACTCGTGTTTATTCAGTGACGTCAGGACTCCTGTCCAGTAACGAGGGACAGCTCAGGAATCTCTTCGAGGCTTGGCAGGGCACAAGGGACGCTTCTCGAGGTGAGGCAGGGCACCCAAGGAACCTTTCCAATAGCCACAGGGATTTTGGGATTCCTATCAATATTTTAGAGGAGTCAGGCATCGTCACCTTTTGAAGCAGTGAACTCCGCGTGCCTCTCTAGGTGACAACGGGATGTGAGGCATTCCGTCAAAATGAGGCAGGGACCTATAGCCTTCTCTAAGGTCTACACAGGAGATTCAGTCATCCCTTCATTCTGTGAGATGAAAGACGAGCCTGTATTCAAGCCATTGCAAGGAAATCTGGCCTCCTTTCAAGTTAGGGCTTCTCGCTGTATATTCCACTTGAGGCAGCAAACTCGGGGTCCCTCCAACATACCTATTGCTGAGAGAAGCCTCCTCTTGAGGTGCTACTGGAAAGTTGGCATACGTCTTGAGCCTAAGCCAGGGATTCAGCTCTCATCTCGAGACGATTTGTGGTACACGGAGCATTCCTCGAGTTGCTGTGCTGAAGTTGGTGTTCCTCTAGTCTTGGGAGAGTGTTTGCGGGGCATCTCTGGAGTTGCCTGAAGGAAGTCTAGCCAGTTGTCTTGTTTAATGGGGAACTGGGGATGGCTCTGGAGTCAATGCAGGGGAATCGGGCCACATCTCGGGTTGATTTGGGGCACATGGAGCTGCTTTGCGTTGCTGGGGTTACCTCAGGGTCCGTCTAGACTTGTGACAGAGTTCTTGGGGACTGTCTCGAGATCCATTAAGCAAGTCGAAGCTCCTGACTTGTTTGATGGGGATCACGGGAATACTCTGCATGCACTGCAGGGAATCAGGACTCATCTCGCATCTAGGGGGAAGTCTCACGGTTTCTCTCAAGTTGCGCGGGGGACCTGGGGTATCATCTCGAGTTACGGCGGGGATGGCCCCTCAAAACACGTGTTTATTCAATGCCGTCATGACTCCTGTCTAGTAATGAGGGACACCTCAGGAATCTCTTCGAGCCTTGGCAGGGCAAAGGGATGCTTCTCGAGGTGAGGCAGGGCACACAAGAATCCTTTCCTGTAGCCACAGTGATTTTGGGATTCCTATCAATATTCCAGACGAGTCAGGCATCATCACCTTTTGAAGCAGTGAACTCCGCGTGCCTCTCGAAGTGTCAACTGGATGTGAGGCATTCCGTCAAAATGATGCAGGGACCTAGAGCTTTCTCTAAGGTCTCCACAGGGGATTCAGACATCCCTTCATGCTGTGAGATGAAAGACGAGCCTGTATCCAAGCCACTGCAAGGAAATCCGGCCTCCTTTCAAGTTAGGGCTTCTGGCTGTATATTCCACTTGAGGCAGCAAACTCGGGGTCCCTCCCAAATACCTATTGCTGAGAGAAGCCTCATCTTGAGGTGCTTCTGGAAAGTTGGCATACGTCTTGAGCCTAAGCCATGGAATCAGCTCTCACCTCGAAACGATTTGGGCTACACGGAGCATTCCTCGTGTTGCTGTGCTGAAGTTCGTATTCCTCTAGACTTGGGACAGTGTTCTCGGGGCATCTCTCGAGTTGCCTGAAGGAAGTCAAGCCACTGGTGGTGCTTAATGGGGTACGGGGGATGGCTCTGGAGTCAATGCATGGGAATCGGGCCTCAACGCGAGTTGATGTGGGGTACTTGGAGCTGCTTTGCGTTGCTGGGGTGATGTCAGGGTCTGTCTAGACTTGTGACAGTGTTCCTGGGGACTCTCTCGAGATCCATTAAGCAATTCGAAGCTGCTGACTTGCTTGATTGGGATCACGGGAATGCTCTGCATGGACTGCAGGGAATCAGGCCTCATCTCGCATCTAGGGGAAGTCTCATGGTTTTTCTCGAGTTGCGGCGGGAACTGGGGTATGTTCTCGAGTTATGGCGGGGATGGCCCTTCAAAACACGTGTTTATTCAGTGACGTCAGGACTCCTGTCTAGTAACGAGAGACACCTCAGGAATCTCTTCGAGGCTTGGCAGGGCAAAAGGGATGCTTCTCGAGGTGAGGCAGGGCACCCAAGAACCCTGTCCTGTAGCCACAGTGATTTTGGGATTCCTATCAATGTTCAGGAGGAGTCAGGCATCGTCACATTTTGAAGCAGTGAACTCCGTGTGCCTCTCGAAGTGTCAACGGTATGTGAGGCATTCCGTCAAAATGAGGCAGGGACCTAGGGCTTTCTCTAAGGTCTCCACAGGGGATTCAGACATTCCTTCCGGTTGTGAGATGAAAGATGAGCCTGTATTCAAGACACAGCAAGGAAATCCGGCCTCCTTTCAAGTTAGGGCTTCTCGCTGTATATTCCACTTGAGGCAGCAAACTGGGGGTCCCTCCAACATTCCTATTGCTGAGAGAAGGCTCCCCTTGAGGTGCTTCTGGAAAGTTGGCATACGTCTTGAGCCTAAGCCAGGGAATCAGCTCTCATCTCGAGACGATTTGGGGTACACGGAGCATTCCTCGAGTTGCTGTGCTGAAGATGGTGTTCCTCTAGACTTGGGACAGTGTTCTCAGGGCATCTCTGGAGTTGCCTGAAGGAAGTCAAGCCACTGGTCGTGTTTAATGTGGAACGGGGGATGGCTCTGGAGTCGATGCAGGGGAATCGGGCATTATCTCGAGTTGATTTGGGGCACATGGTGCTACTTTGCGTTGATGGGGTGACCTCAGGATCCGTCTAGACATGTAACAGTGTTCTTGGGGACTGTCTCGAGATCCATTAAGCAAGTCGAAGCTCCTGACTTGCTTGATGGGGATCACGGGAATGCTCTGCATGGACTGCAGGGAATCAGGCCTCATCTCGCATCTAGGGGAAGTCTCATGGTTTTACTCGAGTTGCGGCGGGAACTGGGGTATGTTCTCGAGTTATGGCGGGGATGGCCCTTCAAAACACGTGTTTATTCAGTGACGTCAGGACTCCTGTCTAGTAACGAGAGACACCTCAGGAATCTCTTCAAGGCTTGGCAGGGCAAAAGGGATGCTTCTCGAGGTGAGGCAGGGCACCCAAGAACCCTGTCCTGTAGCTACAGTGATTTTGGGATTCCTATCAATGTTCAGGAGGAGTCAGGCATCGTCATATTTTGAAGCAGTGAACTCCGTGTGCATCTCGAGTTGTCAACGGGATGTGAGGCATTCCGTCAAAATGAGGCAGGGACCTAGGGCTTTCTCTAAGGTCTCCACAGGGGATTCAGACGTTCCTTCCGGTTTTGAGATGAAAGATGAGCCTGTATTCAAGACACAGCAAGGAAATCCGGCCTCCTTTCAAGTTAGGGCTTCTCGCTGCATATTCCACTTGAGGCAGCAAACTGGGGGTCCCTCCAACATACCTATTGCTGAGAGAAGGCTCCCCTTGAGGTGCTTCTGGAAAGTTGGCATACGTCTTGAGCCTAAGCCAGGGAATCAGCTCACATCTCGAGATGATTTGGGGTACACGGAGCATTCCTCGAGTTGCTGTGCTGAAGATGGTGTTCCTCTAGACTTGGGACAGTGTTCTCAGGGCATCTCTGGAGTTGTCTGAAGGAAGTCAAGCCACTGGTGGTTTTTAATGTGGAACGGGGGATGGCTCTGGATTCAATGCAGGGGAATCGGGCATTATCTCGAGTTGATGTGGGGCACATGGTGCTGCTTTGCGTTGATGGGGTGACCTCAGGATCCGTCTGGATATGTGACAGTATTCTTGGGGACTGTCTCGAGATCCATTTAGCAAGTCGAAGGTCCTGACTTGTTTGATGGGGATCACGGAATTGCTCTGCATGCACTGCAGGAGAATCGGGCCTCATCTCGCCACGAGGGGAAAGTCTCATGGTTTTTCTCGACTTGCGGCGGGGACCTGGGGTATATACTCGGGTTACGGCGGGGATGGCCCTTAAAAACTCGTGTTTATTCAGTGACGTCAGGACTCCTGTCCAGTAACGAGGGACAGCTCAGGAATCTCTTCGAGTCTTGGCAGGCACAAGGGACGCTTCTCGAGGTGAGGCAGGGCACCCAAGGAACCTTTCAAATAGCCACAGGTATTTTGTGATTCCTATCAATATTCAAGAGGAGTCAGGCATCGTCAGCTTTTGAAGCAGTGAACTCCGCGTGACTCTCGAGGTGTCAACGGGATGTGAGGCATTCCGTCAAAATGAGGGAGGGACCTAGGGCTTTCTCTAAGGTCTCCACAGGGGATTCAGACATTCCTTCTGGTTGTGAGATGAAAGACGAGCCTGTATTCAAGACACTGCTAGGAAACCGGCCTCCTTTCTAGTTAGTGCTTCTCGCTGTATATTCCCTTTGAGGCAGCAAACTCGGGTTCCCTCCCACATACCTATTGCTGAGAGAAGCCTCCTCTTGAGGTGCTTCTGGAAAGTTGGCATACGTCTTGAGCCTAAACCAGGGAATCAGCTCTCATCTCGAGAGGATTTGGCATACAGGAAGCATTCCTCGAGTTGCTGTGCTAAAGTAGGTGTTCCTCTAGACTTGGGACAGTGTTCTCGGGGCATCTCTGGAGTTGTCTGAAGGAGGTCAAGCCACTGGTGGTGTTTAATGCGGAACGGCAGATGGCTCTGGAGTCAATGCAGGGGAATCGGACCTCATCTCAAGTTGATTTGGGGCACATGGAGCTGCTTTGCGTTGCTGGGGATACCTCAGGGTACGTCTAGACATGTGACAGTGTTCCTGGGGAATGTCTCGAGATCCATTAAGCAAGTCGAAGCCCCTGACTTGTTTGATGGGGATCACGGAATTTCTCTGCATGCACTGCAGGAGAATCGGGCCTCATCTCGCCTCTAGGCGGAAGTCTCATGGTTTTTCTCGAGTTGCGGCGGGGAACTGGGGTATGTACTCGAGTTACGGCGGGGATGGCCCTTCAAAACACGTGTTTATTCAGTGACGTCAGGACTCCTGTCCAGTAACGAGAGACACCTCAGGAATCTCTTCGAGGCTTGGCAGGGCAAAAGGGATGCTTCTCGAGGTCAGGCAGAGCACCCAAGGACCCTGTCCTGTAGCTACAGTGATTTTGGGATTCCTATCAATGTTCAGGATGAGTCAGGCATCGTCACATTTTGAAGCAGTGAACTCCGTGTGCCTCTCGAGGTGTCAACGGGATGTGAGGCATTCCGTCAAAATGAGGCAGAGACCTAGGGCTTTCTCTAAGGTCTCCACAGGGGATTCAGACATTCCTTCCGGTTGTGAGATGAAAGACGAGCCTGTATTCAAGACACAGCAAGGAAATCCGGCCTCCTTTCAAGTTAGGGCTTCTCGCTGCATATTCCACTTGAGGCAGCAAACTGGGGGTCCCTCCAACATACCTATTGCTGAGAGAAGGCTCCCCTTGAGGTGCTTCTGGAAAGTTGGCATACGTCTTGAGCCTAAGCCAGGGAATCAGCTCACATCTCGTGACGATTTGGGGTACACGGAGCATTCCTCGAGTTGCTGTGCTGAAGATGGTGTTCCTCTAGACTTGGGACAGTGTTCTCAGGTCATCTCTCGAGTTGCCTGAAGGAAGTCAAGCCACTGGTCGTGTTTAATGTGGAACGGGGGATGGCTCTGGAGTCAATGCAGGGGAATCGGGCATTATCTCGAGTTGATTTGGGGCACATGGTGCTGCTTTGCGTTGATGGGGTGACCTCAGGATCCGTCTAGACATGTGACAGTGTTCCCTGGTGACTGTCTCGAGATCCATTAAGCAAGTCGAAGCTTCTGACTTGTTTGATGGGGATCACGGAATTGCTCTGCATGCACTGCAGGAGAATCGGGCCTCATCTCGCCTCTAGGGGAAAGTCTCATGGTTTTTCTCGACTTGCGGCGGGGACCTGGCGTATGTACTCGGCTTACGGAGGGGATGGCCCTTCAAAACTCGTGTTTATTCAGTGACGTCAGGACTCCTGTCTAGTAACGAGAGACACCTCAGGAATCTCTTCAAGGCTTGGCAGGGCAAAAGGGATGCTTCTCGAGGTGAGGCAGGGCACCCAAGAACCCTGTCCTGTAGCTACAGTGATTTTGGGATTCCTATCAATGTTCAGGAGGAGTCAGGCATCGTCATATTTTGAAGCAGTGAACTCCGTGTGCATCTCGAGTTGTCAACGGGATGTGAGGCATTCCGTCAAAATGAGGCAGGGACCTAGGGCTTTCTCTAAGGTCTCCACAGGGGATTCAGACATTCCTTCCGGTTTTGAGATGAAAGATGAGCCTGTATTCAAGACACAGCAAGGAAATCCGGCCTCCTTTCAAGTTAGGGCTTCTCGCTGCATATTCCACTTGAGGCAGCAAACTGGGGGTCCCTCCAACATACCTATTGCTGAGAGAAGGCTCCCCTTGAGGTGCTGCTGGAAAGTTGGCATACGTCTTGAGCCTAAGCCAGGGAATCAGCTCACATCTCGAGATGATTTGGGGTACACGGAGCATTCCTCGAGTTGCTGTGCTGAAGATGGTGTTCCTCTAGACTTGGCACAGTGTTCTCAGGGCATCTCTGGAGTTGCCTGAAGGAAGTCAAGACACTGGTCGTGTTTAATGTGGAACGGGGGATTGCTCTGGAGTCAATGCAGGGGAATCGGGCATTATCTCGAGTTGATTTGGGGCACATGGTGCTGCTTTGCGTTGATGGGGTGACCTCAGGATCCGTCTAGACATGTGACAGTGTTCTTGGGGACTGTCTCGAGATCCATTAAGCAAGTCGAAGCTTCTGACTTGTTTGATGGGGATCACGGAATTGCTCTGCATGCACTGCAGGAGAATCGGGCCTCATCTCGCCTCTAGGGGAAAGTCTCATGGTTTTTCTCGACTTGCGGCGGGGACCTGGCGTATGTACTCGGCTTACGGAGGGAATGGCCCTTCAAAACTCGTGTTTATTCAGTGACGTCAGGACTCCTGTCCAGTAACGAGGGACAGCTCAGGAATCTCTTCGAAGCTTGGCAGGGCACAAGGGACGCTTCTCGACGTGAGGCAGGGCACCCAAGGAACTTTTCCAATAGCCACAGGGATTTTGGGGTTCCTATAAATATTTTAGAGGAGTCAGGCTTCGTCACCTTTTGAAGCAGTGAACTCCGCGTGCCTCTCGAGGTGACAACGGGATGTGAGGCATTCCGTCAAAATGAGGCAGGGTCCTATAGCTTTCTCTAAGGTCTCCATAGGGGATTCAGACATCCCTTCATTCTGTGAGATGAAAGACGAGCCTGTATTCAAGCCACTGCAAGGAAATCCGGCCTCCTTTCAAGTTAGGGCTTTTCGCTGTATATTCCACTTGAGGCAGCAAACTCGGGGTCCCTCCAACATACCTATTGCTGAGAGAAGCCTCCTCTTGAGGTGCTTCTGGAAAGTTGGCATACGTCTTGAGCCTAAGCCAGGGATTCAGCTCTCATCTCGAGACGATTTGTGGTACACGGAGCATTACTCGAGTTGCTATGCTGAAGTTGGTGTTCCTCTAGTCTTGGCACAGTGTTCTCGGGGCATCTCTGGAGTTGCCTGAAGGAAGGCAAGCCACTGGTCTTGTTTAATGGGGAACTGGGGATGGCTCTGGAGTCAATGCATGGGAATCGGGCCTCATCTCGAGTTGATGTGGGGTACTTGCAGCTGCTTTGCATTGCTGGGGTGACCTCAGGGTCTGTCTAGACTTGTGACAGTGTTCCTGGGGACTTTTTCGAGTTGAATTAAGCAAGTCGAAGCTCCTGACTTGCTTGATGGGGATCACGGGAATGCTCTGCATGGACTGCAGGGAATCAGGCCTCATCTCGCATCTAGGGGAAGTCTCATGGTTTTACTCGAGTTGCGGCGGGAACTGGGGTATGTTCTCGAGTTATGGCGGGGATGGCCCTTCAAAACACGTGTTTATTCAGTGACGTCAGGACTCATGTCTAGTAACGAGAGACACCTCAGGAATCTCTTCAAGGCTTGGCAGGGCAAAAGGGATGCTTCTCGAGGTGAGGCAGGGCACCCAAGAACCCTGTCCTGTAGCTACAGTGATTTTGGGATTCCTATCAATGTTCAGGAGGAGTCAGGCATCGTCATATTTTGAAGCAGTGAACTCCGTGTGCATCTCGAGTTGTCAACGGGATGTGAGGCATTCCGTCAAAATGAGGCAGGGACCTAGGGCTTTCTCTAAGGTCTCCACAGGGGATTCAGACATTCCTTCCGGTTTTGAGATGAAAGATGAGCCTGTATTCAAGACACAGCAAGGAAATCCGGCCTCCTTTCAAGTTAGGGCTTCTCGCTGCATTTTCCACTTGAGGCAGCAAACTGGGGGTCCCTCCAACATACCTATTGCTGAGAGAAGGCTCCCCTTGAGGTGCTGCTGGAAAGTTGGCATACGTCTTGAGCCTAAGCCAGGGAATCAGCTCACATCTCGAGATGATTTGGGGTACACGGAGCATTCCTCGAGTTGCTGTGCTGAAGATGGTGTTCCTCTAGACTTGGCACAGTGTTCTCAGGGCATCTCTGGAGTTGCCTGAAGGAAGTCAAGACACTGGTCGTGTTTAATGTGGAACGGGGGATTGCTCTGGAGTCAATGCAGGGGAATCGGGCATTATCTCGTGTTGATTTGGGGCACATGGTGCTGCTTTGCGTTGATGGGGTGACCTCAGGATCCGTCTAGACATGTGACAGTGTTCTTGGGGACTGTCTCGAGATCCATTAAGCAAGTCGAAGCTTCTGACTTGTTTGATGGGGATCACGGAATTGCTCTGCATGCACTGCAGGAGAATCGGGCCTCATCTCGCCTCTAGGGGAAAGTCTCATGGTTTTTCTCGACTTGCGGCGGGGACCTGGCGTATGTACTCGGCTTACGGAGGGAATGGCCCTTCAAAACTCGTGTTTATTCAGTGACGTCAGGACTCCTGTCCAGTAACGAGGGACAGCTCAGGAATCTCTTCGAAGCTTGGCAGGGCACAAGGGACGCTTCTCGAGGTGAGGCAGGGCACCCAAGGAACTTTTCCAATAGCCACAGGGATTTTGGGGTTCCTATAAATATTTTAGAGGAGTCAGGCTTCGTCACCTTTTGAAGCAGTGAACTCCGCGTGCCTCTCGAGGTGACAACGGGATGTGAGGCATTCCGTCAAAATGAGGCAGGGTCCTATAGCTTTCTCTAAGGTCTCCATAGGGGATTCAGACATCCCTTCATTCTGTGAGATGAAAGACGAGCCTGTATTCAAGCCACTGCAAGGAAATCCGGCCTCCTTTCAAGTTAGGGCTTTTCGCTGTATATTCCACTTGAGGCAGCAAACTCGGGGTCCCTCCAACATACCTATTGCTGAGAGAAGCCTCCTCTTGAGGTGCTTCTGGAAAGTTGGCATACGTCTTGAGCCTAAGCCAGGGATTCAGCTCTCATCTCGAGACGATTTGTGGTACACGGAGCATTACTCGAGTTGCTATGCTGAAGTTGGTGTTCCTCTAGTCTTGGCACAGTGTTCTCGGGGCATCTCTGGAGTTGCCTGAAGGAAGGCAAGCCACTGGTCTTGTTTAATGGGGAACTGGGGATGGCTCTGGAGTCAATGCATGGGAATCGGGCCTCATCTCGAGTTGATGTGGGGTACTTGCAGCTGCTTTGCATTGCTGGGGTGACCTCAGGGTCTGTCTAGACTTGTGACAGTGTTCCTGGGGACTTTTTCGAGTTGAATTAAGCAAGTCGAAGCTCCTGACTTGCTTGATGGGGATCACGGGAATGCTCTGCATGGACTGCAGGGAATCAGGCCTCATCTCGCATCTAGGGGAAGTCTCATGGTTTTACTCGAGTTGCGGCGGGAACTGGGGTATGTTCTCGAGTTATGGCGGGGATGGCCCTTCAAAACACGTGTTTATTCAGTGACGTCAGGACTCCTGTCTAGTAACGAGAGACATCTCAGGAATCTCTTCGAGGCTTGGCAGGGCAAAAGGGATGCTTCTCGAGGTGAGGCAGGGCACCCAAGAACCCTGTCCTGTAGCCACAGTGATTTTGGGATTCCTATCAATGTTCAGGAGGAGTCAGGCATCGTCACATTTTGAAGCAGTGAACTCCGTGTGCCTCTCGAAGTGTCAACGGTATGTGAGGCATTCCGTCAATATGAGGCAGGGACCTAGGGCTTTCTCTAAGGTCTCCACAGGGGACTCAGACATTCCTTCCGGTTGTGAGATGAAAGACGAGCCTGTATTCAAGACACAGCAAGGAAATCCGGCCTCCTTTGAAGTTAGGGCTTCTCGCTGTATATTCCACTTGAGGCAGCAAACTGGGGGTCCCTCCAACATTCCTATTGCTGAGAGAAGGCTCCCCTTGAGGTGCTTCTGGAAAGTTGGCATACGTCTTGAGCCTAAGCCAGGGAATCAGCTCTCATCTCGAGACGATTTGGGGTACACGGAGCATTCCTCGAGTTGCTGTGCTGAAGATGGTGTTCCTCTAGACTTGGGACAGTGTTCTCAGGGCATCTCTGGAGTTGCCTGAAGGAAGTCAAGCCACTGGTCGTGTTTAATGTGGAACGGGGGATGGCTCTGGAGTCAATGCAGGGGAATCGGGCATTATCTCGAGTTGATTTGGGGCACATGGTGCTGCTTTGCGTTGATGGGGTGACCTCAGGATCCGTCTAGACATGTGACAGTGTTCCCTGGTGACTGTCTCGAGATCCATTAAGCAAGTCGAAGCTTCTGACTTGTTTGATGGGGATCACGGAATTGCTCTGCATGCACTGTAGGAGAATCGGGCCTCATCTGGCCTCTAGGGGAAAGTCTCATGGTATTTCTCGACTTGCGGCGGGGACCTGGGGTATGTACTCGGGTTACGGCGCGGATGGCCCTTCAAAACTCGTGTTTATTCAGTGACGTCAGGACTCCTGTCCAGTAACGAGGGACAGCTCAGGAATCTCTTCGAGGCTTGGCAGGGCACAAGGGACGCTTCTCGAGGTGAGGCAGGGCACCCAAGGAACCTTTCCAATAGCCACAGGGATTTTGGGATTCCTATCAATATTTTAGAGGAGTCAGGCATCGTCACCTTTTGAAGCAGTGAACTCCGCGTGCCTCTCTAGGTGACAACGGGATGTGAGGCATTCCGTCAAAATGAGGCAGGGACCTATAGCCTTCTCTAAGGTCTACACAGGAGATTCAGTCATCCCTTCATTCTGTGAGATGAAAGACGAGCCTGTATTCAAGCCATTGCAAGGAAATCTGGCCTCCTTTCAAGTTAGGGCTTCTCGCTGTATATTCCACTTGAGGCAGCAAACTCGGGGTCCCTCCAACATACCTATTGCTGAGAGAAGCCTCCTCTTGAGGTGCTACTGGAAAGTTGGCATACGTCTTGAGCCTAAGCCAGGGATTCAGCTCTCATCTCGAGACGATTTGTGGTACACGGAGCATTCCTCGAGTTGCTGTGCTGAAGTTGGTGTTCCTCTAGTCTTGGGAGAGTGTTTGCGGGGCATCTCTGGAGTTGCCTGAAGGAAGTCTAGCCAGTTGTCTTGTTTAATGGGGAACTGGGGATGGCTCTGGAGTCAATGCAGGGGAATCGGGCCACATCTCGGGTTGATTTGGGGCACATGGAGCTGCTTTGCGTTGCTGGGGTTACCTCAGGGTCCGTCTAGACTTGTGACAGAGTTCTTGGGGACTGTCTCGAGATCCATTAAGCAAGTCGAAGCTCCTGACTTGTTTGATGGGGATCAAGGGAATACTCTGCATGCACTGCAGGGAATCAGGACTCATCTCGCATCTAGGGGGAAGTCTCACGGTTTCTCTCAAGTTGCGCGGGGGACCTGGGGTATCATCTCGAGTTACGGCGGGGATGGCCCCTCAAAACACGTGTTTATTCAATGCCGTCATGACTCCTGTCTAGTAATGAGGGACACCTCAGGAATCTCTTCGAGCCTTGGCAGGGCAAAGGGATGCTTCTCGAGGTGAGGCAGGGCACACAAGAATCCTTTCCTGTAGCCACAGTGATTTTGGGATTCCTATCAATATTCCAGACGAGTCAGCCATCATCACCTTTTGAAGCAGTGAACTCCGCGTGCCTCTCGAAGTGTCAACTGGATGTGAGGCATTCCGTCAAAATGATGCAGGGACCTAGAGCTTTCTCTAAGGTCTCCACAGGGGATTCAGACATCCCTTCATGCTGTGAGATGAAAGACGAGCCTGTATCCAAGCCACTGCAAGGAAATCCGGCCTCCTTTCAAGTTAGGGCTTCTGGCTGTATATTCCACTTGAGGCAGCAAACTCGGGGTCCCTCCCAAATACCTATTGCTGAGAGAAGCCTCATCTTGAGGTGCTTCTGGAAAGTTGGCATACGTCTTGAGCCTAAGCCATGGAATCAGCTCTCACCTCGAAACGATTTGGGCTACACGGAGCATTCCTCGTGTTGCTGTGCTGAAGTTCGTATTCCTCTAGACTTGGGACAGTGTTCTCGGGGCATCTCTCGAGTTGCCTGAAGGAAGTCAAGCCACTGGTGGTGCTTAATGGGGTACGGGGGATGGCTCTGGAGTCAATGCATGGGAATCGGGCCTCAACGTGAGTTGATGTGGGGTACTTGGAGCTGCTTTGCGTTGCTGGGGTGATGTCAGGGTCTGTCTAGACTTGTGACAGTGTTCCTGGGGACTCTCTCGAGATCCATTAAGCAATTCGAAGCTGCTGACTTGCTTGATTGGGATCACGGGAATGCTCTGCATGGACTGCAGGGAATCAGGCCTCATCTCGCATCTAGGGGAAGTCTCATGGTTTTTCTCGAGTTGCGGCGGGAACTGGGGTATGTTCTCGAGTTATGGCGGGGATGGCCCTTCAAAACACGTGTTTATTCAGTGACGTCAGGACTCCTGTCTAGTAACGAGAGACACCTCAGGAATCTCTTCGAGGCTTGGCAGGGCAAAAGGGATGCTTCTCGAGGTGAGGCAGGGCACCCAAGAACCCTGTCCTGTAGCCACAGTGATTTTGGGATTCCTATCAATGTTCAGGAGGAGTCAGGCATCGTCACATTTTGAAGCAGTGAACTCCGTGTGCCTCTCGAAGTGTCAACGGTATGTGAGGCATTCCGTCAAAATGAGGCAGGGACCTAGGGCTTTCTCTAAGGTCTCCACAGGGGATTCAGACATTCCTTCCGGTTGTGAGATGAAAGACGAGCCTGTATTCAACACACAGCAAGGAAATCCGGCCTCCTTTGAAGTTAGGGCTTCTCGCTGTATATTCCACTTGAGGCAGCAAACTGGGGGTCCCTCCAACATTCCTATTGCTGAGAGAAGGCTCCCCTTGAGGTGCTTCTGGAAAGTTGGCATACGTCTTGAGCCTAAGCCAGGGAATCAGCTCTCATCTCGAGACGATTTGGGGTACACGGAGCATTCCTCGAGTTGCTGTGCTGAAGATGGTGTTCCTCTAGACTTGGGACAGTGTTCTCAGGGCATCTCTGGAGTTGCCTGAAGGAAGTCAAGCCACTGGTCGTGTTTAATGTGGAACGGGGGATGGCTCTGGAGTCGATGCAGGGGAATCGGGCATTATCTCGAGTTGATTTGGGGCACATGGTGCTACTTTGCGTTGATGGGGTGACCTCAGGATCCGTCTAGACATGTAACAGTGTTCTTGGGGACTGTCTCGAGATCCATTAAGCAAGTCGAAGCTCCTGACTTGCTTGATGGGGATCACGGGAATGCTCTGCATGGACTGCAGGGAATCAGGCCTCATCTCGCATCTAGGGGAAGTCTCATGGTTTTACTCGAGTTGCGGCGGGAACTGGGGTATGTTCTCGAGTTATGGCGGGGATGGCCCTTCAAAACACGTGTTTATTCAGTGACGTCAGGACTCCTGTCTAGTAACGAGAGACACCTCAGGAATCTCTTCAAGGCTTGGCAGGGCAAAAGGGATGCTTCTCGAAGTGAGGCAGGGCACCCAAGAACCCTGTCCTGTAGCTACAGTGATTTTGGGATTCCTATCAATGTTCAGGAGGAGTCAGGCATCGTCATATTTTGAAGCAGTGAACTCCGTGTGCATCTCGAGTTGTCAACGGGATGTGAGGCATTCCGTCAAAATGAGGCAGGGACCTAGGGCTTTCTCTAAGGTCTCCACAGGGGATTCAGACGTTCCTTCCGGTTTTGAGATGAAAGATGAGCCTGTATTCAAGACACAGCAAGGAAATCCGGCCTCCTTTCAAGTTAGGGCTTCTCGCTGCATATTCCACTTGAGGCAGCAAACTGGGGGTCCCTCCAACATACCTATTGCTGAGAGAAGGCTCCCCTTGAGGTGCTTCTGGAAAGTTGGCATACGTCTTGAGCCTAAGCCAGGGAATCAGCTCACATCTCGAGATGATTTGGGGTACACGGAGCATTCCTCGAGTTGCTGTGCTGAAGATGGTGTTCCTCTAGACTTGGGACAGTGTTCTCAGGGCATCTCTGGAGTTGTCTGAAGGAAGTCAAGCCACTGGTGGTTTTTAATGTGGAACGGGGGATGGCTCTGGATTCAATGCAGGGGAATCGGGCATTATCTCGAGTTGATGTGGGGAACATGGTGCTGCTTTGCGTTGATGGGGTGACCTCAGGATCCGTCTGGATATGTGACAGTATTCTTGGGGACTGTCTCGAGATCCATTAAGCAAGTCGAAGGTCCTGACTTGTTTGATGGGGATCACGGAATTGCTCTGCATGCACTGCAGGAGAATCGGGCCTCATCTCGCCACGAGGGGAAAGTCTCATGGTTTTTCTCGACTTGCGGCGGGGAACTGGGGTATGTACTCGGGTTACGGCGGGGATGGCCCTTAAAAACTCGTGTTTATTCAGTGACGTCAGGACTCCTATCCAGTAACGAGGGACAGCTCAGGAATCTCTTCGAGTCTTGGCAGGCACAAGGGACGCTTCTCGAGGTGAGGCAGGGCACCCAAGGAACCTTTCAAATAGCCACAGGTATTTTGTGATTCCTATCAATATTCAAGAGGAGTCAGGCATCGTCAGCTTTTGAAGCAGTGAACTCTGCGTGACTCTCGAGGTGTCCACGGGATGTGAGGCATTCCGTCAAAATGAGGGAGGGACCTAGGGCTTTCTCTAAGGTCTCCACAGGGGATTCAGACATTCCTTCTGGTTGTGAGATGAAAGACGAGCCTGTATTCAAGACACTGCTAGGAAACCGGCCTCCTTTCTAGTTAGTGCTTCTCGCTGTATATTCCCTTTGAGGCAGCAAACTCGGGTTCCCTCCCACATACCTATTGCTGAGAGAAGCCTTCTCTTGAGGTGCTTCTGGAAAGTTGGCATACGTCTTGAGCCTAAACCAGGGAATCAGCTCTCATCTCGAGAGGATTTGGCATACAGGAAGCATTCCTCGAGTTGCTGTGCTAAAGTAGGTGTTCCTCTAGACTTGGGACAGTGTTCTCAGGGCATCTCTGGAGTTGTCTGAAGGAGGTCAAGCCACTGGTGGTGTTTAATGCGGAACGGCAGATGGCTCTGGAGTCAATGCAGGGGAATCGGACCTCATCTCAAGTTGATTTGGGGCACATGGAGCTGCTTTGCGTTGCTGGGGATACCTCAGGGTCCGTCTAGACATGTGACAGTGTTCCTGGGGAATGTCTCGAGATCCATTAAGCAAGTCGAAGCCCCTGACTTGTTTGATGGGGATCACGGAATTTCTCTGCATGCACTGCAGGAGAATCGGGCCTCATCTCGCCTCTAGGCGGAAGTCTCATGGTTTTTCTCGAGTTGCGGCGGGAACTGGGGTATGTACTCGAGTTACGGCGGGGATGGCCCTTCAAAACACGTGTTTACTCAGTGACGTCAGGACTCCTGTCCAGTAACGAGAGACACCTCAGGAATCTCTTCGAGGCTTGGCAGGGCAAAAGGGATGCTTCTCGAGGTCAGGCAGAGCACCCAAGGACCCTGTCCTGTAGCTACAGTGATTTTGGGATTCCTATCAATGTTCAGGATGAGTCAGGCATCGTCACATTTTGAAGCAGTGAACTCCGTGTGCCTCTCGAGGTGTCAACGGGATGTGAGGCATTCCGTCAAAATGAGGCAGAGACCTAGGGCTTTCTCTAAGGTCTCCACAGGGGATTCAGACATTCCTTCCGGTTGTGAGATGAAAGACGAGCCTGTATTCAAGACACAGCAAGGAAATCCGGCCTCCTTTCAAGTTAGGGCTTCTCGCTGTATATTCCACTTGAGGCAGCAAACTGGGGGTCCCTCCAACATACCTATTGCTGAGAGAAGGCTCCCCTTGAGGTGCTTCTGGAAAGTTGGCATACGTCTTGAGCCTAAGCCAGGGAATCAGCTCACATCTCGTGACGATTTGGGGTACACGGAGCATTCCTCGAGTTGCTGTGCTGAAGATGGTGTTCCTCTAGACTTGGGACAGTGTTCTCAGGTCATCTCTGGAGTTGCCTGAAGGAAGTCAAGCCACTGGTCGTGTTTAATGTGGAACGGGGGATGGCTCTGGAGTCAATGCAGGGGAATCGGGCATTATCTCGAGTTGATTTGGGGCACATGGTGCTGCTTTGCGTTGATGGGGTGACCTCAGGATCCGTCTAGACATGTGACAGTGTTCCCTGGTGACTGTCTCGAGATCCATTAAGCAAGTCGAAGCTTCTGACTTGTTTGATGGGGATCACGGAATTGCTCTGCATGCACTGCAGGAGAATCGGGCCTCATCTCGCCTCTAGGGGAAAGTCTTATGGTTTTTCTCGACTTGCGGCGGGGACCTGGGGTATGTACTCGGCTTACGGCGGGGATGGCCCTTCAAAACTCGTGTTTATTCAGTGACGTCAGGACTCCTGTCCAGTAACGAGGGACAGCTCAGGAATCTCTTCGAGGCTTGGCAGGGCACAAGGAACGCTTCTCGAGGTGAGGCAGGGCACCCAAGGAACCTTTCCAATAGCCACAGGGATTTTGGGATTCCTATCAATATTTTAGAGGAGTCAGGCATCGTCACCTTTTGAAGCAGTGAACTCCGCGTGCCTCTCGAGGTGACAACGGGATGTGAGGCATTCCGTCAAAATGAGGCAGGGACCTAGAGCTTTCTCTAAGGTCTCCACAGGGGATTCAGACATCCCTTCATTCTGTGAGATGAAAGACGAACCTGTATTCAAGCCACTGCAAGGAAATCCGGCCTCCTTTCAAGTTAGGTCTTCTCGCTGTATATTCCACTTGAGGCAGCAAACTCGGGGTCCCTCCAACATACCTATTGCTGAGAGAAGCCTCCTCTTGAGGTGCTTCTGGAAAGTTGGCATACGTCTTGAGCCTAAGCCAGGGATTCAGCTCTCATCTTGAGACGATTTGTGGTACACGGAGCATTACTCGAGTTGCTGTGCTGAAGTTGGTGTTCCTCTAGTCTTGGGACAGTGTTCTCGGGGCATTTCTTTAGTTCCCTGAAGGAAGTCAAGCCACTGGTGGTGTTTTATGGGTTACGGGGGATGGCTCAGGAGTCAATGCATGGGAATCGGGCCTCATCTCGAGTTGATGTGGGGTACTTGCAGCTGCTTTGCATTGCTGGGGTGACCTCAGGGTCTGTCTAGACTTGTGACAGTGTTCCTGGGGACTTTCTCGAGTTGAATTAAGCAAGTCGAAGCTCCTGACTTGCTTGATGGGGATCACGGGAATGCTCTGCATGGACTGCAGGGAATCAGGCCTCATCTCGCATCTAGGGGAAGTCTCATGGTTTTACTCGAGTTGCGGCGGGAACTGGGGTATGTTCTCGAGTTATGGCGGGGATGGCCCTTCAAAACACGTGTTTATTCAGTGACGTCAGGACTCCTGTCTAGTAACTAGAGACATCTCAGGAATCTCTTCGAGGCTTGGCAGGGCAAAAGGGATGCTTCTCGAGGTGAGGCAGGGCACCCAAGAACCCTGTCCTGTAGCCACAGTGATTTTGGGATTCCTATCAATGTTCAGGAGGAGTCAGGCATCGTCACATTTTGAAGCAGTGAACTCCGTGTGCCTCTCGAAGTGTCAACGGTATGTGAGGCATTCCGTCAATATGAGGCAGGGACCTAGGGCTTTCTCTAAGGTCTCCACAGGGGACTCAGACATTCCTTCCGGTTGTGAGATGAAAGACGAGCCTGTATTCAAGACACAGCAAGGAAATCCGGCCTCCTTTCAAGTTAGGGCTTCTCGCTGTATATTCCCCTTGAGGCAGCAAACTCGGGGTCCCTCCAACATACCTATTGCTGAGAGAAGCCTCCTCTTGAGGTGCTTCTGGAAAGTTGGCATACGTCTTGAGCCTAAGCCAGGGATTCAGCTCTCATCTCGAGACGATTTGTGGTACACGGAGCATTACTCGAGTTGCTATGCTGAAGTTGGTGTTCCTCTAGTCTTGGCACAGTGTTCTCGGGGCATCTCTGGAGTTGCCTGAAGGAAGGCAAGCCACTGGTCTTGTTTAATGGGGAACTGGGGATGGCTCTGGAGTCAATGCATGGGAATCGGGCCTCATCTCGAGTTGATGTGGGGTACTTGCAGCTGCTTTGCATTGCTGGGGTGACCTCAGGGTCTGTCTAGACTTGTGACAGTGTTCCTGGGGACTTTTTCGAGTTGAATTAAGCAAGTCGAAGCTCCTGACTTGCTTGATGGGGATCACGGGAATGCTCTGCATGGACTGCAGGGAATCAGGCCTCATCTCGCATCTAGGGGAAGTCTCATGGTTTTACTCGAGTTGCGGCGGGAACTGGGGTATGTTCTCGAGTTATGGCGGGGATGGCCCTTCAAAACACGTGTTTATTCAGTGACGTCAGGACTCCTGTCTAGTAACGAGAGACATCTCAGGAATCTCTTCGAGGCTTGGCAGGGCAAAAGGGATGCTTCTCGAGGTGAGGCAGGGCACCCAAGAACCCTGTCCTGTAGCCACAGTGATTTTGGGATTCCTATCAATGTTCAGGAGGAGTCAGGCATCGTCACATTTTGAAGCAGTGAACTCCGTGTGCCTCTCGAAGTGTCAACGGTATGTGAGGCATTCCGTCAATATGAGGCAGGGACCTAGGGCTTTCTCTAAGGTCTCCACAGGGGACTCAGACATTCCTTCCGGTTGTGAGATGAAAGACGAGCCTGTATTCAAGACACAGCAAGGAAATCCGGCCTCCTTTGAAGTTAGGGCTTCTCGCTGTATATTCCACTTGAGGCAGCAAACTGGGGGTCCCTCCAACATTCCTATTGCTGAGAGAAGGCTCCCCTTGAGGTGCTTCTGGAAAGTTGGCATCCGTCTTGAGCCTAAGCCAGGGAATCAGCTCTCATCTCGAGACGATTTGGGGTACACGGAGCATTCCTCGAGTTGCTGTGCTGAAGATGGTGTTCCTCTAGACTTGGGACAGTGTTCTCAGGGCATCTCTGGAGTTGCCTGAAGGAAGTCAAGCCACTGGTCGTGTTTAATGTGGAACGGGGGATGGCTCTGGAGTCAATGCAGGGGAATCGGGCATTATCTCGAGTTGATTTGGGGCACATGGTGCTGCTTTGCGTTGATGGGGTGACCTCAGGATCCGTCTAGACATGTGACAGTGTTCCCTGGTGACTGTCTCGAGATCCATTAAGCAAGTCGAAGCTTCTGACTTGTTTGATGGGGATCACGGAATTGCTCTGCATGCACTGCAGGAGAATCGGGCCTCATCTGGCCTCTAGGGGAAAGTCTCATGGTTTTTCTCGACTTGCGGCGGGGACCTGGGGTATGTACTCGGGTTACAGCGCGGATGGCCCTTCAAAACTCGTGTTTATTCAGTGACGTCAGGACTCCTGTCCAGTAACGAGGGACAGCTCAGGAATCTCTTCGAGGCTTGGCAGGGCACAAGGGACGCTTCTCGAGGTGAGGCAGGGCACCCAAGGAACCTTTCCAATAGCCACAGGGATTTTGGGATTCCTATCAATATTTTAGAGGAGTCAGGCATCGTCACCTTTTGAAGCAGTGAACTCCGCGTGCCTCTCTAGGTGACAACGGGATGTGAGGCATTCCGTCAAAATGAGGCAGGGACCTATAGCCTTCTCTAAGGTCTCCACAGGAGATTCAGTCATCCCTTCATTCTGTGAGATGAAAGACGAGCCTGTATTCAAGCCATTGCAAGGAAATCTGGCCTCCTTTCAAGTTAGGGCTTCTCGCTCTATATTCCACTTGAGGCAGCAAACTCGGGGTCCCTCCAACATACCTATTGCTGAGAGAAGCCTCCTCTTGAGGTGCTACTGGAAAGTTGGCATACGTCTTGAGCCTAAGCCAGGGATTCAGCTCTCATCTCGAGACGATTTGTGGTACACGGAGCATTCCTCGAGTTGCTGTGCTGAAGTTGGTGTTCCTCTAGTCTTGGGAGAGTGTTTGTGGGGCATCTCTGGAGTTGCCTGAAGGAAGTCTAGCCAGTTGTCTTGTTTAATGGGGAACTGGGGATGGCTCTGGAGTCAATGCAGGGGAATCGGGCCACATCTCGGGTTGATTTGGGGCACATGGAGCTGCTTTGCTTTGCTGGGGTGACCTCAGGGTCCGTCTAGACTTGTGACAGAGTTCTTGGGGACTGTCTCGAGATCCATTAAGCAAGTCGAAGCTCCTGACTTGTTTGATGGGGATCACGGGAATACTCTGCATGCACTGCAGGGAATCAGGACTCATCTCGCATCTAGGGGGAAGTCTCACGGTTTCTCTCAAGTTGCGCGGGGGACCTGGGGTATCTTCTCGAGTTACGGCGGGGATGGCCCCTCAAAACCCGTGTTTATTCAATGCCGTCATGACTCCTGTCTAGTAATGAGGGACACCTCAGGAATCTCTTCGAGCCTTGGCAGGGCAAAGGGATGCTTCTCGAGGTGAGGCAGGGCACACAAGAATCCTTTCCTGTAGCCACAGTGATTTTGGGATTCCTATCAATGATCAGGAGGGGTCAGGCATCGTCACATTTGAAGCAGTGAACTCCGCGTGCCTCTCGAGGTGTCAACGGGATGTGAGGCATTCCGTCAAATTGAGGCAGGGACCTAGGGCTTTCTCTAAGGTCTTCACAGGGGATTCAGACATCCCTTCCTGTTGTGAGATGAAAGACGAGCCTATATACAAGACACTGCAAGGAAATCCGGCCTCCATTCAAGTTAGGGCTTCTCGCTGTATATTCCACTTGAGGCAGCAAACTCGGGTTCCCTCCAACATACCTATTGCTGATAGAAAGCTCCCCTTGAGGTGCTTTTGGAAAGTTGGCATCCGTCTTGAGCCTAAGCCAGGGAATCAGCTCTCATCTCGAGACGATTTGGGGTACACGGAGCATTCCTCGAGTTGCTGTGCTGAAGATGGTGTTCCTCTAGACTTGGGACAGTGTTCTCAGGGCATCTCTGGAGTTGCCTGTAGGAAGTCTAGCCAGTTGTCTTGTTTAATGGGGAACTGGGGATGGCTCTGGAGTCAATGCAGGGGAATCGGGCCACATCTCGGTTTGATTTGGGGCACATGGAGCTGCTTTGCGTTGCTGGGGTTACCTCAGGGTCCGTCTAGACTTGTGACAGTGTTCTTGGGGACTGTCTCGAGATCCATTAAGCAAGTCGAAGCTCCTGACTTGTTTGATGGGGATCACGGGAATACTCTGCATGCACTGCAGGGAATCAGGACTCATCTCGCATCTAGGGGGAAGCCTCACGGTTTCTCTCAAGTTGCGCGGGGGACTTGGGGTATCTTCTCGAGTTACGGCGGGGATGGCCCCTCAAAACCCGTGTTTATTCAGTGCCGTCAGGACTCCTGTCTAGTAACGAGGGACACCTCAGGAATCTCTTCGAGGCTTGGCAGGTCAAAAGGTATGCTTCTCGAGGTGAGGCAGGGCAACCAATGTCCCTTTCCAGTAGCCACAGTGATTTTGGGATTCCTATCAATATTCAAGACGAGTCAGGCATCATCACCTTTTGAAGCAGTGAACTCCGCGTGCCTCTCGAAGTGTCAACTGGATGTGAGGCATTCCGTCAAAATGATGCAGGGACCTAGAGCTTTCTCTAAGGTCTCCACAGGGGATTCAGACATCCCTTCATGCTGTGAGATGAAAGACGAGCCTGTATCCAAGCCACTGCAAGGAAATCCGGCCTCCTTTCAAGTTAGGGCTTCTGGCTGTATATTCCACTTGAGGCAGCAAACTCGGGGTCCCTCCCAAATACCTATTGCTGAGAGAAGCCTCATCTTGAGGTGCTTCTGGAAAGTTGGCATACGTCTTGAGCCTAAGCCATGGAATCAGCTCTCACCTCGAAACGATTTGGGCTACACGGAGCATTCCTCGAGTTGCTGTGCTGAAGTTCGTATTCCTCTAGACTTGGGACAGTGTTCTCGGGGCATCTCTCGAGTTGCCTGAAGGAAGTCAAGCCACTGGTGGTGCTTAATGGGGTACGGGGGATGGCTCTGGAGTCAATGCATGGGAATCGGGCCTCAACGCGAGTTGATGTGGGGTACTTGGAGCTGCTTTACGTTGCTGGGGTGATGTCAGGGTCTGTCTAGACTTGTGACAGTGTTCCTGGGGACTCTCTCGAGATCCATTAAGCAATTCGAAGCTGCTGACTTGCTTGATTGGGATCACGGGAATGCTCTGCATGGACTGCAGGGAATCAGGCCTCATCTCGCATCTAGGGGAAGTCTCATGGTTTTTCTCGAGTTGCGGCGGGAACTGGGGTATGTTCTCGAGTTATGGCGGGGATGGCCCTTCAAAACACGTGTTTATTCAGTGACGTCAGGACTCCTGTCTAGTAAGGAGAGACACCTCAGGAATCTCTTCGAGGCTTGGCAGGGCAAAAGGGATGCTTCTCGAGGTGAGGCAGGGCACCCAAGAACCCTGTCCTGTAGCCACAGTGATTTTGGGATTCCTATCAATGTTCAGGAGGAGTCAGGCATCGTCACATTTTGAAGCAGTGAACTCCGTGTGCCTCTCGAAGTGTCAACGGTATGTGAGGCATTCCGTCAAAATGAGGCAGGGACCTAGGGCTTTCTCTAAGGTCTCCACAGGGGATTCAGACATTCCTTCCGGTTGTGAGATGAAAGACGAGCCTGTATTCAAGACACAGCAAGGAAATCCGGCCTCCTTTGAAGTTAGGGATTCTCGCTGTATATTCCACTTGAGGCAGCAAACTGGGGGTCCCTCCAACATTCCTATTGCTGAGAGAAGGCTCCCCTTGAGGTGCTTCTGGAAAGTTGGCATACGTCTTGAGCCTAAGCCAGGGAATCAGCTCTCATCTCGAGACAATTTGGGGTACACGGAGCATTCCTCGAGTTGCTGTGCTGAAGATGGTGTTCCTCTAGACTTGGGACAGTGTTCTCAGGGCATCTCTGGAGTTGCCTGAAGGAAGTCAAGCCACTGGTCGTGTTTAATGTGGAACGGGGGATGGCTCTGGAGTCGATGCATGGGAATCGGGCATTATCTCGAGTTGATTTGGGGCACATGGTGCTACTTTGCGTTCATGGGGTGACCTCAGGATCCGTCTAGACATGTAACAGTGTTCTTGGGGACTGTCTCGAGATCCATTAAGCAAGTCGAAGCTCCTGACTTGCTTGATGGGGATCACGGGAATGCTCTGCATGGACTGCAGGGAATCAGGCCTCATCTCGCATCTAGGGGAAGTCTCATGGTTTTACTCGAGTTGCGGCGGGAACTGGGGTATGTTCTCGAGTTATGGCGGGGATGGCCCTTCAAAACACGTGTTTATTCAGTGACGTCAGGACTCCTGTCTAGTAACGAGAGACACCTCAGGAATCTCTTCAAGGCTTGGCAGGGCAAAAGGGATGCTTCTCGAGGTGAGGCAGGGCACCCAAGAACCCTGTCCTGTAGCTACAGTGATTTTGGGATTCCTATCAATGTTCAGGAGGAGTCAGGCATCGTCATATTTTGAAGCAGTGAACTCCGTGTGCATCTCGAGTTGTCAACGGGATGTGAGGCATTCCGTCAAAATGAGGCAGGGACCTAGGGCTTTCTCTAAGGTCTCCACAGGGGATTCAGACATTCCTTCCGGTTTTGAGATGAAAGATGAGCCTGTATTCAAGACACAGCAAGGAAATCCGGCCTCCTTTCAAGTTAGGGCTTCTCGCTGCATATTCCACTTGAGGCAGCAAACTGGGGGTCCCTCCAACATACCTATTGCTGAGAGAAGGCTCCCCTTGAGGTGCTTCTGGAAAGTTGGCATACGTCTTGAGCCTAAGCCAGGGAATCAGCTCACATCTCGAGATGATTTGGGGTACACGGAGCATTCCTCGAGTTGCTGTGCTGAAGATGGTGTTCCTCTAGACTTGGGACAGTGTTCTCAGGGCATCTCTGGAGTTGTCTGAAGGAAGTCAAGCCACTGGTGGTTTTTAATGTGGAACGGGGGACGGCTCTGGATTCAATGCAGGGGAATCGGGCATTATCTCGAGTTGATGTGGGGCACATGGTGCTGCTTTGCGTTGATGGGGTGACCTCAGGATCCGTCTGGATATGTGACAGTATTCTTGGGGACTGTCTCGAGATCCATTAAGCAAGTCGAAGGTCCTGACTTGTTTGATGGGGATCACGGAATTGCTCTGCATGCACTGCAGGAGAATCGGGCCTCATCTCGCCACGAGGGGAAAGTCTCATGGTTTTTCTCGACTTGCGGTGGGGACCTGGGGTATGTACTCGGGTTACGGCGGGGATGGCCCTTAAAAACTCGTGTTTATTCAGTGACGTCAGGACTCCTGTCCAGTAACGAGGGACAGCTCAGGAATCTCTTCGAGTCTTGGCAGGCACAAGGGACGCTTCTCGAGGTGAGGCAGGGCACCCAAGGAACCTTTCAAATAGCCACAGGTATTTTGTGATTCCTATCAATATTCAAGAGGAGTCAGGCATCGTCAGCTTTTGAAGCAGTGAACTCCGCGTGACTCTCGAGGTGTCAACGGGATGTGAGGCATTCCGTCAAAATGAGGGAGGGACCTAGGGCTTTCTCTAAGGTCTCCACAGGGGATTCAGACATTCCTTCTGGTTGTGAGATGAAAGACGAGCCTGTATTCAAGACACTGCTAGGAAACCGGCCTCCTTTCTAGTTAGTGCTTCTCGCTGTATATTCCCTTTGAGGCAGCAAACTCGAGTTCCCTCCCACATACCTATTGCTGAGAGAAGCCTCCTCTTGAGGTGCTTCTGGAAAGTTGGCATACGTCTTGAGCCTAAACCAGGGAATCAGCTCTCATCTCGAGAGGATTTGGCATACAGGAAGCATTCCTCGAGTTGCTGTGCTAAAGTAGGTGTTCCTCTAGACTTGGGACAGTGTTCTCGGGGCATCTCTGGAGTTGTCTGAAGGAGGTCAAGCCACTGGTGGTGTTTAATGCGGAACGGCAGATGGCTCTGGAGTCAATGCAGGGGAATCGGACCTCATCTCAAGTTGATTTGGGGCACATGGAGCTGCTTTGCGTTGCTGGGGATATCTCAGGGTCCGTCTAGACATGTGACAGTGTTCCTGGGGAATGTCTCGAGATCCATTAAGCAAGTCGAAGCCCCTGACTTGTTTGATGGGGATCACGGAATTTCTCTGCATGCACTGCAGGAGAATCGGGCCTCATCTCGCCTCTAGGCGGAAGTCTCATGGTTTTTCTCGAGTTGCGGCGGGGAACTGGGGTATGTACTCGAGTTACGGCGGGGATGGCCCTTCAAAACACGTGTTTATTCAGTGACGTCAGGACTCCTGTCCAGTAACGAGAGACACCTCAGGAATCTCTTCGAGGCTTGGCAGGGCAAAAGGGATGCTTCTCGAGGTCAGGCAGAGCACCCAAGGACCCTGTCCTGTAGCTACAGTAATTTTGGGATTCCTATCAATGTTCAGGATGAGTCAGGCATCGTCACATTTTGAATCAGTGAACTCCGTGTGCCTCTCGAGGTGTCAACAGGATGTGAGGCATTCCGTCAAAATGAGGCAGAGACCTAGGGCTTTCTCTAAGGTCTCCACAGGGGATTCAGACATTCCTTCCGGTTGTGAGATGAAAGACGAGCCTGTATTCAAGACACAGCAAGGAAATCCGGCCTCCTTTCAAGTTAGGGCTTCTCGCTGCATATTCCACTTGAGGCAGCAAACTGGGGGTCCCTCCAACATACCTATTGCTGAGAGAAGGCTCCCCTTGAGGTGCTTCTGGAAAGTTGGCATACGTCTTGAGCCTAAGCCAGGGAATCAGCTCACATCTCGTGACGATTTGGGGTACACGGAGCATTCCTCGAGTTGCTGTGCTGAAGATGGTGTTCCTCTAGACTTGGGACAGTGTTCTCAGGTCATCTCTGGAGTTGCCTGAAGGAAGTCAAGCCACTGGTCGTGTTTAATGTGGAACGGGGGATGGCTCTGGAGTCAATGCAGGGGAATTGGGCATTATCTCGAGTTGATTTGGGGCACATGGTGCTGCTTTGCGTTGATGGGGTGACCTCAGGATCCGTCTAGACATGTGACAGTGTTCCCTGGTGACTGTCTCGAGATCCATTAAGCAAGTCGAATCTTCTGACTTGTTTGATGGGGATCACGGAATTGCTCTGCATGCACTGCAGGAGAATCGGGCCTCATCTCGCCTCTAGGGGAAAGTCTCATGGTTTTTCTCGACTTGCGGCGGGGACCTGGGGTATGTACTCGGCTTACGGCGGGGATGGCCCTTCAAAACTCGTGTTTATTCAGTGACGTCAGGACTCCTGTCCAGTAACGAGGGACAGCTCAGGAATCTCTTCGAGGCTTGGCAGGGCACAAGGGACGCTTCTCGAGGTGAGGCAGGGCACCCAAGGAACCTTTCCAATAGCCACAGGGATTTTGGGATTCCTATCAATATTTTAGAGGAGTCAGGCATCATCACCTTTTGAAGCAGTGAACTCCGCGTGCCTCTCGAGGTGACAACGGGATGTGAGGCATTCCGTCAAAATGAGGCAGGGACCTAGAGCTTTCTCTAAGGTCTCCACAGGGGATTCAGACATCCCTTCATTCTGTGAGATGAAAGACGAGTCTGTATTCAAGCCACTGCAAGGAAATCCGGCCTCCTTTCAAGTTAGGGCTTCTCGCTGTATATTCCACTTGAGGCAGCAAACTCGGGGTCCCTCCAACATACCTATTGCTGAGAGAAGCCTCCTCTTGAGGTGCTTCTGGAAAGTTGGCATACGTCTTGAGCCTAAGCCAGAGATTCAGCTCTCATCTCGAGACGATTTGTGTTACATGGAGCATTACTCGAGTTGCTGTGCTGAAGTTGGTGTTCCTCTAGTCTTGGGACAGTGTTCTCGGGGCATTTCTTTAGTTCCCTGAAGGAAGTCAAGCCACTGGTGGTGTTTAATGGGTTACGGGGGATGGCTCAGGAGTCAATGCATGGGAATCGGGCCTCATCTCGAGTTGATGTGGGGTACTTGCAGCTGCTTTGCATTGCTGGGGTGACCTCAGGGTCTGTCTAGACTTGTGACAGTGTTCCTGGGGACTTTCTCGAGTTGAATTAAGCAAGTCGAAGCTCCTGACTTGCTTGATGGGGATCACGGGAATGCTCTGCATGGACTGCAGGGAATCAGGCCTCATCTCGCATCTAGGGGAAGTCTCATGGTTTTACTCGAGTTGCGGCGGGAACTGGGGTATGTTCTCGAGTTATGGCGGGGATGGCCCTTCAAAACACGTGTTTATTCAGTGACGTCAGGACTCCTGTCTAGTAACGAGAGACATCTCAGGAATCTCTTCGAGGCTTGGCAGGGCAAAAGGGATGCTTCTCGAGGTGAGGCAGGGCACCCAAGAACCCTGTCCTGTAGCCACAGTGATTTTGGGATTCCTATCAATGTTCAGGAGGAGTCAGGCATCGTCACATTTTGAAGCAGTGAACTCCGTGTGCCTCTCGAAGTGTCAACGGTATGTGAGGCATTCCGTCAATATGAGGCAGGGACCTAGGGCTTTCTCTAAGGTCTCCACAGGGGACTCAGACATTCCTTCCGGTTGTGAGATGAAAGACGAGCCTGTATTCAAGACACAGCAAGGAAATCCGGCCTCCTTTGAAGTTAGGGCTTCTCGCTGTATATTCCACTTGAGGCAGCAAACTGGGGGTCCCTCCAACATTCCTATTGCTGAGAGAAGGCTCCCCTTGAGGTGCTTCTGGAAAGTTGGCATACGTCTTGAGCCTAAGCCAGGGAATCAGCTCTCATCTCGAGACGATTTGGGGTACACGGAGCATTCCTCGAGTTGCTGTGCTGAAGATGGTGTTCCTCTAGACTTGGGACAGTGTTCTCAGGGCATCTCTGGAGTTGCCTGAAGGAAGTCAAGCCACTGGTCGTGTTTAATGTGGAACGGGGGATGGCTCTGGAGTCAATGCAGGGGAATCGGGCATTATCTCGAGTTGATTTGGGGCACATGGTGCTGCTTTGCGTTGATGGGGTGACCTCAGGATCCGTCTAGACATGTGACAGTGTTCCCTCGTGACTGTCTCGAGATCCATTAAGCAAGTCGAAGCTTCTGACTTGTTTGATGGGGATCACGGAATTGCTCTGCATGCACTGCAGGAGAATCGGTCCTCATCTGGCCTCTAGGGGAAAGTCTCATGGTATTTCTCGACTTGCGGCGGGGACCTGGGGTATGTACTCGGGTTACAGCGCGGATGGCCCTTCAAAACTCGTGTTTATTCAGTGACGTCAGGACTCCTGTCCAGTAACGAGGGACAGCTCAGGAATCTCTTCGAGGCTTGGCAGGCCACAAGGGACGCTTCTCAAGGTGAGGCAGGGCACCCAAGGAACCTTTCCTATAGCCACAGGGATTTTGGGATTCCTATCAATATTTTAGAGGAGTCAGGCATCGTCACCTTTTGAAGCAGTGAACTCCGCGTGCCTCTCTAGGTGACAACGGGATGTGAGGCATTCCGTCAAAATGAGGCAGGGACCTATAGCCTTCTCTAAGGTCTCCACAGGAGATTCAGTCATCCCTTCATTCTGTGAGATGAAAGACGAGCCTGTATTCAAGCCATTGCAAGGAAATCTGGCCTCCTTTCAAGTTAGGGCTTCTCGCTCTATATTCCACTTGAGGCAGCAAACTCGGGGTCCCTCCAACATACCTATTGCTGAGAGAAGCCTCCTCTTGAGGTGCTACTGGAAAGTTGGCATACGTCTTGAGCCTAAGCCAGGGATTCAGCTCTCATCTCGAGACGATTTGTGGTACACGGAGCATTCCTCGAGTTGCTGTGCTGAAGTTGGTGTTCCTCTAGTCTTGGGAGAGTGTTTGCGGGGCATCTCTGGAGTTGCCTGAAGGAAGTCTAGCCAGTTGTCTTGTTTAATGGGGAACTGGGGATGGCTCTGGAGTCAATGCAGGGGAATCGGGCCACATCTCGGGTTGATTTGGGGCACATGGAGCTGCTTTGCATTGCTGGGGTGACCTCAGGGTCCGTCTAGACTTGTGACAGAGTTCTTTGGGACTGTCTCGAGATCCATTAAGCAAGTCGAAGCTCCTGACTTGTTTGATGGGGATCACGGGAATACTCTGCATGCACTGCAGGGAATCAGGACTCATCTCGCATCTAGGGGGAAGTCTCACGGTTTCTCTCAAGTTGCGCGGGGGACCTGGGGTATCTTCTCGAGTTACGGCGGGGATGGCCCCTCAAAACCCGTGTTTATTCAATGCCGTCATGACTCCTGTCTAGTAATGAGGGACACCTCAGGAATCTCTTCGAGCCTTGGCAGGGCAAAGGGATGCTTCTCGAGGTGAGGCAGGGCACACAAGAATCCTTTCCTGTAGCCACAGTGATTTTGGGATTCCTATCAATGATCAGGAGGGGTCAGGCATCGTCACATTTGAAGCAGTGAACTCCGCGTGCCTCTCGAGGTGTCAACGGGATGTGAGGCATTCCGTCAAATTGAGGCAGGGACCTAGGGCTTTCTCTAAGGTCTTCACAGGGGATTCAGACATCCCTTCCTGTTGTGAGATGAAAGACGAGCCTATATACAAGACACTGCAAGGAAATCCGGCCTCCATTCAAGTTAGGGCTTCTCGCTGTATATTCCACTTGAGGCAGCAAACTCGGGGTCCCTCCAACATACCTATTGCTGATAGAAAGCTCCCCTTGAGGTGCTTTTGGAAAGTTGGCATCCGTCTTGAGCCTAAGCCAGGGAATCAGCTCTCATCTCGAGACGATTTGGGGTACACGGAGCATTCCTCGAGTTGCTGTGCTGAAGATGGTGTTCCTCTAGACTTGGGACAGTGTTCTCAGGGCATCTCTGGAGTTGCCTGTAGGAAGTCTAGCCAGTTGTCTTGTTTAATGGGGAACTGGGGATGGCTCTGGAGTCAATGCAGGGGAATCGGGCCACATCTCGGTTTGATTTGGGGCACATGGAGCTGCTTTGCGTTGCTGGGGTTACCTCAGGGTCCGTCTAGACTTGTGACAGTGTTCTTGGGGACTGTCTCGAGATCCATTAAGCAAGTCGAAGCTCCTGACTTGTTTGATGGGGATCACGGGAATACTCTGCATGCACTGCAGGGAATCAGGACTCATCTCGCATCTAGGGGGAAGCCTCACGGTTTCTCTCAAGTTGCGTGGGGGACTTGGGGTATCTTCTCGAGTTACGGCGGGGATGGCCCCTCAAAACCCGTGTTTATTCAGTGCCGTCAGGACTCCTGTCTAGTAACGAGGGACACCTCAGGAATCTCTTCGAGGCTTGGCAGGTCAAAAGGTATGCTTCTCGAGGTGAGGCAGGGCAACCAATGTCCCTTTGCAGTAGCCACAGTGATTTTGGGATTCCTATCAATATTCAAGACGAGTCAGGCATCATCACCTTTTGAAGCAGTGAACTCCGCGTGCCTCTCGAAGTGTCAACAGGATGTGAGGCATTCCGTCAAAATGATGCAGGGACCTAGAGCTTTCTCTAAGGTCTCCACAGGGGATTCAGACATCCCTTCATGCTGTGAGATGAAAGACGAGCCTGTATCCAAGCCACTGCAAGGAAATCCGGCCTCCTTTCAAGTTAGGGCTTCTGGCTGTATATTCCACTTGAGGCAGCAAACTCGGGGTCCCTCCCAAATACCTATTGCTGAGAGAAGCCTCATCTTGAGGTGCTTCTGGAAAGTTGGCATACGTCTTGAGCCTAAGCCATGGAATCAGCTCTCACCTCGAAACGATTTGGGCTACACGGAGCATTCCTCGAGTTGCTGTGCTGAAGTTCGTATTCCTCTAGACTTGGGACAGTGTTCTCGGGGCATCTCTCGAGTTGCCTGAAGGAAGTCAAGCCACTGGTGGTGCTTAATGGGGTACAGGGGATGGCTCTGGAGTCAATGCATGGGAATCGGGCCTCAACGCGAGTTGATGTGGGGTACTTGGAGCTGCTTTGCGTTGCTGGGGTGATGTCAGGGTCTGTCTAGACTTGTGACAGTGTTCCTGGGGACTCTCTCGAGATCCATTAAGCAATTCGAAGCTGCTGACTTGCTTGATTGGGATCACGGGAATGCTCTGCATGGACTGCAGGGAATCAGGCCTCATCTCGCATCTAGGGGAAGTCTCATGGTTTTTCTCGAGTTGCGGCGGGAACTGGGGTATGTTCTCGAGTTATGGCGGGGATGGCCCTTCAAAACACGTGTTTATTCAGTGACGTCAGGACTCCTGTCTAGTAACGAGAGACACCTCAGGAATCTCTTCGAGGCTTGGCAGGGCAAAAGGGATGCTTCTCGAGGTGAGGCAGGGCACCCAAGAACCCTGTCCTGTAGCCACAGTGATTTTGGGATTCCTATCAATGTTCAGGAGGAGTCAGGCATCGTCACATTTTGAAGCAGTGAACTCCGTGTGCCTCTCGAAGTGTCAACGGTATGTGAGGCATTCCGTCAAAATGAGGCAGGGACCTAGGGCTTTCTCTAAGGTCTCCACAAGGGATTCAGACATTCCTTCCGGTTGTGAGATGAAAGACGAGCCTGTATTCAAGACACAGCAAGGAAATCCGGCCTCCTTTCAAGTTAGGGCTTCTCGCTGTATATTCCACTTGAGGCAGCAAACTGGGGGTCCCTCCAACATTCCTATTGCTGAGAGAAGGCTCCCCTTGAGGTGCTTCTGGAAAGTTGGCATACGTCTTGAGCCTAAGCCAGGGAATCAGCTCTCATCTCGAGACGATTTGGGGTACACGGAGCATTCCTCGAGTTGCTGTGCTGAAGATGGTGTTCCTCTAGACTTGGGACAGTGTTCTCAGGGCATCTCTGGAGTGGCCTGAAGGAAGTCAAGCCACTGGTCGTGTTTAATGTGGAACGGGGGATGGCTCTGGAGTCGATGCAGGGGAATCGGGCATTATCTCGAGTTGATTTGGGGCACATGGTGCTACTTTGCGTTGATGGGGTGACCTCAGGATCCGTCTAGACATGTAACAGTGTTCTTGGGGACTGTCTCGAGATCCATTAAGCAAGTCGAAGCTCCTGACTTGCTTGATGGGGATCACGGGAATGCTCTGCATGGACTGCAGGGAATCAGGCCTCATCTCGCATCTAGGGGAAGTCTCATGGTTTTACTCGAGTTGCGGCGGGAACTGGGGTATGTTCTCGAGTTATGGCGGGGATGGCCCTTCAAAACACGTGTTTATTCAGTGACGTCAGGACTCCTGTCTAGTAACGAGAGACACCTCAGGAATCTCTTCAAGGCTTGGCAGGGCAAAAGGGATGCTTCTCGAGGTGAGGCAGGGCACCCAAGAACCCTGTCCTGTAGCTACAGTGATTTTGGGATTCCTATCAATGTTCAGGAGGAGTCAGGCATCGTCATATTTTGAAGCAGTGAACTCCGTGTGCATCTCGAGTTGTCAACGGGATGTGAGGCATTCCGTCAAAATGAGGCAGGGACCTAGGGCTTTCTCTAAGGTCTCCACAGGGGATTCAGACGTTCCTTCTGGTTTTGAGATGAAAGATGAGCCTGTATTCAAGACACAGCAAGGAAATCCGGCCTCCTTTCAAGTTAGGGCTTCTCGCTGCATATTCCACTTGAGGCAGCAAACTGGGGGTCCCTCCAACATACCTATTGCTGAGAGAAGGCTCCCCTTGAGGTGCTTCTGGAAAGTTGGCATACGTCTTGAGCCTAAGCCAGGGAATCAGCTCACATCTCGAGATGATTTGGGGTACACGGAGCATTCCTCGAGTTGCTGTGCTGAAGATGGTGTTCCTCTAGACTTGGGACAGTGTTCTCAGGGCATCTCTGGAGTTGTCTGAAGGAAGTCAAGCCACTGGTGGTTTTTAATGTGGAACGGGGGATGGCTCTGGATTCAATGCAGGGGAATCGGGCATTATCTCGAGTTGATGTGGGGCACATGGTGCTGCTTTGCGTTGATGGGGTGACCTCAGGATCCGTCTGGATATGTGACAGTATTCTTGGGGACTGTCTCGAGATCCATTAAGCAAGTCGAAGGTCCTGACTTGTTTGATGGGGATCACGGAATTGCTCTGCATGCACTGCAGGAGAATCGGGCCTCATCTCTCCACGAGGGGAAAGTCTCATGGTTTTTCTCGACTTGCGGCGGGGACCTGGGGTATGTACTCGGGTTACGGCGGGGATGGCCCTTAAAAACTCGTGTTTATTCAGTGACGTCAGGACTCCTGTCCAGTAACGAGGGACAGCTCAGGAATCTCTTCGAGTCTTGGCAGGCACAAGGGACGCTTCTCGAGGTGAGGCAGGGCACCCAAGGAACCTTTCAAATAGCCACAGGTATTTTGTGATTCCTATCAATATTCAAGAGGAGTCAGGCATCGTCAGCTTTTGAATCAGTGAACTCCGCGTGACTCTCGAGGTGTCAACGGGATGTGAGGCATTCCGTCAAAATGAGGGAGGGACCTAGGGCTTTCTCTAAGGTCTCCACAGGGGATTCAGACATTCCTTCTGGTTGTGAGATGAAAGACGAGCCTGTATTCAAGACACTGCTAGGAAACCGGCCTCCTTTCTAGTTAGTGCTTCTCGCTGTATATTCCCTTTGAGGCAGCAAACTCGGGTTCCCTCCCACATACCTATTGCTGAGAGAAGCCTCCTCTTGAGGTGCTTCTGGAAAGTTGGCATACGTCTTGAGCCTAAACCAGGGAATCAGCTCTCATCTCGAGAGGATTTGGCATACAGGAAGCATTCCTCGAGTTGCTGTGCTAAAGTAGGTGTTCCTCTAGACTTGGGACAGTGTTCTCGGGGCATCTCTGGAGTTGTCTGAAGGAGGTCAAGCCACTGGTGGTGTTTAATGCGGAACGGCAGATGGCTCTGGAGTCAATGCAGGGGAATCGGACCTCATCTCAAGTTGATTTGGGGCACATGGAGCTGCTTTGCGTTGCTGGGGATACCTCAGGGTCCGTCTAGACATGTGACAGTGTTCCTGGGGAATGTCTCGAGATCCATTAAGCAAGTCGAAGCCCCTGACTTGTTTGATGGGGATCACGGAATTTCTCTGCATGCACTGCAGGAGAATCGGGCCTCATCTCGCCTCTAGGCGGAAGTCTCATGGTTTTTCTCGAGTTGCGGCGGGGAACTGGGGTATGTACTCGAGTTACGGCGGGGATGGCCCTTCAAAACACGTGTTTATTCAGTGACGTCAGGACTCCTGTCCAGTAACGAGAGACACCTCAGGAATCTCTTCGAGGCTTGGCAGGGCAAAAGGGATGCTTCTCGAGGTCAGGCAGAGCACCCAAGGACCCTGTCCTGTAGCTACAGTGATTTTGGGATTCCTATCAATGTTCAGGATGAGTCAGGCATCGTCACATTTTGAAGCAGTGAACTCCGTGTGCCTCTCGAGGTGTCAACGGGATGTGAGGCATTCCGTCAAAATGAGGCAGAGACCTAGGGCTTTCTCTAAGTTCTCCACAGGGGATTCAGACATTCCTTCCGGTTGTGAGATGAAAGACGAGCCTGTATTCAAGACACAGCAAGGAAATCCGGCCTCCTTTCAAGTTAGGGCTTCTCGCTGCATATTCCACTTGAGGCAGCAAACTGGGGGTCCCTCCAACATACCTATTGCTGAGAGAAGGCTCCCCTTGAGGTTCTTCTGGAAAGTTGGCATACGTCTTGAGCCTAAGCCAGGGAATCAGCTCACATCTCGTGACGATTTGGGGTACACGGAGCATTCCTCGAGTTGCTGTGCTGAAGATGGTGTTCCTCTAGACTTGGGACAGTGTTCTCAGGTCATCTCTGGAGTTGCCTGAAGGAAGTCAAGCCACTGGTCGTGTTTAATGTGGAACGGGGGATGGCTCTGGAGTCAATGCAGGGGAATCGGGCATTATCTCGAGTTGATTTGGGGCACATGGTGCTGCTTTGCGTTGATGGGGTGACCTCAGGATCCGTCTAGACATGTGACAGTGTTCCCTGGTGACTGTCTCGAGATCCATTAAGCAAGTCGAAGCTTCTGACTTGTTTGATGGGGATCACGGAATTGCTCTGCATGCACTGCAGGAGAATCGGGCCTCATCTCGCCTCTAGGGGAAAGTCTCATGGTTTTTCTCGACTTGCGGCGGGGACCTGGGGTATGTACTCGGCTTACGGCGGGGATGGCCCTTCAAAACTCGTGTTTATTCAGTGGCATCAGGACTCCTGTCCAGTAAAGAGGGACAGCTCAGGAATCTCTTCGAGGCTTGGCAGGGCACAAGGGACGCTTCTCGAGGTGAGGCAGGGCACCCAAGGAACCTTTCCAATAGCCACAGGGATTTTGGGATTCCTATCAATATTTTAGAGGAGTCAGGCATCGTCACCTTTTGAAGCAGTGAACTCCGCGTGCCTCTCGAGGTGACAACGGGATGTGAGGCATTCCGTCAAAATGAGGCAGGGACCTATAGCCTTCTCTAAGGTCTCCACAGGAGATTCAGTCATCCCTTCATTCTGTGAGATGAAAGACGAGCCTGTATTCAAGCCATTGCAAGGAAATCTGGCCTCCTTTCAAGTTAGGGCTTCTCGCTCTATATTCCACTTGAGGCAGCAAACTCGGGGTCCCTCCAACATACCTATTGCTGAGAGAAGCCTCCTCTTGAGGTGCTACTGGAAAGTTGGCATACGTCTTGAGCCTAAGCCAGGGATTCTGCTCTCATCTCGAGACGATTTGTGGTACACGGAGCATTCCTCGAGTTGCTGTGCTGAAGTTGTTGTTCCTCTAGTCTTGGGAGAGTGTTTGCGGGGCATTTCTTTAGTTCCCTGAAGGAAGTCAAGCCACTGGTGGTGTTTAATGGGGAACTGGGGGATGGCTCTGGAGTCAATGCAGGGGAATCGGGCCACATCTCGAGTTGATGTGGGGTACTTGCAGCTGCTTTGCATTGCTGGGGTGACCTCAGGGGCTGTCTAGACTTGTGACAGTGTTCCTGGGGACTGTCTCGAGTTGAATTAAGCAAGTCGAAGCTCCTGACTTGCTTGATGGGGATCACGGGAATGCTCTGCATGGACTGCAGGGAATCAGGACTCATCTCGCATCTAGGGGGAAGTCTCACGGTTTCTCTCAAGTTGCGCGCTGGACCTGGGGTATCTTCTCGAGTTACGGCGGGGATGGCCCCTCAAAACCCGTGTTTATTCAATGCCGTCATGACTCCTGTCTAGTAATGAGGGACACCTCAGGAATCTCTTCGAGCCTTGGCAGGGCAAAGGGATGCTTCTCGAGGTGAGGCAGGGCACACAAGAATCCTTTCCTGTAGCCACAGTGTTTTTGGGATTCCTATCAATGATCAGGAGGGGTCAGGCATCGTCACATTTGAAGCAGTGAACTCCGCGTGCCTCTCGAGGTGTCAACGGGATGTGAGGCATTCCGTCAAATTGAGGCAGGGACCTAGGGCTTTCTCTAAGGTCTTCACAGGGGATTCAGACATCCCTTCCTGTTGTGAGATGAAAGACGAGCCTATATACAAGACACTGCAAGGAAATCCGGCCTCCATTCAAGTTAGGGCTTCTCGCTGTATATTCCACTTGAGGCAGCAAACTCGGGGTCCCTCCAACATACCTATTGCTGATAGAAAGCTCCCCTTGAGGTGCTTTTGGAAAGTTGGCATCCGTCTTGAGCCTAAGCCAGGGAATCAGCTCTCATCTCGAGACGATTTGGGGTACACGGAGCATTCCTCGAGTTGCTGTGCTGAAGATGGTGTTCCTCTAGACTTGGGACAGTGTTCTCAGGGCATCTCTGGAGTTGCCTGTAGGAAGTCTAGCCAGTTGTCTTGTTTAATGGGGAACTGGGGATGGCTCTGGAGTCAATGCAGGGGAATCGGGCCACATCTCGGTTTGATTTGGGGCACATGGAGCTGCTTTGCGTTGCTGGGGTTACCTCAGGGTCTGTCTAGACTTGTGACAGTGTTCTTGGGGACTGTCTCGAGATCCATTAAGCAAGTCGAAGCTCCTGACTTGTTTGATGGTGATCACGGGAATACTCTGCATGCACTGCAGGGAATCAGGACTCATCTCGCATCTAGGGGGAAGCCTCACGGTTTCTCTCAAGTTGCGCGGGGGACTTGGGGTATCTTCTCGAGTTACGGCGGGGATGGCCCCTCAAAACCCGTGTTTATTCAGTGCCGTCAGGACTCCTGTCTAGTAACGAGGGACACCTCAGGAATCTCTTCGAGGCTTGGCAGGTCAAAAGGTATGCTTCTCGAGGTGAGGCAGGGCAACCAATGTCCCTTTCCAGTAGCCACAGTGATTTTGGGATTCCTATCAATATTCAAGACGAGTCAGGCATCATCACCTTTTGAAGCAGTGAACTCCGCGTGCCTCTCGAAGTGTCAGCTGGATGTGAGGCATTCCGTCAAAATGATGCAGGGACCTAGAGCTTTCTCTAAGGTCTCCACAGGGGATTCAGACATCCCTTCATGCTGTGAGATGAAAGACGAGCCTGTATCCAAGCCACTGCAAGGAAATCCGGCCTCCTTTCAAGTTAGGGCTTCTGGCTGTATATTCCACTTGAGGCAGCAAACTCGGGGTCCCTCCCAAATACCTATTGCTGAGAGAAGCCTCATCTTGAGGTGCTTCTGGAAAGTTGGCATACGTCTTGAGCCTAAGCCATGGAATCAGCTCTCACCTCGAAACGATTTGGGCTACACGGAGCATTCCTCGAGTTGCTGTGCTGAAGTTCGTATTCCTCTAGACTTGGGACAGTGTTCTCGGGGCATCTCTCGAGTTGCCTGAAGGAAGTCAAGCCACTGGTGGTGCTTAATGGGGTACGGGGGATGGCTCTGGAGTCAATGCATGGGAATCGGGCCTCAACGCGAGTTGATGTGGGGTACTTGGAGCTGCTTTGCGTTGCTGGGGTGATGTCAGGGTCTGTCTAGACTTGTGACAGTGTTCCTGGGGACTCTCTCGAGATCCATTAAGCAATTCGAAGCTGCTGACTTGCTTGATTGGGATCACGGGAATGCTCTGCATGGGCTGCAGGGAATCAGGCCTCATCTCGCATCTAGGGGAAGTCTCATGGTTTTTCTCGAGTTGCGGCGGGAACTGGGGTATGTTCTCGAGTTATGGCGGGGATGGCCCTTCAAAACACGTGTTTATTCAGTGACGTCAGGACTCCTGTCTAGTAACGAGAGACACCTCAGGAATCTCTTCGAGGCTTGGCAGGGCAAAAGGGATGCTTCTCGAGGTGAGGCAGGGCACCCAAGAACCCTGTCCTGTAGCCACAGTGATTTTGGGATTCCTATCAATGTTCAGGAGGAGTCAGGCATCGTCACATTTTGAAGCAGTGAACTCCGTGTGCCTCTCGAAGTGTCAACGGTATGTGAGGCATTCCGTCAAAATGAGGCAGGGACCTAGGGCTTTCTCTAAGGTCTCCACAGGGGATTCAGACATTCCTTCCGGTTGTGAGATGAAAGACGAGCCTGTATTCAAGACACAGCAAGGAAATCCGGCCTCCTTTGAAGTTAGGGCTTCTCGCTGTATATTCCACTTGAGGCAGCAAACTGGGGGTCCCTCCAACATTCCTATTGCTGAGAGAAGGCTCCCCTTGAGGTGCTTCTGGAAAGGTGGCATACGTCTTGAGCCTAAGCCAGGGAATCAGCTCTCATCACGAGACGATTTGGGGTACACGGAGCATTCCTCGAGTTGCTGTGCTGAAGATGGTGTTCCTCTAGACTTGGGACAGTGTTCTCAGGGCATCTCTGGAGTTGCCTGAAGGAAGTCAAGCCACTGGTCGTGTTTAATGTGGAACGGGGGATGGCTCTGGAGTCGATGCAGGGGAATCGGGCATTATCTCGAGTTGATTTGGGGCACATGGTGCTACTTTGCGTTGATGGGGTGACCTCAGGATCCGTCTAGACATGTAACAGTGTTCTTGGGGACTGTCTCGAGATCCATTAAGCAAGTCGAAGCTCCTGACTTGCTTGATGGGGATCACGGGAATGCTCTGCATGGACTGCAGGGAATCAGGCCTCATCTCGCATCTAGGGGAAGTCTCATGGTTTTACTCGAGTTGAGGCGCGAACTGGGGTATGTTCTCGAGTTATGGCGGGGATGGCCCTTCAAAACACGTGTTTATTCAGTGACGTCAGGACTCCTGTCTAGTAACGAGAGACACCTCAGGAATCTCTTCAAGGCTTGGCAGGGCAAAAGGGATGCTTCTCGAGGTGAGGCAGGGCACCCAAGAACCCTGTCCTGTAGCTACAGTGATTTTGGGATTCCTATCAATGTTCAGGATGAGTCAGGCATCGTCATATTTTGAAGCAGTGAACTCCGTGTGCATCTCGAGTTGTCAACGGGATGTGAGGCATTCCGTCAAAATGAGGCAGGGACCTAGGGCTTTCTCTAAGGTCTCCACAGGGGATTCAGACGTTCCTTCCGGTTTTGAGATGAAAGATGAGCCTGTATTCAAGACACAGCAAAGAAATCTGGCCTCTTTTCAAGTTAGGGCTTCTCGCTGCATATTCCATTTGAGGCAGCAAACTGGGGGTCCCTCCAACATACCTATTGCTGAGAGAAGGCTCCCCTTGAGGTGCTTCTGGAAAGTTGGCATACGTCTTGAGCCTAAGCCAGGGAATCAGCTCACATCTCGAGATGATTTGGGGTACACGGAGCATTCCTCGAGTTGCTGTGCTGAAGATGGTGTTCCTCTAGACTTGGGACAGTGTTCTCAGGGCATCTCTGGAGTTGTCTGAAGGAAGTCAAGCCACTGGTGGTTTTTAATGTGGAACGGGGGATGCCTCTGGATTCAATGCAGGGGAATCGGGCATTATCTCGAGTGATGTGGGGCACATGGTGCTGCTTTGCGTTGATGGGGTGACCTCAGGATCCGTCTGGATATGTGACAGTATTCTTGGGGACTGTCTCGAGATCCATTAAGCAAGTCGAAGGTCCTGACTTGTTTGATGGGGATCACGGAATTGCTCTGCATGCACTGCAGGAGAATCGGGCCTCATCTCGCCACGAGGGGAAAGTCTCATGGATTTTCTCGACTTGCGGCGGGGACCTGGGGTATGTACTCGGGTTACGGCGGGGATGGCCCTTAAAAACTCGTGTTTATTCAGTGACGTCAGGACTCCTGTCCAGTAACGAGGGACAGCTCAGGAATCTCTTCGAGTCTTGGCAGGCACAAGCGACGCTTCTCGAGGTGAGGCAGGGCACCCAAGGAACCTTTCAAATAGCCACAGGTATTTTGTGATTCCTATCAATATTCAAGAGGAGTCAGGCATCGTCAGCTTTTGAAGCAGTGAACTCCGCGTGACTCTCGAGGTGTCAACGGGATGTGAGGCATTCCGTCAAAATGAGGGAGGGACCTAGGGCTTTCTCTAAGGTCTCCACAGGGGATTCAGACATTCCTTCTGGTTGTGAGATGAAAGACGAGCCTGTATTCAAGACACTGCTAGGAAACCGGCCTCCTTTCTAGTTAGTGCTTCTCGCTGTATATTCCCTTTGAGGCAGCAAACTCGGGTTCCCTCCCACATACCTATTGCTGAGAGAAGCCTCCTCTTGAGGTGCTTCTGGAAAGTTGGCATACGTCTTGAGCCTAAACCAGGGAATCAGCTCTCATCTCGAGAGGATTTGGCATACAGGAAGCATTCCTCGAGTTGCTGTGCTAAAGTAGGTGTTCCTCTAGACTTGGGACAGTGTTCTCGGGGCATCTCTGGAGTTGTCTGAAGGAGGTCAAGCCACTGGTGGTGTTTAATGCGGAACGGCAGATGGCTCTGGAGTCAATGCAGGGGAATTGGACCTCATCTCAAGTTGATTTGGGGCACATGGAGCTGCTTTGCGTTGCTGGGGATACCTCAGGGTCCGTCTAGACATGTGACAGTGTTCCTGGGGAATGTCTCGAGATCCATTAAGCAAGTCGAAGCCCCTGACTTGTTTGATGGGGATCACGGAATTGCTCTGCATGCACTGCAGGAGAATCGGGCCTGATCTCGCCTCTAGGGGAAAGTCTCATGGTTTTTCTCGACTTGCGGCGGGGACCTGGCGTATGTACTCGGCTTACGGAGGGGATGGCCCTTCAAAACTCGTGTTTATTCAGTGATGTCAGGACTCATGTCCAGTAACGAGGGACAGCTCAGGAATCTCTTCGAAGCTTGGCAGGGCACAAGGGACGCTTCTCGAGGTGAGGCAGGGCACCCAAGATCCCTGTCCTGTAGCCACAGTGATTTTGGGATTCCTATCAATGTTCAGGAGGAGTCAGGCATCGTCACATTTTGAAGCAGTGAACTCCGTGTGCCTCTCGAGGTGTCAACGGGATGTGAGGCATTCCGTCAAAATGAGGCAGGGACCTAGGGCTTTCTCTAAGGTCTCCACAGGGGATTCAGACATTCCTTCCGGTTGTGAGATGAAAGACGAGCCTGTATTCAAGTCACAGCAAGGAAATCCGGCCTCCTTTGAAGTTAGGGCTTCTCGCTGTATATTCCACTTGAGGCAGCAAACTGGGGGTCCCTTCAACATTCCTATTGCTGAGAGAAGCCTCCCCTTGAGGTGCTTCTGGAAAGTTGGCATACGTCTTGAGCCTAAGCCAGGGAATCAGCTCTCATCTCGAGACGATTTGGGGTACACGGAGCATTCCTCGAGTTGCTGTGCTGAAGATGGTGTTCCTCTAGACTTGGCACAGTGTTCTCAGGGCATCTCTGGAGTTGTCTGAAGGAAGTCAAGCCACTGGTCGTGTTTAATGTGGAACGGGGGATGGCTCTGGAGTCAATGCAGGGGAATCGGGCATTATCTCGAGTTGATTTGGGGCACATGGTGCTGCCTTGCGTTGATGGGGTGACCTCAGGATCCGTTTAGACATGTGACAGTGTTCTTGGTGACTGTCTCGAGATCCATTAAGCAAGTCGAAGCTTCTGACTTGTTTGATGGGGAGCACGGAATTGCTCTGCATGCACTGCAGGAGAATCGGGCCTCATCTCGCCTCTAGGGGAAAGTCTCATGGTTTTTCTCGACTTGCGGCTGGGACCTGGGGTATGTACTCGGGTTACAGCGGGGATGGCCCTTCAAAACACGTGTTTATTCAGTGGCGTCAGGACTCATGTCCAGTAACGAGGGACAGCTCAGGAATCTCTTCGAGGCTTGGCAGGGCACAAGGGACCCTTCTCGAGGTGAGACAGGGCACCCAAGGAACCTTTCCAATAGCCACAGGGATTTTGGGATTCCTATCAATATTTTAGAGGAGTCAGGCATCGTCACCTTTTGAAGCAGTGAACTCCGCGTGCCTCTCTAGGTGACAAAGGGATGTGAGGCATTCCGTCAAAATGAGGCAGGGACCTATAGCTTTCTCTAAGGTCTCCACAGTGGATTCAGACGTCCCTTCATTCTGTGAGATGAAAGACGAGCCTGTATTCAAGCCACTGCAAGGAAATCCGGCCTCCTTTCAAGTTAGGGCTTCTCGCTGTATATTCCACTTGAGGCAGCAAACTCGGGGTCCCTCCAACATACCTATTGCTGAGAGAAGCCTCCTCTTGAGGTGCTTCTGGAAAGTTGGCATACGTCTTGAGCCTAAGCCAGGGATTCACCTCTCATCTCGAGACGATTTGTGGTACACGGAGCATTCCTCGAGTTGCTGTGCTGAAGTTGGTGTTCCTCTAGTCTTGGGAGAGTGTTTGCGGGGCATCTCTGGAGTTGCCTGAAGGAAGTCTAGCCAGTTGTCTTGTTTAATGGGGAACTGGGGATGGCTCTGGAGTCAATGCAGGGGAATCGGGCCACATCTCGGGTTGATTTGGGGCACATGGAGCTGCTTTGCATTGCTGGGGTGACCTCAGGGTCCGTCTAGACTTGTGACAGTGTTCTTGGGGACTGTCTCGAGATCCATTAAGCAAGTCGAAGCTCCTGACTTGTTTGATGGGGATCACGGGAATACTCTGCATGCACTGCAGGGAATCAGGGCTAATCTCGCATCTAGTTGGAAGTCTCACGGTTTCTCTCAAGTTGCGCGGGGGACCTGGGGTATCTTCTCGAGTTACGGCGGGGATGGCCCCTCAAAACCCGTGTTTATTCAGTGCCGTAAGGACGCCTGTCTAGTAACGAGGGACACCTCAGGAATCTCTTCGAGGCTTGGCAGGTCAAAAGGTATGCTTCTCGAGGTGAGGCAGGGCAACCAATGTCCCTTTCCAGTAGCCACAGTGACTTTGGGATTCCTATCAATATTCAAGACGAGTCAGGCATCATCACCTTTTGAAGCAGTGAACTCCGCGTGCCTCTCGAAGTGTCAGCTGGATGTGAGGCATTCCGTCAAAATGATGCAGGGACCTAGAGCTTTCTCTAAGGTCTCCACAGGGGATTCAGACATCCCTTCATGCTGTGAGATGAAAGACGAGCCTGTATCCAAGCCACTGCAAGGAAATCCGGCCTCCTTTCAAGTTAGTACTTCTGGCTGTATATTCCACTTGAGGCAGCAAACTCGGGGTCCCTCCCAAATACCTATTGCTGAGAGAAGCCTCCTCTTGAGGTTCTTCTGGAAAGTTGGCATACGTCTTGAGCCTAAGCCATGGAATCAGCTCTCACCTCGAAACGATTTGGGGTACACGGAGCATTCCTCGAGTTGCTGTGCTGAAGTTCGTATTCCTCTAGACTTGGGACAGTGTTCTCGGGGCATCTCTCGAGTTGCCTGAAGGAAGTCAAGCCACTGGTGGTGTTTAATGGGGTACGGGGGATGGTTCTGGAGTCAATGCATGGGAATCGGGCCTCAACGCGTGTTGATGTGGGGTACTTGGAGCTGCTTTGCGTTGCTGGGGTGATGTCAGGGTCTGTCTAGACTTGTGACAGTGTTCCTGGGGACTCTCTCGAGATCCATTAAGCAATTCGAAGCTGCTGACTTGCTTGATTGGGATCACGGGAATGCTCTGCATGGACTGCAGGGAATCAGGCCTCATCTCGCATCTAGGGGAAGTCTCATGGTTTTTCTCGAGTTGCGGCGGGACCTGGGGTATGTTCTCGAGTTATGGCGGGCATGGCCCTTGAAAACACGTGTTTATTCAGTGACGTCATGACTCCTGTCTAGTAATGAGGGACACCTCAGGAATCTCTTCGAGCCTTGGCAGGGCAAAAGGGATGCTTCTCGAGGTGAGGCAGGGCACACAAGAACCCTTTCCTGTAGCCACAGTGATTTTGGGATTCCTATCAATGATCAGGAGGGGTCAGGCATCGTCACATTTGAAGCAGTGAACTCCGTGTGCCTCCCGAGGTGTCAACGGGATGTGAGGCAATCCGTCAAAATGAGGCAGGGACCTAGGGCTTTCGCTAAGGTCTCCACAGGGGATTCAGACAATCCTTCCGGTTTTGAGATGAAAGACAAGCCTGTATTCAAGACACTGCAAGGAAACCCGGCCTCCTTTCAAGTTAGGGCTTCTCGTTGCATATTCCACTTGAGGCAGCAAACTGGGGGTCCCTCCAACATAAGTATTGCTGAGAGAAGCCTCCCCTTGAGGTGCTTCTGGAAAGTTGGCATACGTCTTGAGCATAAGCCAGGGAATCAGCTCTCATCTCGAGACGATTTGGGGTACACGGAGCATTCCTCGAGTTGCTGTGCTGAAGATGGTGTTCCTCTAGACTTGGGA